TTTTAATATAAGTAGTGTAGAATTGAAATTATATTATCATGATCTTGAAATATAATTAAAAGATTAGAAGATGACTTTGAAAGAATTAGTATATAATTAACTTACAAATACTTCAATAAAAGCAATGAATGATAATGTTTAATTGTTACAATAATATTTGAATGTTGCTCCAGAATATATAGAAAAAACAGAAATTATGGATAAATTAGTGTCTAAAATAAATATTGCTATTCCAAGAGTAAAATTCATAAATAGTTTACAAAGTACATTAAGTTAAAAGAATGGAGAAATACATAATGCATTGAAAATATCATTCATATAAGGATTTTTGAATAGATTGAGGAACAAATCAATTTAAACTAATCTTTTAGTTAGTGGAATGGGTTATTCAATTAGTTCATAAGATATTGAAGATTGTCTCAATATTTTAAATAGAGATTTATATACTTTTGCAGAAAATGAAATAACTGCAAGAATGGAAACTTTTAATTTGATTTATGAATAATAAAAAACATAAATTAAATAATTAAATAGATAATTAAAAGAAAAGACTTTAGAAAATGAATAATTGAAATAATCTTTTGATGAAAGATTATAAGCACTTGTTATTGCAAAAAGTAATAAAATATTATTTGATTTGGATATGTTATAATCTAAATTTAGAGATTATTAGAAGTATCTAAATTAATTAAAATATTTAGGTGTACATAAGGATTAGAAGATAATATTAGAGAATAAATTGAAAGTAAATATAAAATTCATGTTGAACAATTAACTTTTGAAAGAGATAGAGTTATTTAAAAATTTATGGACTTAAAATAATAATTAATAACTTTATTTACTTAAGAAGTTTAAACTAATTAAGATGCTCTTATTAAATTTGTTTAATAAAAAACTAATGAAATGCTATCAGAAATTCCATTATATAAGAGATCTCATAGTGAAAAAAATGATCAAAATGAAAATAGTCATCATGTAGAACACTAAAAAACTGAATTGCTTTTTGAACCATATAAATTCACTAAAGCTTTACATTAATTAAAAGATAAATGGTAATAAGATACTGAAGATTAAAAAATTAATTATGAGAAATAAATTTAGTATATTTTAATTCTAATATTAGATTTTATAAATAGTAATGTTTGGAATTTGAAGATTTATAATTTTAATTGAATGAAAGCAAAAGAAAAGAAACAACTATGAAAATGGAGATTATTACTTTATAATAGACAATTAATTTATTAATTAAATAGAAAGATGATTATGCTGAATAAATTGATTAATTGAAATTTGAGAAAAAGAGAATATTGAAATCAAATGATGATTATTAATAATAATTGAAGTAATATAAAGAGAAATTCAAAACATAAGAAGTTAAAAAACGAAATGCAATATCAGTAGATAATTATTCCATGACATAATCAATTGTTGAAAGGAAAACCTTGCCAAAATTATTCAAAAGTGAACAAAAACCCAAATTAAAATTATGATTAAATAATTTAATATGCAATAATAGACATACATTGAGAGTAGTTACAGTAGTCATAGTAGTAGTAGTAGTGAAAATGAGAATAAAGATGTTCTTTTCTCACCTGTATTTAATTCTTTGAATACTTCAGTTTAGGGATGCAAACGAGATACAATTACTATCAGAGTAATTTGACATAACCAAATGGTCCAAACATGTTTTGCCATAACAATCTTAAGTAGAGAAGACTCCAAAACCAAATAAAAAGCAAGTGGGCAAAAAAACTAAGATTAAAATCAATACATCTTCATCCATTTCACCTTAGAAAAAGAAATCAAAAATCAAGAGAGTATATAGACCAACCCTCTATGTAGCCCAAAATGAAAGACATTAAGCCATTAAATTTAGAAAGTGAGAAGCATCTGTTTTTTGCCATGAAAGCTGCTTACAATCCATAATTTGAATATGTTGAAGTTAAGGTTTCATCTAATTTCTATTTAAAAGGAACTTGGTCCAGATCAACCTCATCGTAAATATGAAGAAATTGCATTAAAAATTATTGATTAATGTATTAAAGAATTTGGATCTGATTTGAAATATGCTGAACAAGAAGGAGGTAAACTACTATCAATTGAAGAAACTGAACATTTCTTTAATGATTATATTCATAAATTAGGTGTTTAAGATTTGATATCTTATGAATTTCAAGATCATACTGTAGCTCCAACTAGTGTTGTACATAATCCAACTGATGGAAAAAGTAAAGTTATCATAGGATTACCAATTAATTATCGCATTAATCGTATTGAAGGAGTATTGAATCATGAGATTGGAACACATTTCATTAGAAAAATAAATGATAGATAATAATAATGGTATAAGAAAAGGTATAAATTAAATTGATCAAGAGCTAAATATCATCTGGAACCATACTTAAAACATGAAGAAGGATTGGCTGTTTTGAATCAAGTGCTTCCATAGGCTCTTAAATAGAAAGGCAAACCTTATTTATTTATGGCTGCTTTGCATTATATTTCTGTATAAATGATTTATTAATTATAAGTCAATATTAGCTAGTTAAATGAGTTTTGCAAAATTATTCCATGAATTAAGACACTTTATTTAAGATGATGAGGCTAGATTCAGAGAATGTTTAAGAGTTAAGAGAGGATTAAAGGATACATCATAATCAGGAGGAATGTATAAAGATTAAGTATATTTGACTGGAGCAATCAAAATTTTGAAATATAGAGGCAAATTAAATTTTATTCATTTACATAGTGGAAAAATAACAATTAAAGATTGTATACGTTTGGGAGAAATTGGATAAATATATACAAAAAATATTTATATTCCACCATTTTTACAAGAATTAGAATAATATAAAAGAGGTTTGGATAAAATAGCATAATAAAATTTCATTAATTTTGTATGTTGAGACTAATAATTATATAAATTAATTATCTAATATATTAAGATTATATATATCCTTTAAATATTTATTATAAATTTATAATGGTAACTAATTCTTTAAATAATAATATGTAAAATTCTATTTATAAATAGAATTTATAGATTATAAATATTATTGTACTTTAAGACAAATATAATAAATTATATCTTTCATTAAGATTTGTTTCTAATATTTTGATATTTTTAAGTAAGTTTATTTAAAAATTATTCTTTTTTTAATTATAAAATATAATAATAATCAATGACTTGTTAATTTAACTATTGTATAGATAAATGAACATAATCCTCCACATATTCCAAATGATAGAATTCCATAATAAGTGAATTTACTCTTTCTCTTTAATTCATCATTTTCAAAATATTTTTTATGAATCAATATTGGAAATAGAAAATTCAAAGAAGCTCCACCTATTGCTCCTAATATATTCACAAAATAAGCAAATTTAGGAATAGAATAACCAATCAATCCTAATAATATATTGATAAGTGATCTTATTGCTAATCTACGGAAACTTGAGTATTTCAATTCAGGATTTATGTAACTTTTTAATTTTTCAATTCTCTCTATCTATTAAAATGCTGGTAACACTTAAAGAGGATATGAACAGATCAATCCAAAAGCATAACAAATTTAAATTACATAAGATAAAGGATTATTGTCAAGACAAAATAAGATAATTTATTGACTTTTCATTCTACTTCCCATACCCCAAACTGATAGTAATGTAAATGCAAGAAATAATCCTAAATTGAAATATGAAACCACATTAAAAAGCTAATTAATAAAAGAATAATATCTTACATTCTTAAATTTATTAGGTTCTGACATTGTAACTCTAATTGCAAAAGCAAGAGGAAGAACTCCAAAACCATAGGCTGTTACTCCTATAATCATAGGAAATTACTCAAAGTGTGCCAAATTCATCACATTCTCTTTGATTCCATCTCCCTCAAGTATTTGATAGAAGTCATAGACTAAATTGATAAATTCAAACTTTCTTACATGTAATATAAACTAAACCAACTAGGATGAGAGCATTAGCAAATAGACTTAGTTTAGCAAATCGAGCCATATTGTCAATAAAAGAAAGAGGAAGCACAATACAGAATGCCATTATTAGATATATCCAATTACCAGCTCCAGATTAACTATCAGCATTTGAAAATATATGAGCAAAGAAGGAAATAAAAAATATTAAATATGCTACAGCCTTTCCTAATTAATAGGCAATCAAAACGACTTTTGTAATTTATTTCCCCTTCTCTCCATATGTGACTTCGGCCACTTCTGTGAGACCTTGATTTTCTTTATTTTCTGCATTTGCTACTTCAATTAAGTAATGAACGCATAATAATAGCATATAAGCACTTATTAAAAAGATGAATATTGACAAAAGCCATCCTCCAACATAAAAACTAAATGGCATTGCCAATATTCCTGATCCTACATATCCTTTAATAAGTGTCATTGCACTATCCTTATATGTTCCTTTGACAGGTGCCTTCCCTGTATAAGGTTTTTCATGCATATAAACTTAATCAAAGTTTTTCTCTGCATCTTGGTTTTAGTTATTAACGCTCTCATAAACTTGAGACATTTTTTTAATTAATAGATTAATATAAGAATTCTTAATCAATTTTTAATAGGTTTAAGTCATTTCTCTCATTATTTAATCATTCTTTATCAGAGAATCAAGTATAAATAGATTACTTCTTATTATTTAGATATAATAAATAAATCACTATTTCATTTTTTGAATTATAAAATGATGAAAAAAATTGTATTAACCTTAAAAGAAAGTAATAGTTAATAATGGTATTTTAGGTAGTTATCTAAAATTAAAAAACTTAGACTTAATTTTGTTTAAGTATCAACAATATTATTTATGGAATACTATTTATAAAAAGATCTTAGATTTTTGAATTTTGTTTCTATTATCTAAATAATCATGTATTTATAGATTATTTATAATCTATTAAGTCTTATTCTTTGTTTTTTTAAATAGATTATATATGCTGACTGAGAATAATAATAATCTGAATTAATATCATAGTCATTATCAATTCTTGCGTATATTCTTATTGATTGGATATTGGGGTTCACCAGTTACATCATCAAGATCTGGAGCTGCTTCTTGCTAAATTCTTTGTAATTTATACTCTTGCTTCCAAAAAGAATTCATTATAACCCCTAAACACTGTGTAGACATTATATGCTATAAGACATAGGATCCCATTAACAACGTACACATGAGCTTTGTTAGCCATCTTAAAGCCTTTAGCCTCGGCCTTTGATAAAAGAGCATCCAATTTTTTCCAAATCATTATAAAAAATAACACAATTATATTTTAGAATATTAGAATTTTATTATGATTAAAATATGAAAGACATTTCCTTAAGAATAATTAAAAATTAGTATAAAATCATTGCAGAACCAATCTATGTAATATATTCATTTCTTTTATAAAAATTTAAGTAATTAAGTTCCTTAAGTAGTTTTAAGGCGTCCATTAGAAATTTATTTTTATAATGCTATTAAACTCTTACCTACTTATTCAAAACTCTAACTAGAAACTGTTTATTCTTATTTCTAAGAGTCAAACTACAATAATAAATTATTAATTAACCTTAGATAATGCTTTACATTTATTGATCTACATTTATTTTTCAGGACTAGTTGTTTAATGTTATAATTCATTGATTTTATCTGACCTCTAGAGTTTATGTCTACCATTGTCTCTTTATCTTTCAGTTTCTGTAATTTTAGATTCGAGAATTTGCTACGTCTCATCATTTACTCGCTGCAACCCTAATTCTCTTTTTGCAGATAGTTGTCTTCTTCCTTTTGATAGAGATCGATCAGCATCAGTATGACAAACCTTCAGGAAAGTCTTGAAATTTGCCTCATAAGTAGAATTATGAATATTCTTTTGAACTTTATTTTGAACGAATTTCCCCAATCTCTCAAAAGCAGATGGAGTTTTCCTATGTATAATTTCTATAGGCGAGTTTTCTTAAAGCTTCTTGTTTTATTCCTAGAAAATATTAATTAGATACTTTAATAATCTACTCTAATGATTTTATTTTATCTTGTTGCTGTTAAATTATGAGTTCCTTTTCTACAGTAATTTCTTCGATTTTTTACATCAAGCTTTCGATTTACAATTTTTGTTATTGTTCCACTCTTATATGGGAACGTATTGAAGCCTCAAGATTTTGTATAATTGATTCATAATCATTATTAATATGTTCTTCTAATTATTCTTCAAATAGTATCTTGATTCTATAATGGTATTAAATAACATAGCAACCGATTCAGATAAGCTACAATTTAAAGTATGTATTCATATTATTATATTTCCGACTATCCACAAATCTCTTTCGTAGTTAATTTATTCATTTATTAATAAGCTTCCACGACATCCTTATATGTAAAACATTATACTTTATCAATAATATCCAGCACATCTATTAATAGCTATTTTATACTCTGCATAAATATATATAAATTAATAAAAAACACCAAGATCTTAATACTACATTATTGAATAAGAAAAGATTGATTATTTATTCTTGTTTATATTTGACAATGAAATTAGTAATGTTGTAAATTATTATCTATTAATAAGAAATTAATATAAGAAAATTGTGTAATAAAAGATGGACACTGATATTTATTTTTGATAAATTAATATATATAAATGTTAAGTTTGTATAGAAATCAGTTGATGGGATAATAAAAAAAGGTGCTTCTTATTGGAAGTGGTTTGATGGCAGAAGCTGTCATTGATTAATTATTGAAGAGAAATGACGTACTATATGGATACATTTTTAGAATTTTGTCGTTGTTGCTTCAGCTCATGTCGAAGATGCTAGAAAAGTCATTTAGAATAAATAGAGATGTTCAGCTCATCATTTAGATGTTACAGAAACAGAAGAATTAAGAAAATTTGTTAAGAATTCTGATATTGTGATAGCTTATATTCCACCACAATTTATTGTTCCTATAGCTAGAATATGTGCAGAAGTAGGGAGATCAATGATAACATCATAATATACATTTCCAGAGATCAGAGCTTTAGAAGAAGAATGTAAAAAAAAAGGAATTATAATGTTAAATGAAATTGGGTTAGATCCAGGAATTGATCATTTAGCAACAGTTAAAGTTAGGGATGAAGTTTATGCAAAAGGAGGAAAGTAAGAAAATAAAATAAATTAAGAATCATTGAATATGAATCATGGTGTGGAGGTGTGCCAAGTCCAGAGTTCTGTGATAATCCTTTTGGTTATAAATTTTCATGGAGTCCATTTGCAGCAATTAGGAATATCAACAATGATGCCAAATATTTAGAAAATGGAGTTTAAAAGTATATTCCAGCATCTGAGTTACTTTACTCAACAGAGATTATTCATGTTAATCCATCATTATAGATGGAAGGATATCCAAATAGAGATAGTTTGCCTTATTAAGAATTATATGGTTTAAAAGATTGTTAGAAACTAGTAAGAGGAACATTAAGATATCAAGGACATTGTGTATTAATGGCAGCAATGAAGGCTTTGGGATTTGCATCAGAAGAGACTATAAAGGTTGATAGAGAGATGAGTTGGTTTGAATATTTACTCAGTAATATAAGGTTTGAATCTTGTTCAAGTAATTTTTTGGCTAATCATCATATTACTTAATTAGCTAATACTATAGATTAGAAGTTATTTACATTAGCTCAATTGGAAACATTATTAACTAAAGTGTTTAATCGTGTGTTTTCTTAATATTATTATAAAGATAAAAGTGAAGAATAATTATATAAGGATGCTGAATAAATAACTTATACTTTGAAATGGATGGGAGTATTTGATCCTAAAAATCTGATTTTGAATAATGTCACTCATGTCCATAATTTTGCTGCTCATCTTCAAACTCTTATGAATTATAGATAAGGTGAAACTGATTTAGTAGCCATGTAACACATCTTCAAAATTGTTTATCCCAATGATCCCAGAGTTTATGTCAAAAAGTCTACTATGGTTAAGATTGGACATAGAAATGGAAAGTATTCTCTATATCTAATAAATTTAGATCTGCAATGGCTATTACAGTAGGTGTTCCAACTGCTGTGGCTACTTAATTGATTTTGGATGGAGTGATCAAGGCTACTGGAGTTCATATGCCAAACATTTCAGAGATCAATACTCCTTTGTATGAAGAACTCAAGAAGGAAGGCATTTATTGTGAAGAAGAAGATTATTGAGATTGCAGTTATTCGAATATATAGATTATTCCAATTTATTATTTTATCATCTTGTCACTATAAAAGAAATAAAAAGATAATTAACATATGTATAAATATATATATTTATATGTTATACTAAACAAATCATCCACTTTTGAATAAGAGTATTGCAACTTATCCCATATAAAAATAAATGAAATGCTTTGTCTCATGTGTAACATAAGATCCAAAGTTTCTGCCAACTATGCAATGCCATGTTGGATTATACTTTTTATCAAATTCCTTTTTAATGAATGCCTAAAATCTTAATAATTAGATTTACAGCAATATCTTTTTCAATATTGAATTTCTCCAATGCTTAATTGGCACAATCGATTGCATCTTATTGCATTTCTTCTGACATATCTGCATTCTTTACTACTGCTTTTCTATCTGCTTAAGCCATTTAACTTGATTTAATTTTTAAATTTATTAATAACTATCTTCATTTTATATGATGCAAATTTATATAGTACTTTTAATTTATGAATTTATCAGTCAAATTTTACAGGTTATCTACATTTTGGACATTCTAATCGAGCTTTCAACCAATCAGCAATACAAATCTTATGATAAACATGATAACTGTGACAATCTAATCTTACAAACTCTTCCCCTTCAATAAATTCCTATAGACATATTACACATTCATTATCCTCACTTATTTTATCCAATCCAACCATTTCAATCTTTAATTTCTTTAGGTTTTCTTGGCTTGCCCCAACTCTATTAATTTTTTAAAGATTGTGCATATTAATACAATAAGCAAAAGGTAATACAAGCAAGTAAATCACAAATATTAAAATAGGAATCCCTAAAGAGATATACCTCATTATTAAATAAGTGAAGGCCACACCCCAAGTAAAATCAAATTCTGATATCCCAATTTTACATGATCCATATAAATTCCTAAATATTACTATTTATGTGAATAAAAAAACCACTAAATCTAATCTATAAATTCATAGTAATATTTATACAGAATCGTCAAATATTTAATGAACTTGTAGCAATTATGATAATCTGATATAGCATCCTATAAATATTTAGAATTAGTGAACGAAAACTCAGGATAGGGTAATCTATTCTCATTTTCATTTTAGTTTATTTCTCCCAAATCACACCATATTATCAATAATAAATATAACATTTGAAAAGCTTACTATATAGAATTTGTAAAGTACCATTACATTAACTATTATAGCAAAAATAAAAAATTCTCTTAAAGTTGTATTTTAGCAAGGTGGTGGTAATAAAGCCAAGGCTAAAAACAATAGCAAAAGTTCTATGAAGGAAAATATCAATTTAAAAACAGCTTCATTACGCAGATTCTTATATACAATTATTTAATTAGATCTAAATGCTTATATATTTGAAGTATTTTAAGCAGTCTAGTTTTCTTATTAATTTTAAATTAATCTAAATACCCAATTACATGATATTAATAATCTGTTAATCAGTTAGTTGTTCTTCAGGTGAGATTTATTGCATAAGTTTTGATTTTACTTTTTATATTAATTATAATATTTTATTCAAATCAAACATGAAGTTATTTTTAGTGAATAGTAGATATATCTTTTTCTAGAATGAAAATAAAATAGTAAAAGTTAAAAAATGAAAAAATATTATTTAAATTTTTATCAGAAACTCACAACTTACAAATAGATTATGTAAGGAATGAATTTATTTGATAAAACTTTAATTATTAAGATTTTAAATATAGGATAATTATTAGAAAATATCAATATTATAAAAGTGAAAATAAAGAAAACATTATATTAGGTTTTTTAAACAAATCTGTTGATTTGAGAGATGACAATTTCTCTCGCATTTAACCAATAAATAATTTATTATAATAATTTATATTTTTTTATTGATTAGACCCTAAAATCATCTCATTAATCTATAATTGATTACAAAGATTATAGCTAAAACTGGGGCTATTAGAAATAGTTATTGTTATGATGTTGTTCTAAATAATTTTAAACATCAATATTATTTTATTTAACGATTTTAATATAACATGTCATCTGTACCTTCTATGAATTTGTTCAGTGGACCAGAAATCTAAAAGACTAGATCAATATATCGTCCTTTTGGAACCTATGAATCTAATTACTATTCATTACCTCCAAAATCAATATATCCAGAAAACTATTATTCTATTCCATCTTATCATTAATATTTAGCACATCAAGAAAGACCAGATTATAATTAATCCTATCCAGAATACATTGACAAAGAGCACTACGTTCCTATTAAAAATGAAAGTCCTTTTTAAACACTCTAAAAATATGAAAAAACAAATCCAACTCCTAAAGATGCTTTTATAACTCCCTATCGACCAAAAGTATTAACAGATGAAGAAATACAAGAGCATGTTCCTATAATTGATTTAATGATTGAATAACAAAGATTCTACACTCATTTTTCAGATCATGGTCTACCTAAAGGGTATGTTGAAAAAGATTATCAAAGAGAATTAGAAGACAGATATAACAGAGATTTAAATTAACAAATTAATAACGGTTTTAAACTATAAGAAACTAGAACTAAAAAAGAAATAGATGAATTTTATAGAAATATCAAAGTTGCAGTTGATGAAAGAGGAAGAATTTAAATTAATAATATTAAATAGCCATAATAAAGTTAAAAGCTAAATTCCACAATTTATAAAACAACTGAAGACACTGTTAAAGTAGGTAGCAATTTGTAAACATTTGATAATAATGCTTATCAATAATCTAATAAATAATAAGGATAACATATTAACCCATTTGAAGGATCTTTTAATCCATATTCGTAAAATCCTTAATAATAATAATAATAATAATAATAATAACAATAATAATAATAATAACTACTTCAAACAGAGGATAAAGCTCCATCTGAAAAGAATTCTGTTGTAATACCTGGTGATTCAAATTTATAATAATCGCAACTTGAATAATCAAAAGTAATTACTAGTAATGATTGATATATAAATATTATTATATTCAACAAGTTTTTGGATATAAATTATTGTTATCAATTTCTTAAACTATTTTAAAATTACCATGATTATCTATGCATAATATTTTCAATATTTTTGATCTCTAATAATTTATATATTTTGTATTAGATATTCCATTATAATAAATATTTATAGACAAATACAAAGAATTATAATTATCTACTTCATAATCTTGCAAAAATATTATTGTATTATATATATATTCTTAGAATTAGAGTAAAGAATCTAATTATATTAAATAATGATTACAATTTTTGCTTTATTTACTTGTAATATGTCTACAACCAGTAAAATAACCTCCAACTTGGCAATTCACATTTTTTCCTATTTTTTGGTTTGCGATTAAGTAAACTGGAATTTCTTATTCATTTTACCATTTTATTATAATAGTAAACTTATTTCTATTCAATCTATAAGGATTAACAGTCAATTTATCTTCTGTAATTAAGAAATTTCCACAATAATCAAAATATTTTTAATTTTAAAATAGAATTGTAAGGTATGATCCTTTTTTGATATTATAGATTATGTTTTCATCATCTACTGATTATTCAAAATAAGGTTGATTTTCTATATGAGAACATTATATGAATTCTTTATATATTCTTAAAGTTCCTTTTCGAATTATTCTATTACTTAATATATCAACCAATTTTAATTCAACATTTAATAATTTAAATTATTATTAAAAATTACTTTAAAGTAATCTATTATTTTATTATTTAACTTATTCAACTAAAAATTCCATTTAGATTTAAGAATTATCAGAACATACTTAAATATTATTAAGTCCTTAAATAACTTAATTTTTATTTCCTTTAATAACTAATTATTGATGAATATCATTTTTATTGAAATATTGATTTGTATACTCTTAATTAAATGTTTTTACAAAATTTGGTTCTAATTATTTAAATAAACTATTTTCACTTGTTAAAGCGACAAAAAATTCATATTATTCACAACTTGTATCACAATTAATAGCTTAAAATTCATGTATTGCTTATAATTTATTTATTGTTGAACAATCTTATAAATTAAGACTATTTGTAATTTAGTTGAAATTCACTTAATTAAATTCAGGTAACATATCAGATTCAATTGAATAATCCATAGACGGCTAAATCTAAATCTTTGGTAAAGGTATTGATTCTAAAAGAACAATTCCAATTATTGTTGTTAAAAAAAATAAGCTTATAACTATCTTCTAAGTTAATGGATTAAGCAACTTACTGATTTAATATTTAACTGAAACTGTATACATAGCATATGTATTCATAAAAAGCAAAGATGCTTCAAAAAGAAATACTAAACCTAATTATAAATTTAGATTCTTGATATAATTTATTGCTTTTTCTTCACAATTTTATGATAAACATTTAAGTTCATTATTAAATTCCCAGGCCTCTACTTAATATACTAATTGGCATTCATCATTTTTTATGTATTTAGTACAACCCAAATTCCCAATTATATCATTGTGTAATGCTCGTAATGGCAATTAATCATTAACAGGAACCCAAAATTATCCATTTCTAATTACTAAGCAACCAAAAACTGTATGCAAGATTGATAAAAGTAAGAACACAGTTCCAAATATATTATAAGCCTTTTTATTGCCCATATAATTGAATAGCATTGAAATAGCCAAAAATATAAGAGTAGGAATTTAAAGTAATGTATTCCATTCGATCCAATAATCAGCTGTTTATATTTATTATGGTAATTCTTATACCTAATATATTTGAATCCAACTCAAAAATATCACAAGGGAAAGTGTAAGACTTTTATAATATTATATTGAATACCTTTAGAAATAAATTGATAATCTTAGTACATTTGGTGATTTACAAAAATAACTATTGGTTATTAAAATTACAATTTATATTAAAATTTAAAGTGAAAATCCAATTGTTATTAAAAAAATGAATAAATCCTGAATTGTTTGTTCTTGTATTGTTATTAGTAAGAACCCCATAAATTCATAAATAAAAACAGTAGTTAAAGTGACACTGAAAACTAATTAAAATCTTGTTAAGAAATTGTTAGTAGTTTCTATGTGTTGTTATTATGCTTAAATAGTTTTTCTATTTTAATCATAGGACCAATACATTCTCTAATTTACTTAGAATGGCTTACAACAAAAGTGAATAAATTATTCCGATTCCATCAACTATCATATAATTAATAAACCCTAGATGCAAGTACATTAATCCTCCTGAAACAATTAACTGTAATAGACTAAAAAAGAATATTATTTTGATTCTTCTAAATATGATATCAATATCATCAGAATCCAAATCCTCTATTTCTTAATTTGGCTGTTAATTTATCATATTAATATTAATTAATATATATAATGTTTTCACATTTTCAATTGCATTTTTAGCAATCTATTTTCTTCTTTAACTATATTACAATTTGCCTATTCTATATGCAACAATTGTAAATTGGATTTTAATTGAAATTATTTAGTTTCGAATTCTTACTCACATTGCTAAAATATTAATATTAATATATATACATCCAAAAATTCGAAATATGATTTTATTTTCTCACTTATTGTTCCTTCATTTTGAATTTGATAATTACAAAATCTCTTTACATTTATATTCTTAAAAAAATCCTCTAATATTTTAGTTTCATCAAATAATTATTGATATTCTCTTTCCTTTTTATCTAATTATTATTTTAATTGATTTGTAATATTGATATCTTTTCTTAATTTATTTATATCAACCTAATACATAAGTTTTTCTTCATATTTTTTTTACATTATATCTTTCTCCTCTTATAGCTATTTGTACTATCTTTATAAAGTAGCTAAATCAGTATTAAGTTTTTAATTAGCCTTCTATAACATAAGAACATTATCTGATAACTTCTTTTACTTATTTTCATCTGTCTCATTTTGATTATTACATTGAATCTATTATATTGTTTATTCTAACTCTGTTTTTAAATTCGATAATTCAATCTTGGCTGTACGTAGTCTTTGATATTAATTAAAAATACTTATCAATTTCCTCCAATGACTTTTATTTTTAAGTTTACTCTAATTTCAATTCAGATCTTAGTTTTAATACTTCATTTTCTTTCATTATTAATTTTTGATTAATTATATCAAAACTATCTAAAAATTTACTTAATTTTTCTTTTTAAAATTTAAACTCTTATTATAATTATCCATACTTTTAGACTTCTTCTTAATTTACTTTATTTTTTTCTATTTCTTGTTATAATTCTAAATTTTATCTTTTAACTTCATCCAAATTAAACTAAGTTTAATGAAATAAATCTGAGTAATAAATTTTCTATTCATTTAATAATTAAGATTCTTATTATTATTTATTAAATTGTTACTTAACATCTTGAAATTTTGATAAAACAGCCTACTTAATAAAATCATTTGTCAACTTACTCTCTTCTAATTCCATTGTAGCATTTAATTAAGATAAGAATTCAATTTATTTTTATTCCATTTATATAAAATTCTCTTTTTCTTTTTTTAATATTTTTAAAGATTTTAGAAATTTTTTTGACTTAAATTATGTTCTTCTTTTACATTTTAAAAGCTCTTTCAATTAATCTTCAATCAAATTTTCTTTTTAAAGTATTTAATCTTTTAAATTTATACATTCTAATTATAATTTTTCAACTAAAGATTTATTGAATTCAATTTCATTTTATAATCTTTCAATTTCTCCACTCTAAAATTCAATAGTTTATGCATCAGTATCCATTTAATCTTTATTAATTTATAATTAATCATTAAGTTCACATATTTTATTTTCAAGTTCTTATAATTATTAAACTTTATCTTCTTAAAATGTCTCTAATTAAGTTTCATACTTTTAGATTAATTAAACTTATTCTTTGAATTAATCCATTAATATTTCTTTATCTTTTTATAGTATTTATAAATTCTACTCTTATTATGTGATAATCAATTATTATTCATTTCTTCTATGTTTCAAAATGGTTTCTTCCTATTATAATTCCATAATTCTTTAATTTAATAATTCATTTTTATATTTCAAATCTTTTTAAATTTCTAATGCCTATTCCAATTATAAGTCTTTATCTTACATACCTAATTGCGAACATTTATGATTTTTAGTATTATAATCTTCCAATTCAGTTATTCTAGATTCATAATACTCTTTCATTTATTTAAGTTCTTTTGTCAATTAATCTTAATATTAACCACTTTCATTTAATTAATAATTTAAAGTATTTATTTTTGAAACTAATTCAACTTCCTTTTATTTTTTTGGAATAATCTCAGATTAAAAAACAGATTATTATAATTCATTTTTCAATCGTTTTATTTCTGCTTTCAAAGATTCCAAATTACCACCAACTTCTTCATTTACTATAGCTTAATTCTTAATATTTTTGGCTCTTGAAGCAAATTTTAATGTTCCTAAAGTTTCTTAAAAGGAAGAACTAGCTGCAGATATTGTTGCTATCATAACAGTTTTAGAATTTCCTCCTAAACTTTCTCTTAAAAGAAATGTCAATTTACTATCTCTATAAGGTATAAATTTCTTTGGATTTTCAGCCAAAGAATTAATTACTAAACCTAAAACAGTAAGAGATTTATTAATATTAGATGCCTCTTTTAATCTTTCTCCAGTAGCTGCTGTTAATTTTTATCTTTCACTTCCAGCCAAATCAACAAAATTCAATTTACTTCTTCTTGTATACATTCCTTTTGTTCTTTATTCCATTTATAAAGTGAATATAGAATGACTTCTAGAACTCTCCAAATTCATTTATGTTGCAGATACATGTCTATTGGCTAATCCTCTTTACATTAAAGATAAAACATCATTAAATGATTATGCTGCAATTTCTGTAAGATTTTCAACATAAACTCGTTTAGAATCTTCTCTAATTGTTAAAGGCATAGGTTTAGCATCATTTAAAAGATCAATCAATTATTCATTATAAATTTCTAAATAAGTACATTTGATTGTCCAATTATTCTCTTTTGGTAATTCTTTAAATAATTACTAAATCAAACGTGGTTATAATCCTAAATGTATACTATCATTTGTAATATCATCATAACCTTTTCCTTACATTGTATAAGTTTTGCCAGCACCTGTTTAACCATATGCAAAAATACAACAATTCAAACCATCAAGAAATGATTGAAGTGTAGAATTACCAATTTTATCAAAGACTTATTCTTATGTTGAATCAGCACCCAATACATGATCATAAGTATATTCTTTCTTATTATCCAATGTAATGGAATTAGCAGTTGTAGAAACACAAGCATTTGCACCTAAATGAGTTTCTCTATAATTTAATGGCCTAACCCTAACTAAGACTCTAATATTTTCCATCAATTTAATGGGTATTTAAAAATTTGTTTAACGAATTAATTTAAATTAAAAAATGAATTAAATGGATGGATTGATTGAAGAGAATACATAATTAAAGAAAGCTATCATATCATCAAAAGCTGTTATATCAAGAAAGATAAGTAATATAATTATAACATAATTTAGATGAATTTGAAACTTTACAAGCTATTAATGATGAATTAAAATTATAAGTTGATAAATTGAAATTGGAGAATAATGAATTGAATCAAAAATTTAGAATTGCACTTCATGAAAAAAAGTAAACTGAATAATAATTTGATAATGCCAGCAAAAATTGGAAATTATTAATAGAACAAAAATAAAGAGAACTTGATGAAATCTAAAATAAATTAAGTCCATCTTTTGATTAAGATATGATTAGAATTAAATTATTAAATGAATTAGAAATACCTCATAGATAATAACTAGATGTTAAATAAAATGAAATTGAAAAGTTAAATGAAATTATTTATCAACTTAAAAGAAATTTGGATCTTGAAATTGCAAAAGTAGAAACAACTAAATTAGAAAATGTTAAAGAAATTAAATTAATTCAAGACAGATTTAAATTAGATATGTCTGATTTATAACATTAAATAGAAGAACTTACAAAAATAATAGAAGATAGTAAAGATAGAGATGTAATAAGAAGATTAAGAAAAGATTTAGATGAATATAAATTGAAATTTAATAATGCAGATACTGAAAATTAAGATTTAAGAAATGAAAGAGATAAAATAAGAGAAGAAAAAAATGAAATCATGATTAAATTTTCTAGATAAATAGATTAAGAAAGAAATGATAAACGTTAATATAAAAGTGATTTTGATAAAATACAAGTTAGAACCAGATTTATTGAAGATGAATTAAGAAAAGAAAAATAAAGAAGAGAATAAGTTGCTACAGATTTTGAAATATTGAAAACTGATAAAGATTAATTATTAACTGAAATAAGAAAGAAAGATGACACTATACATTATCTATAAAGAAAGATTGGAGATATGGAAGAAGAATAATTAGAATAAGAATAAAAAGTTTAAGATAAATTAACTCGTCTTTATTAAGATGAACATGATAAATATTTATAAGAAAGGAATAAAGCTGTTACATTATAGAAAGATCTTGATAATTTAAAGAAAAGATTTAGTGATTTATAAGATGATTATAAAATACTTAAAGATAGATACTTAAAGGAAAATAATGATAATAAGGATAATAATAAAACTTAAAATGAAGAAATAGAAAAATTAAAGAAGATATTATCATAATAACTTAAAGATATTGGTGATTTAGAAAGATCAAATAAAAATAGAGAAGAATAAATACATGATATTGAAAATGAAAATGAAACTTTAAAAAGAAGAAATAGAGAATTACAACATAGAATATAATTAATTGAAGTTAATCCTTTACCCTCCCCCTAATAAGCATAAATGATATTTAATTAATCATAATTCCCTAGTTTTGCTTAAGTCCCTCAATATGCTTAATAGATATAAGAATAATATGATACTAAACCTAAATAAAATATTGTTGTTTAATCAGAAAATGAACCTTAAAATTAAAATTAAACTTAGGCATAAAAATAAACTATGTAATAAATTACAGAAGAAAATAGAACATTAATTCAAAAAAATAAGAAACTTAATAAAAAATTAAAGGAAGCTAATGATAAAATTTTAGAACTTTCTATGAAAAATACTCTTTTAGAAAAGTAATTATAAAGATAACATTCAGTACCTTCTATTTCACATTAAGGATATGAAGGTAATTACACACATTCTTAATCTCCTCTTAGATACAATTATGAAAACTATGAATAATAAGATACTAGGTAGATATAGTAAATTCATACTGATACTAGATTAGATAGATTTGATAAATAGGATAGATATAGTTAACCAAATTAAGATAAATATAGATCTCGAAATTAATCAGGAATGAATTAATAATCTAAATAGGGTTATTATAATGAGATTCATGAAGATGATTTACTTAATAAAGTAATGATGTTAACTAATAATAATAATAATACAGGTTAGACTAAATATTGGTGACTTTCATATTTATTTAATAAAAACTTAAATTAACATATTTATAATTTATAATTCAAATAATGTTTCTGTTTATGTTGCTATCATAAACATTAGCTTGTTCAGGTACACATATGAATATTATCTAGATCAGAATTGCGTAGAATGTAATTAAACTACAATTTGCACTGCTTGTGTATCAATATTGACCAAACTCTTAGGTTTCTCCCCTAATATTAAGCAATAATTAATGTGTTTCCAGTTGTCCAACAAATTATTATCCTGACTCTATAAATAATGTGAGATAGTGTTTAAAATGCAATGACAAATGTTTGGAATGTTTTAATGGCACACCATCTGGTTGTACTAAATGCATGAAGCCTTTGAGATTAATGTGTGGCAATTGTATTGATAGTGTAGCAGATTCTGGTTGTTCTGATTGTAGTTCTCAATGTGTAATAATACAATCAAATATTTAAGATAACATGTTTTGGCAGAACTTCATCTGAATGCTATCTTTGTAAACTTCCTAATTTCCATTCTCCAAACACAGACAGTTGTGAATTAATATGTGAACATCCATTATATGGAGATGTGAATGACTTCTAGTGTAAAAACTTTTGTCCTTCAGGCACTTATGGTTAACCAATCACAAGATAATGTTTGCCAAATTGTCCAGATCCTTATTTTAAAAATTAATTGAAGACAAATTGTGTGAAGGAAGTATACCTATGATTAAAATATCAAGTGTCCAATAGGTACATATCCCTAAGATAAATCTTGTTTGATTTGTCATACAAGCTGTGAAACATGTTCTGGTGGAAAATCAACAGATTGTATATTCTGCAAAGAAGGCTTATATATGAATAACAAATAGTGTGGATAATGTGAGAAAATGTAATACTCAAATAATGAAACAAGAACATGTGTTGATTTCATTACATATTCCTTAAATATTTTAGAAGCTTATGATTCAACAATAGTATTTGAAATTTCATTTTCAAGCAGCATAAATCCAGATACTCTTGATCTTAAATCTTAGATAAATGTTATGGATATAGATAGTTCATAATATTAAATGTAAATAATAGTTTAAATAAATTAGGACATTAAGTTCTGTTTAAGATGATTAATTCTATATTATTACTTTAGATTTTGATATATCTCATAGAAATACTTAAATCTTTTGTAATTTTACTAATAATATTATGAATGAAATTAATACTCCAATTCTATTTTCATCTGCAATTTAAGATTTATAAATACCTGCATAATTTATACCACCATAATAGGAAGCCAATAGTAATTCTATTAATACTTATTTAATCATCAGTTATTTATCTTATTTTTGCTTTTTGTTTCTACTTTGTTTAATTTTAAGAACCTAAAGAAGAATGTTTTACTTAATTATCAACAATTTATAATTCATTTAAGTAATGATTTTTATAAATTTTACTTTTTCAACACTTACTTTGAATTCTCTTTAACTTTTGGATATAGTAAATTTAAGAAGAATACCAGCATTAGGTATTTCATATGATGGTACAATTTTATATTTCTTTAATACACCAATTTATAATCAAATCCCAAATAATAATTTTCTTTATAATGCAGGTTATTATTATAATTTCATAGCTAATGGAGGAATATAAATTCTAGGAATTTTAATTATATTTTGGATTATATGGATAATTAGCTATATTTTACATAATTTATATTAGATCAATAATAAAATAGAGACATTAAAGCTTTATAGAACAATGCTTGAAGGTAGTAGTGATTTGTTAGTTCGTGTTCATGAGTTTCTCTATTTTCCATTGATTCTTATTTCCATTTTATAACTTTGGGGATATGATTTTAGTTCTGATATCAATATAGCTTCATTTGCTTTGTCAATTGTTACTATATTATACTATCTATTATATTTCAGAAGTGTATACAAATCATAATTTCTTGATATTGATCAATAAGAAATGGAAAATAAATATTTTACATTCTTTTCAGATTTCAAATAATCAAATGAAATCAAAAAGAATTATGAATTTATTAATTACTTTTTAAAAACTAGTAATGCATGTTCCCTAATATTCCTCAATAGTTTTCCTTATATTTAATTTTCAATTTCATTTACTTTGATTTCACTCTACTTCATACTTTTAATACAAAGAAGACCATATTTAAGAAATATTATGAATTATTCAGCTATATTTGGATATCTAATTATAATTGGATTGTATACAACAACAATTGTATCAGAATTAGAGTATCAAGCTAAAATTAATAATATTGCTATTACAAATGAAGATGTTGAAAAATAATACAATTTTGGATTATCATTTATGATATTAATTCAGATTTTCTTAGGATTCTATGCAATCACTTTTAGTTATAATAAATTACAAGATTATTTGAAGTTTTTAGAAAAAAAACCAGATTGGGGAAAGAATTTCTTATAAAAGATGGAAAAAATCATGTTTTCAGATAAAATTCAAGAAGTAGAAATGGGCAATATGTCATTAACAAATTGAATAATTTTAATTATTAATTTAAATTAATATTTTTGTCTAAAACATAAGATATATTAAGATATATTATGATATATTTTAACTAAAATACTGAATTTACTTAACTTAATATTTCATTAATAATTTAGATATTGATAACATATAATATCTGTAATTTTATTATATAATCTTGATTTTATTTTTGTAAGTGGATTGATTTTTACATTATAACATTAAACATGATTTATTATTGCAAATTAAACAAATAATCTTAAAATATATAAAAATAATCTACAAGATTTAATCATGTTTAAATATAACCTCTCATGATAAATTAGAATTTATTACTATTTACTAAGAGAATCAATATAACACTTTTACAAAATATTTAAATAATATAAATTTTATTTTGATGTTTCTTATGAAGCCTTAAACACCTACATTTGGAGATAAAAATAATTCAAGAAAACCTCAGATTTAAATAAATGAAATTAATAGTAATTCTCGCTTTTATAGTATACCTACTCGCTAAACAAATGCTTAAAGCAGAAGTTCATCTTAAAGAAAAAAAAAAGATTAGATGGTAATAAATTATTTGAATTATAGATAAAAAAATGGAAAGACCTTTATGATGAATAAACCAATTTTTATATGAGATTGTTAAAAGTCAATAATATTGAATTTATTGAGTTACCTAAGTTTTAACTATAAAAATGATCTATGCTTAATTAATTTATAGTATTATACATTTTGGTTTCAATAAAAATAAAAAATGACTAATCTGTTTTTACTTAAGTCAATAGATTATTCATTAACAATTCAAATAAATATAAATACCTATTTTTCTTTTTTTTAGATAAAAGTTTTTCTTATAATTAAATAAATCAATAAGATGAATCCTTGTGCATCTCTTTTAAAATTTTAACCAATCAACAATCTCAATAAAAGAACATTTGACTTAGATTTATTTGAATTAGAGAAAATAAACTTCTTAAATAAGAAGGATAAAATGATATCATAAAATAATAATTGTCAAGAAATTAGAACACCTACATTTTCTAAAAGTCGTGAAATATAATATGACTTAAATTAAGATGTTAAGAAAAAAATGAAAAATGTTAACCTAAAATTGCTTAAAAGATATACTAGAAGTAAAGAAAGTGAAATAAACGAATAATCAACACTTCCTAATACTTAATAAACCATAAATTAATGATAAATGATGATAGACTACAAATTTATGATAAATGAATAAAAAATAAATAAATATCACTTAGTTGTTTTGTAAATAAAGTTTGGATTTTCTTTATATTTTTGTTATAATTTTTATAGCCAAATTTACAATACATTAGCTGGTGTGATTAATACATCTATTTCTTATCCATTTATTACAACTTCCTTATTATAAGCAGTCATAAAATTATATAAGTTTTATGCTATTGTCAATCCATATTTTAGCTTATTTTAAGCATCATTAGTTAATTATACTAGTTCTGTTATTTATTCATTAATAGGTTCAACACTAAGAACTAATTTTATTTAATCTTATTCAGATAAAATTTAATTGAAAGAAGTAGCAAAAATATCTGAAGGCCTTTGATTTGCAATAGCTCCCAAAAATGATATACCATCAAAGGGATATCTAGAATAAAACAAACACACTGCATATCCTTCAGGTATGGGATTAAGTAAAAATAAAGCAATTGAATGCACTTATTAAGCATTTTGAATATCCATCAAATAATAGTTTCCATTCATTAAAAATTAAGTCTAACTTAAGTATCCTGGAATCATGACTCCAAATGGTGCTTATATTAAATTAGAACCAATTTGATTATACATTTTATTAAAATCATAATAATGAAATAAAAAACAAGGTGTTTTCTATTTCTGAAATAGAATGTTCCAGGTTTTTCTTTTTTATTTAGAAGTCTTTTAAGTATAAAAGAAATTGAAAATTATATAATAATAAATTTATTATGAATTTCAATCATCATCCTCATAACCTTCATATTAAAGTTAAGATTATATTTGCCCTCTTAATGGTTTTTATTAAAATTGATTTTTAACTACAGGAGTTAAATTTTATGATATTTATGATTGTTATTATATTTATCTGGGCTGAGATTGATTAAAACTCTTTGACATAACAAGAGATCCATTTTCAAGATTATTATCATCTTATTTAGGAGAATTAATTTCATCATTTCTTGCATATTTAGATAAATTTTATGAAATTTGCTTCATTTCTTAATCTCCTATACCTCTAAGTTATTATTATTATCTTAGTTTTTCTTCATTTATATGTTTATGTCTTCTAATTTTAACATCCACTTATTCTTATTACAATAATTTCTTATGACGCAAACCTCTAATAATAGATTGATAAAATTTACACTGATGGTATAAAGGCTAATAATTCAGATTATAGACTTGTTTTAATTTAATATAATTTGTCTTCCTTTTAATGCAAATTGAATAGACTATATTAGATTTGGAATAAAATACCTATTTCTATTTCTTTACAAAATTTCATTGACTTAATTGATATAATCAGAATATTTTTATTATTGAGTATTTCTATATTGTTAAGATAATGTTTACTTTTCCAATTTTAATTATTTTAACTATTCAGTTGTTAACTTAATAAGAGCTTAATTGTTTTTATGATCACTTTAATCTTACATAGATTGAACACTTTCATCAAGGAACTTTCTCTTAGCTTGTCTTCATAAGAATAATCAATTTACAATTCATGATATGTTGCATCATAGTCAATGACAGAAATCATTATTAAAATTTAAAAATATAATTCAAGCATATTTATAAACTAATACTATTGAAATACCAGTCAAAAAAATAGCTAAAACAATTAAGAATATTATTTTATGTTCTCTCATCTTTGATTAAATTCTTGATAAACGACTATTTGATTCTCCTAAGTCATATTATATTTCTGGCATTTTATTGATATTCCTATCTAAAGTATCAGATTAACTTTTTAATTAAACTTAAATATTATTAGAAATGGATTCTATTTCAAAACATACTTTCTTTGCATCTTCTAATTATAATGTTTATTTGACTAATTTATCTTATGTATTTATAAATTGTATTTATTGATTATCTTATTCACCAAATAAAGAATCTTTAGTTTTTTGAGATACAATTTCATCTTAAAGTATTCTAAATTGTTTTTTTAATGTTTCAGTTTCTGATTTATATCTTTTAACTTTATTTTTTAATTCTTATCTATCTGAAACTGCTATACTGGCTGACTCTATATCCATTTATTGTAACTATACAAATTAAATATATATTATACACAATTCTGCAAATCACTAAAAATTGAATCTATTTCAATTAAAGCTTCATCTGATTTATTGATTTATATTTATTGAATTAATGAACAAACTTATTATTAATATTTTTCAAATTCTACTTCGTAACTATTGAAAACTTCAGACATTTTTTTATATTTAAAATCTATAAATAAAATTATAATAAAAATTATCAAAAAAAAAAAATAAAGTTGATAAAAATTAATGATCAAATAACTTATCTTCTACGTACATTATCTTCAGATAAAACAGCTAATTTAGTTTCTAAGTTTCTTATTTTCTATTTGTATCCATTTAATGCACCTTCACTTCTATCTGTTTCTTATGATTATAATTAATCTATTTTTTATTTAAATCTAAATAATTAGTCTTCAGAAGCACTTAATTAATCTTGTAATTTATCACTTAACAATTTCAATTATTCATTTTCATTTAAAATAAAATCTATCTTTTGATCAATATCACCCAAATTGTTCAATTCATCTTGATTAAATTTCAACTATTCTGTTAATTCAGCATTTCTCTCTAATAATTATTTTATATGTTCTTCTTATGCTACAATAGTCTCTTTTTTATTCTCAATCTATTAATCCTTATAATCTAATTCTTTCAAAACAGATTAATATTTAGTCTCAGTTAGGATTCTATCCTCTTCAGATTTGCTTATATATTTAAAATTAAATAAATTACATTAATTATTCTTTAAGAATAACTACTTCTCCTCTTAATTAACTTAATTCTGTTTAATCGCAAGATCTTTATTTCTAGTATTTTGATTCTTTTGTTAAAAGTTATTTTATGAGTTCTGCTGATTTCTCGTTTTCTTCAAGAAGTACTATAATCTTTTTAACTAAATCCACTCTTTATTAATTAGGTGACAGATTCTCTTTATTTTTAGGTGATTGCCAAGTAGCATACTTGCAATCAGTACTAACAGAACGAACTTGTTGAAAAGGTTGTCTTATGAGGGCTGGTCCTTAAACTTTTGAAGGAGAACACACATTCATTAACGGTATATTTTATATAATTCATTTATATTTTAAACTAATTTTATATATTGTATACACAAAACCATTATAAAATTATATTCATTATTAAACATTCAATTTACAATTGAACTGATTTATGCACACTAGATCATGTTATTACTTTTATATTTTAATCATTATTATTAATATGTAAAGTATTTGATTGCATATATGGTATTATATTTTTAATATTTGTGTAATAATAGGTTATATATTTATATATGATTTTATTCATTATAATAGATCATAAATAAATAGAGATATAATTTAATTTATTTATACATAAACAATAAAAATAAATAATAAAAAATCATAATATTTAAAATCCAACATATGTTCTTAGTAACCATTTTATTATTTCAGCTATAGCTAATAAAAGCAAACAAAATGGAAGGCCTGCTGAACCTAATAATTCCCAAGGCATATTAACTGTCTAAAATACCCATTATATTCCTGGAACATACACAATTATTGGTAATATAATTAATGATATCGTTAATCCATATATAGCTAAAGTATTCATTCTAGTAGAATTATAAGATTTAATTAAAGTTCTTAATGCAAAGTAATTGATACTATTTTATGTAATTATTTATACCATTATGATAATACTAAGACAATATAAAAAGATGTAGATGCATAATCACTTGCTTAGGCTGTATAACAGTATTACAAATTACTTAAACAATTAGGGTATTCATATTTAGTATTCCAACAATCAGTTAAATAACCATTTTAAATTTACAATTCAGAACAATCACCACATTTTACAAATATTAATCTCTAATCAATAGTATTATTAGGAGAACTCCATTAATAATTTTACATTTCACCATTATATAAACAATTATCAATTAAATTAGAATTACCTAATGTATTACTCAATGGATTATAAATATCTTAATTACCAACAGGATAAACCCTAGCGAATCTTGTAAAATAAAGATTTTATAAATTAAAACCAAAATAACGATAAGCACTGAAACTTGCCATTAAACCTCCACCTGCCTCAATACAACCAATAATCAAAATAGCAAAGAGGAAGAGATTAGTTCTATTGGGAATTCTATATTCTAATTCTTCTCTAGCTAAACTGATTCCAAGAATCAAATCAACAGAAATACTAGTCAATAACATAAGATTTTGTGAGAAAGGTAAAGGAGTTCCAAGAAAACAATAGACAAATAAAGCCAAGATCATAGCTGTATTTGAAGATAAGCAAAGCATAATAGATTTAATAACATTATTGACAGCTCTTTTTGATTCTAAGATTGCTTAATAACTATCAAGAAATGTTTATTTACTAGAAGTAAGTACTAGATCACTAGAATTTATAATCATTTACTATGATCCATGTTTTTTACTTATACTTATATCAGCTTATCTAAATGCTCCTAAATCAGTTAATCCTTCTCCAGTAATAGCAACTTTATAATTCAATTATTATAATGCTTTTACAATACTTAATTTTTATTCTGGTGATGTTCTAGCAAATACTATTTCTTATTAAGAACACCAATTTCCTAATTTGTTTTCAACAGAACTTAATCTTGTGACTTCTTATTGATCATCAACATGTAAATATAATTAATGTCCTTCTATAATAGTTGGATTATTATAATATCCTGTATTTTTACAAATAATTCTTGCAGTTTCTGGATGTTCTCCAGTAATAATAACTAATTTAATATTTTATGATTATAATTTTTCTAGAATTGGAATAGTTTATTCATTAAGACTATTATTTAAATATAAAGTGCCTAAATAAACAAAGTTTTATTTGTTGAATTCATAATCATTTTCATTAATTTTCAAATCTTCTTCATTTTCAATTTCTAAAAAAGCAAATCCTATACTTCTAAGTCCTTTTGAACATTGATTAACTAATTATTCATTAAATAACTAAGTTTATTTAATATCAATTTTATCAAATAATGTCTTATTACAATAATTCCATATTACTTCAGGTGCTCCTTTAATATATACAAAATATTTTTATCCCTATTCCACAATTGATAATGAATATTTCTTACTACTATTAAATGGCAAATGATATTAAATTCCATTTACATAATATTTAGTATTTTTAATTAAACTATCTGTATCATCATCTTTAAAACAATCAATAATACTCTTTTCTGTTCCATCTAAATTTGTATGATTACAAGTTAATATTGCACAATAATATAGATGTATAGAATTGTATTTACGACATTCATATAATAATTATTTACAATCATTAAAAGAATTGAATGTGTAATTCTTACTAGTAATTACTTCATTTAATCCAATACATAAACAATTGATTTCACTTAATCTCTCAATACTTTCAGCATCCTTAATTAAAAATCTAAGTTTAGCCAATCTCCTTATTGCCATTTAAAATGATATCGTAACTATTACTAATAATCCTACTGGTACAATTGCTATAATCACTTACTCAACTACTCTAAATCCATATGCAAATACATTAGAAGTATCAATTTCAGACATAACACTACTCCAAATTATTACTAATATTATAACAAATAATGCTATTAATGTCATTATTTATTAGAATAAAATTAATTATTTCTACAATAACTTACTCCCTTATCTCTTTTGAATCTATGCAATTGTAGTACTTGATCCAGTCTTAATTACCACAGCTTTACCAAATCCACTTCTTATTAATGATCCACAAAATATCTATGAACCTTTTATTGCTTAAGTTATATCCTGATTCATTTATATTTATAAATCAGAAGATTCCAATACTCTCATATCACAATAGATTACTAAACCTTCTTTAATCACACAAATATCTCCTGATACTAGATTCTAAACCTAAAGATGCTACATTTTTCCATCTCTGTATACAGTGATGATTTATTCATTATCTTTCTCTATAGCATATTAAGATTTCTTTCTTTATTGATATCCCATTACAAAAGTAATTGTTATTACTATTAATAATAAACAAGATGTAATTATTTCTTCTCCACTAAATTCAAGATTATTTTAACTTCCATATATTGCTAGACTAATTGAAATCATTGTTGCAATAATTAGATCAAATGCAAATAAATTTAATTCTTTTATAAACATTTTCCAATCACTTACATCAATTGATTTTGATTATTATCTTTTAGATGCTTCTTCACTAGAAAGTCCAATACCAAAATTAGTTTTCAAAAGTCTTTCTAATTAATCCAAAGGACAAAAGTATTCTTGCATTTCTGCATACTTTTCATATACACTTGGAGCTGGTCTCTCTATCTTTTAGTCTTATTCAGCATAATTTATACTCATTTAGAGTTTAGTCTGGATATCAGGTCCTTTTTCTAGAAACCTAAATAACTCACATTCCTACCTAGGCTTGCATATCAGCATATCCTACATTTCGGAATCTGTCATCTTCTATTTATAATCTAATATATTAAATTTTTTTAATTTTATATGGAACACAGAAGTATCTAAAATCAAAAGATTAATATTTTGTTATTATTCTTCAAAAAATATCCTATATTACATTATAACTATCAATTATTGTTAACTATGTTAATTTATCATGATAACTCTTATGTTATTAATTATGTTTACATTATTATTAAGATATTAAATTGAAATATTTTAGTTTTTAGAAATATAATTTTTGAATTGAAGACAAACATATATTAATATATTGAAAATAATGATAAAATATATATGAATATCTACTACTATGAATTATTATTATATAGATTTATAAATATTTTTTAATTTTCTTAATAATGAAAAAATTGGATATGATTAAGAAATAATGAATATTAGAAAGATTTCTATTTAAAAATAAGATTTTAAATTACTCAAATAAATTAATAAATTTCATTAATAGCTTTAGTAATATTCTAAATTTCATTTTATATATTTGAATAATCTTATTCTAATTTTAAAACAGTTTAGAACTATTTAAATATATTAAATAAATCAGATTCCATTTTATCAATCTATATAATATTGAATAGAATTATACTTAATCTTTTTGATCTTCATATTCAGTTTATACGTCATGTAAAACTCTAGTCAAAACTGTGCATGCATCTTCAACAGATTTGATTCTTTCATCTTTTTCAATAATATCATTCTAAATTTATTCGAATTTCTATGGTATAGCTACAAGAATTTGTTTGCCTGTGTCAGTTAATTCTGATATCTATTATTATAAAGATTCAGGAATGACAGGAGTAATGCAAGTTAATTTATGTATAACATCCTCTAGATTTAAAATTCTTTTTTCAAGTTCAAACAATTTATCATTACTATTTTATTACAATTGTAACATTTCTAATTTATTGACAACAGACCACATTTGTTTAAAAGCAAGATCAAAAATTTCATAAGTTACATATTAGTCAGGACAAATAGTTTTGAGTTATTCAATTGATAATGATCCATCTGATGAATGGATTCTTTTAGTATTTTTCTTTTAACTCATAAATTGAATAATAATTTTTATGGGAAATAATTGTTGTGAATGTTGTATAAAGAAGAATTAAAAAGATAATAATTATGATGCAAATGAGAAGGAAATTGAATAAACAGTGGATTATAAAATATAAAAAGGACCAACTCATATAAATGTTTTATATAAAAATTTACAAACAAGTAATTGCATTGTATATGTTTCTTGTTGTGATGAAAAAGGTAGAAACTCATAAAATTCATTACTATAAAAAGTATATAAATGAATAAATATAAGAATGAATAAGTTGCTGAATAATTGTTGAAAAAAAACAATCAAATAGGATAACTTAGTGAAATTACAATAGGGAAAGTCTTTTTTTTCTTTTTTGTTTTGCCATTATATTTAGGGGAAGAATAATAAATTCTCCTTTTAAAACAATAAATAAAATAATTTGCATAAATTATTATAGATAGAAATTTGACTGAAATTGCAATTGAAGATATTGGAGTTTAAAGATTTGGATATCCAAGATAAGTAAGTTTAATTTATTTATAATAATAAGCTTGTAGCTAAATTGATTATTGAAACATTTGCTAATTAATTACATAAGATGGTAAGTTTAAATAGGATTGATTTTATGATAAATGATTTAAAATCAAAATTTTTGTTTGAAGAAGAAATTCAAGCAAGAAGGGAAATTTTATTAAAAGGAGATTCCTTATTGAAAATTGATTAAACAGATGAGAAATCTCTAAAATAGCCTTTGATGATCTGAAATATATTATAAAAACAATAAGTTTTGATTAACTATTTAATAATTAAAATGCCACCTAAATAATAAAGAGTTCCTATTAAAAGACCATAAATTGTAATTATTTTTAATTTCAATTCTAGAAAAAATAAGCCAAATAAGTGAATCAAAATTTAAATCAATAAGATCCTGAACCAGATGGAGATGAGTCAGAATACTAACATGAAGTTTTGAAACAAATTTTAATTTTATTAGAGAGAAAAAGAGAGACCTCAATTAACTGATAAAGAACTGAATGAAGACATGCCATCTAAAATGCTTATACCCAATAATCCTCAAGCACCAAAAAATATTACTTAATATGATTATTTATAAAGAAAGGTAACTACTAAACATTATGATAGTATAAAACTGATGAATTGGTTGAATAATTGATTCTACATTTTAGGATAGATGGAGAAATTATACATAAAGACTCTAATGAAGCTAGAATACAAGAAGAATTATAGGAAACAAAATAAGCATTAATCAAAGAAGCTTAAAGAAATTAAGAATTGGAGGATCCTGGAGCATCTAAAGATATTGAAGCAATTAAATAGACTATGAGAAATAAGTTTAATTATAATGCCAGGGAAGCGTAAACTGAAGGAAGAGTAATTAGAGAAAGAGGAGTTTCAACTGAACCTCCTCCAAGTGATACTATAAAAGGTCAAATTACTCAATGGGAAATATTTGATGCCTACATTTAGAATAAGGCTAAGGAAGAGATATAAAAGAAAAAGGATTACAATTCTGACAATACAGTTTATAAACCATCATTTAAAAGATGTTTAAAAATTATGGAAAGAACTGTGGTTCATAATGATTAAAAAGAGAAATATAATGATTATAAATATTATTGGAATTAAGGAGAAGTAGTTGAAGCATCAAAAAATGAAGGGTATATATTATATACATATTAAAAGACATTTATTACCAATTTGGAAGTTTTCAAATGAGAAATAAAAAAAAAAACATGTAACTTCTATGTGTTGGAATCCTCGTTATATGGATTTATTTGCTGTTAGTTTTGGTAGCTATGAATTTTCAAAATAAAGAATGGGTCTTATATGTTTATATTCTCTTAAAAACACAACTCATCCAGAATATGCATTCACATGTGAAGCAGGTGTTATGAGTTAAGATTTTCATCCTTAAAGTCCAGCATTATTGGCTGTTGGATTATATGATGGAACAGTGTTAGTTTATGATATTAGAAATAAACATAAGAAACCAATTTATTAATCAACAGTAAGAACATAAAAACATACAGATCCTGTATGGTAAGTAAAATGGAATCCAGATATTTCAAAGAATTATAATTTTTATTCAATATCATCAGATGGTAGAGTTATGAATTGGGTTCTTATGAAAAATAAATTAGAACCTGAAGAAGTCATTAGATTAAGATTAGTAGGTAAAAATGAAGAGGAAAGTGCATTGATTGGATTAGCTTGTGGTTTATGTTTTGATTTTAATAAATTTGAACCTCATATATTTTTAGTAGGAACAGAAGAAGGAAAAATCCATAAATGTTCTAGAGCATATTCTGGATAATATTAGGAAACCTATTAAGTAAAATTATATAATAAAAATAAATAGGGTCATAATTTGGCAGTTTATAAAGTGAGATGGAATAATTTTCATCATAGAACTTTCATATCAGCTTCAGCAGATTGGACAGTAAAAATATGGGACTCAAAAATTTCATCTTAAATTATGAGTTTTGAATAAGGAATGTAAGTAGTTGATGCAATGTGGGCTCCATATAGTTCTACAGGTATAATAAAATATAATTAATTAATAAGTTTTTGCATGTGCTACTTAAGATAAAATATTTGTTTATGATTTAAATGTTGATAAAATTGGTAAGCTTGCAGAATAGAAACCATCTAAATAACCTAGATTAACTAATATTGCATTTAATTAAAGAGATCCAATTATTTTAGTTGGTGATACTCATGGTGGTATAACACTACTTAAATTAAGTCCAAATCTTACAAAATGTAAATAATATAAATTTAGATTTTTAGCTGGTGTAAAAGCATCTAATTTTCCAGATGGAAAAGTTCCAAAAGAATTAGAAAATATGTCAATTGAGGAATATGAAAAATAGAAGATGGAAAATCTATTATAAGTTGTTTCAAAATGGGAGAGAGAGGATTCTTGAAATAAAAAATTTTATGGATAAAAATATTATAAAAATATACAATAATTTTTAATGCACAATTACCAAGATAATAATTAAAAACTCTTTTATCAATTATGGAAAACTGGTAACAAAATATTGTGTTAAGGAAAGTTGTTAGTTGGGTAAATACTAATTTTATCAAAAGTTCTGAAAATCATAAATTTATTGCATCTCTTATACTAATTACAATACCAACAGTTTTATATTATGTGTTTATGGCACCGGTACTATAATATATTTATTTAGGCATTGGTTAAAAGTGATAAAGTTATTTAGGTGATTATTTTTATAATTCTGAATTGCTTAGTTTATATTTTGATTACTATTACAGTTCTAATGGATCCAGGTATTATCCCTAAAATAGTATTTATTTAAATATTAAAAGACTACAAATTATGAAATGGATGAATAGCTAATTTTAATTCCTTAAAAATATTTAAAAGTTGATCCTTAAGTATTATTTGAATCAAAAACATTATAAATGAGAGGATATCAATTTAAATTGAAGTTTTGTAACACTTGTAATAACTAAATTAATAATTTACAGGTGCAATATATAGACCACCTCGTGCTTCACATTGTCCTGCATGTGATAATTGTGTATTGAGATTTGATCATCATTGTCCTTGGATAGGAGCTTGTGTTGGAAGAAGGAACTATATTTATTTTTATCTATTTATCTTCTTTCTTTCTGCTACAATGATATATGTATTTTCTACTTGTGTTGCATATATCTTTGGAGATATAGATGATGATAAAGATAAAAGTGAATAGATAATCTCAACATTATCAAGAAATCCATATTCATTAGCCTTAGCAATTTATTGTTTCGTAGTAAATTTATAAGAATTAACCAGTTTTCATTTTTTGTTGTCGGTTTATGGGGATTCCATACTTTTTTAGTTATAACTAATATGACTACAAATGAATATCTAAAGAAACATTGGACTATTTAAAGTAAAAATCCATTTAGAAGGTAATTATAATTTTAATAATATAGAAAAAACATCTTTAAAAATATTTAATATGTCTTAGCTTGTATTAGAGATGTCAAATTTTTAGAGCTCCGTTAATTTGTATACGATCCAAAAAGTTATAATTAGGTATTATGAAATTATTCAACAAAGCCTATGACATAAAATCAAATCAATGAAAATGAAAATTTAAATCCAATTGAAGATAATCAAAATAATATTCCTAGAAGATAGTCTAAGTAAACTGTTGATCATGTAGAAGAGCAATGAATATTCAAACTCTTTATATTTTTATCCATTTAAAACAATTCTTTTTATTGAATTAAATTATAATACACCAATATTTATAAATAATATTTAATATTTGAGTAAATTCATAAATAAGTGAATTCTATCATTTATATATTCATGGTATTGAAGGCAATTTATAATGTAGCAATGTTTATTATTGTTGAGTAGGAATTTAACCATTAAATGATTATTTATACTTTTTTATTACAATGTCAAGTCTTCTTCTATGATTTTCAGTTGCTGTCAATCGAAATAATTTCTCTTATGATTTGAAATCCTAACTTAACACTTTTTAATACCTTTGCAATTTTAGGATCTATTTGACCATTATATTATGAAAATTCAAGCGGTTATACTTTTTTTAATGTCCATTTTGGACTTAAATTCGAACTTCCTTCAGTTATTTGAACTCCAAATTATTTAGCTAAAATTTACTAAGCCCATTCAGATCCATAGGGATCTTTTTTCTAAGGATGATTAACTGTAGACTATTTTATTTAAAGAAAAATAACTTCTATTCAATCTCTCTTTTGGTTTCTCTATTTTCTCTAATTACTCTGTTTTTAAATTTTATGATTAGATTTCTTGATTCTCTTAAGACCAATAATCCAAAATGGATAATGGCTCACAAAATTCTGCCTTAAATTAAGAACTTTAATAAAAAATTCCATCCTTTTGCTGTTTCATAATTTATTTTATTAAATTACTTTGATGAAATCTAATAATCTTTTGATAGAGTTGAAATATATTCGATAATTTTATTGTCATATAAAATAATCATGATTCAAAATATACTATTAGAATAAAGTATTAATCTATGAAATATAATATGGATTAACTTCAGAAATAGAATTATCTGAAGTTTCTTAAATAGATATAATTTTATCTATTTAAGAAACTTCTTCTTCTATATAGACTCTCTTAGATGATATTATGTTTGAACTTCAAAATTTATTATAAATTACTAATGAAAAACTTATATTTGTTTTATACTTTGATTGATCTATGTTAGTTAAACAAAATAATTTATATTTAGATTTTAAACAACTTACCTTATTTTTTGCAAAAATTTTCATATAACTCAAATAGAGAATATTTTAATTAATTTTCAAAGCATTCATTTCATTTTCTTTAACAAAATTTTTAGATATTTTTCTTGAATATAAGAGATACTTTTTTGAATTAATAATATCCAAATACTATAGGTTTCCTTATATAAAATTAGTAATACCATAATTGTATTCATTTTCTTATTCTACATTGTTTCTAATTTAAATAGTTCCTCTTTAAAATTATCTCTTAATTTAAGTACTTTAAAGTTTATTATTTTTAAGGCGGTTTTTGGGTTCTAATATGTAAATATTTTGAATTACATTTTCACTAATAGAACTAAAGTAAATATGGTATAAATTAAATTATACTTATAAAATTAAGCATGTATTTAAATAAAATATGTTCAATTATTCAACATCCTATTTTGCGAATTCAAATGAAAAAAACAATTAGTTGAAAGAGAAAATCTATAGTGCTCTTTATTCATCTCCTAACACATCTTAGTAAAATTTTGTTTTATCCTAATTAGTGATGTTATGAAGTGGATTCCGAGCAATGATATTTCAAATCTCTCTGTGTCTATTGAATAAGATATTGATAAAATTTTATAGGTAGTACCTCCTTTTTAATTTTAAACTAATAAACAGATCTCCTTCTAAAATTTGTAAACTTAACAATGTGTTGATCATTAACTTCAAACAATTTTAAATTCATCATAAAAAATCTATTCATAAAATAATTGTGAAGTTGAAGAAAAGCCAATTGAATAATCTTAAAAGGAAAGTAATTCAAAACTAATTAGAAGAGATCAATAACCTCAATCGAAGTAGAATTAATACATTTAGGATTTGATAATGAGATATCAAGAACCTCCTAAAAATGCTTTTTAAGAAGATTAAAATAATCCATCTAGCAATATTGAGGAGGAGTATGATGTCAATACTAAATAGTCAGTCACGAATCGAGAGTCTAGAGAAAATGGGTGTTTTATTAATAAAGATAAATATAAAAATAATGAACTTTCTAAGTTAACTGAACAATAAACATGTTTAAATTAAAGCGTTGGTAATTCTTTTATTTTAGATACATTAATAAATGAAGAAACAATCAAATAAACTATTTCAGTTGAAGTTGAGAGTTAAACTTTTAATACAAATTAAAATTGGGCAAAAATGAAGATAAGAAAAGAAGCCAAATAAAATGAAAATTACAAAACATAAAATTTTTAAGATCTTTTGTATTCATTACCCTCTTTTTTTATTCATTAAACTGAGGGTGAAATAAAAGTTGATAAATTAAGAGCTTAAGAAAATTAGGAAGGATATTATTATCAATCATTTGAGCTTACTGTAAATCCATATAAATTGATTGGACCAATTAATTTTAAAAAGCATCTTAAAATTGTATTTTTACATAATATCATAAATAGCATGTAAGATTTAAGAAGGGTTACTATGGTGTAGTTTATTATGATAGACTTTTGTAAAATGTAATTCCATAAAATTAAGTTGATGGTATAACTCTAAAAAATGAACCATTTTTATTAGCAAACAATTCTGAAAAACCCATTAAAGTGATTTGCTGCATTGTTGGAATTAAAAAATGACATTTATTAAATTTATAACTAAATCAATTTAGCTTTATTAAATAAGCTTTATTAAATATTAGCCATTCGTATTATATATGTTACCAAATCATAAATATACTTTTCCAAATATTAATCTACATATAGTAATATAATTCAATTTCACATTCATTAAAGAATGTTTAGTAATAAATTCATAAAATCAATTTTGATCTAAAAAGCTTCAATTTAAAAATTTATAAGCCAAAATTATCTCTTATAATTGTAGAATTTGTTATAATTATATGATTTCTTTTGAATTCAATTAATTATTTGAAATAGATAAAAAAGTCTTTTGAATGATTATAAATATGGAAACTTAAACCAAAAGATTAATATGTTGGTGTAAAACGGATTTTATTATTAATTATAATATAAATGTAAAAAACTTTGTTTCTTATATTGATGGTTTTGAGTTGTATGGCAACTGAATTTAATGATCAATTTGCTGAACTTGAGGAAAGTTAATTTGGATAAACTATCTTATAAACAATTTAGATGGAAATGTAAACAGATGATCCAGTTGTTTCTAATTTGATAGATATAATGCAGAATTTAGAATAAACTTTAGAAAGCGAGTAAAAAAGAGATGATGACAGGATTGTCAGATTCAAATAAAACTGTGATATTGCTTTAAGCTAATTAACAGAGATCATAAATACAAGCACAGTCTCATCACTTACATTAAAGAGTGATTTAGACTCATTAAATCCTTAAAAAGTCTAAGCTGTAGCTAGTTTGGAAAGAAAAAACTTAGAGATTGCAGATTTAAAGGCAGAATTAGATTACTAAACATTGAAAAGATAAAAGGAATCAGCTACTTATTAAACTATATTGGATAATTTAGAATAAGCACTTTTTGGAGTGAATTAAGTTAAAGGATATTTCAATAAATATTTAGATGTTTTAGTAAAGAACAGAAATAGATTCTAATAACCATAACCTTCATTTTTATAAGAAGATATGAGTTTTTAATATAATGATGATGAAATGGATGAAGATATTGAAACAAAGAGTATATCTTCTTTTGCTTAAGTAGCTTAAAAAGTTAACAAATTAAAACATCATGTAAAAATATTAATTAATTTTCAGGTTCATTTAGAAGGTTACAAATCTATGATTGAAATCTTGAGTCAATTAGCAAGTTAAGCTTAAACTTCAGCTGATGAACCAAGTTAATGTGAAGTTTTAACAAGAAAAGTTTTATCCATTCTTAAATAAATTGAAAGTTATATATAATCAGAAAGAATCAGAGAAGATTAAGCTGAAAATTTGAGATAAAGCTCTTTTGAAGATTTAAGAACTTTGTTATCTGATCAATTAGTAAAAGCTAATCAAGATAAAACTTATATGGAAGGTAAATTCAGAATAATCTTTAGGATTAATTGATTCATTATCAAATAGAATTCAATAAGCTAAAAATGAGAAATTTGAAGTTGATTAAAAGATTACAACAAAATCAAAGGAAAAAGAAAATAGAGAAAATGATTGTAGATTAAAGAGATAAGAATATGAAACAGATACTGCAAGCAGGTTCTATTATGATCCTATTTATTTAGAATTAAATAAAAGAGATCTGTAGCAATTGCTGTTGATCTAATTTCCTCTAAATTAGGCTAACTTAAGAGGAAATTATTGGAAAATTGATATGAAATATCATAAAATAATTATCATCTAATTTTCTTTTTATTCAAATAAAAATTCATTATTTTTTAGTTTAAATTATAAATTTTATTAATGGATTAAGAATTAATTATCAGTCCAAATGATAAAAGATAATATTCTTTAATAACACTTCCAAATTAATTAGAATGTTTAATAATATCAGATCCAAACACCAAAATATCTGGAGCATGTTTAGAAATATGTGTAGGATGGGTAAATAATTAATATAAATATTAGCTTGATGATCCAAAAGAATATTAAGGTATTGCTCATTTTTGTGAGCATATGCTTTTTATGGGATCTGAAAAATATCCAACTTAAAATGATTATACTTCTTTTATTTAATTACATTCAGGATCATATAATGCATCAACTTGGCTTCAAAGTAGCAATATTTTATAAAAAATTTAGGAACAAAATACCATTTTAGTATAGAAAATGATGCTTTTGTTGGAGGTTTAGATAGATTTGCATAATTTTTTATATGTCCACTTTTTGATAGTAGTTGTATTGAAAGAGAAATGAATGCAGTAGAAAGTGAATTCAATTTATCTTTAGCTGATGATTAATCGAGATTATGGGAGTAATAAATAAATTAATAATTATTTAGAATCTTTGTTCAATAAAGTGATCCATAATCTACATTTAATCGTTTTGGTTGTGGTAATCTACTTACATTAAACAAACCTGAAATTAGAGATTAATTGCTATTATTTTATGATAAATATTATTGTTCATCTTTAATGAAATTAGTTGTTTATACAGATAAAAGCACATAAGAATTAGGTTAAATGTATAATATATTATTAATAATAGAGTTCATGATATTTTTTCTTTGGTTCCTAATAAAGGTCGAAAGAGACCATTACATCTAGATAACCCTTTTAAAGGATAATTTTCTAAAGTTGATGTAGTTGGAATCAAATAGGAAGATTATCTATTTTTAAATTTTGTGATTCCTAATTATGAAAACAAATATTTGGGTTAACCTGAAAGTTATATTACTCATGTTTTAGGACATGAAGGATAAAATTCATTAGCTTCATTTCTCAAAGATGAAGGTCTTGTTACTGAATTAATAGTTGGATCACAAAGACTAAATGATTAAGTTAGTGAAATATATTTTGAAATTACTTTGACAGAAGAAGGATTTGATAATTATGAAAAAGTCATAGGTTTTGTGTTTTAATAGATTGATAAAATTAAGGAAAAAGGAGTTTAAAAGGAAATATTTGATGAAATTGCTTAAATTAAACATCTTGAATTTAAATTTAAAGAAAATTCATCCTCTGTTTTAGAATACATAGAAAAACTTAGTGAAAACATGCATAAATATCCTAAAAATCATATAATTTATGGAGACTATGCTTATGAATAATTTGATCCTTAATCTGTTAATGAAATTCTTGGTTATTTGAATCCAAATAATATGATTATTTTCCTTAGAAGTCCAAGCTTGTATATATATATATATTAATAATTTTTATAGTGCTGAAGATAAAAATGATGAAGATTTTATGTAAGAAACATATTGTAAAACTAAATACAGTAAATAATAAATTTCAAATGAGATCTTTTAGATTATTAAAAATTGTAATAATCTTAAAGCAGAAAAAACTCATAAAATAATTGATATTTTCCCTCCTAACATATATATTCCATAAAATTTTGATGTCATTTAAGATAAAGATGAAAATTAATATCCTATTAAAATCTTCGAAAATGATTATATTAGATGTTTCCATTTGAAGGACAATTAATTTCCTATATGTAAAGGTTCTTTTGGAATATAATTGTTTCCAAATTAAGATTTTGTGATTGATGAAAATGAAAGGGTATTATTTGATCTATGGTCAAATATATTCTATTCATAATTTGAAGAAACCCTTTACAATGCAGAGTGTGCAGGACTCTCATATAATTTAGATTCAGCATATAATTTTGTTTCTTTTAAAGTACATGGATTTAATGATAGCATTTTAAGATTTTACAAAGATTTTATTCAATATTTATTAGATTTTCATAAATAACCTAAAAAATATGTTAAAAAACATATATTTTAAGTTTAAATTGATGATTTGTAAGATAGATATGAAAATTATTTTATGAAAAGTCCATATGATTTAAATGCTAGTTATTGGAAATGCTTGATTTATAAATCAGGTAAATTTATGAAAGAATAATTAAGAGAAGTTGAAATAAAAATGAATGATTTCATCTAATTCACTGAAAAATTATTCAAAACTATAAGAATGCAAATATATTTTCATGGTAATATCTCTAAAGACACTGCCTTGAATTTGTGTTAATTAACTCATCAAATATTTTCAGAATTTTCAGAACCCAATAAATCTATTCAACCCTTATAAATAATAAAGATACAAAAAAATTAAACTTTTATATTTGAAAAATTAATCACAGAAAATCCTGAAGAACCTAATTCAGGTTTAAGGATATCATATTAAGGCGATTAATCACTTGATCCTACTCTAAATTTATACTTTGATTTACTTAATTCTATAATTTCTGATCCATTCGAAAATTAGCTTAGAACTAATGAATAACTTGGATATGTTGTTTATACAACAAAAAGTAATAGAAGAGGAATACATTTCTTTAATTTTATTATCATTTCAGAAACTAAATCAACCAAATAAATTGTAAATCGTATAGATACTTTTCTATAATCCTTTTTAACTCAAGAATTAACTTAAGTATTTTATTAAAATTAATATTTAGCTTAAAGAAGATTAATTTGAAAAGGTCAAATTAAGTTATTATAAAGATTAATCATAAGATTATTAAAATTTGAATGAAAAATTTAAAGATTTTTGGAATGAGATTTTAATTAATTAAAATGATTTTGATAAAAGTATAATATTTTTTATAATATTAGAATAAAAACTAAAAGAGAGAATAGATTCAATAACTCATGAAAAATTCTTAAATTTTGCTCATAATTTATTTAAGGACTCAAAAAGATTAGAAATCCATATTATTAATTAAAAGCATTTAGATTGGGAATTAGAACATTAAGAAAAAATTACTGAATGTGAATGGCACAATGATTTATTTTAATTGAATTGAGTAATTAAAATTTTATAATAATATTGGACCAATTTATATATTAGATTTTTATATTTAGTTAAATATCAAGATAATTAAACAAAAAAACTTGAAGATTAATTAATTTTAATCAAAACTAATTCTTATAAGTTTAGATATTATAATTTTTATTTCATAATTTTGATTTGTTAATAAGATGTTGCTTATTTTCAAATAGTATATTTAAATTCGAAAACTAATTATTTTAAACATTGTTAGGCAAAAGCATAATTAATTCATTTGTTGAAGGATACTTCCATACTTTTAATGGATATTAGATTTATTAAATTGATATTAATTCTTAATTATTTTTTTTTCTGGAGTTTTCAAATTGATAAATTTCATTTATTTTATGTTCAAGTTACTCAATCCAATTAAAACTTTTAATTTCACTATTTTTCAATAAGATTTTACTTACTTTTCCAATTTGCTATTTATAATCAACTAAAATTTTAAGCCGCTTTAAAGGTCGAGATATAAAGATTTAGGCAACATAATTCATTATTACTAATGTGAATAATGATCCTATACCATAATATAATTGATAAATTAACTATTGAGAAACTGTAGATTGCATTTAAGTAATAAGTTAATTTAATTTATCTTGATAAACATTTTCTTCAATTTATAAAATGAGTATTTGTTATTTTATTTGTTAAGTTCTTATGAGTTAATGAGCTGTTTCATTTATTTCAATACAAAGTGTTTACTTTAGTTCTGGTAAACATTATGTTTTGTAATCTTTTTAAATTGTATATTTTAATATTTCCTAAAAGTTTGATTCATTTAAACCTGTTAAACTTTCATTTTAAATAAATTTAAACTCTAATGAGAAATTCTTATAATAAGAACTAATAAGGAGTCTCCCAACCATATCAATTAATGATATTTTAATTCCATCAATTTAAAAGTCAAAGACAGAAAAAGAACTCATATTATAATCATGACCAATAACTCCTTTTTATATAAAGTTTTAATCTTTTAATGTTGTTGTTTCAGTAAACATTACTCCACTAAACATTGATATATACGGATCACTTAATACATATAAACTTGTATTTTATTTAAGTTAATGATTCTTATACCAAGGTCTAGAATGAGGATAATAATTTTTTAAAATAAATGTTGGATAAATAGAAAAATATTAATCGTCTTGACTTGAAACAAAATAAAGTTTCTCAACAGGTATTTAATGTTTTAAGGAATCCATCAAATTTGTTAATGTAAAATAATCACTAGTATTAGATTAACTTGATTAGTTAGGTATTAAATAGCAAAATTGATTGGTTTCTTTTTTAAAATATTCACAAATTCCACTGTTTTCCTTTGAATAAATGTTATACCTTTGCATTATTAAAAAGATTTCTTAAATTGATCTTATAGATTATTAGCTTTAATAGTTTACATATTCTATGCTTCTTGCATATTATGACAAAGCTTCTGTTGTTAAAATTTCAATTTTCTATAAAAGCATTTTTCTTTAGTCTTATTCTTGTTATTTTATTAACAAATTTTAAACAAATAATAAATATCCAGCTACCAAAGCAGCTACAAGCAAATTAGCAATTATTTGTAAAATTAATATTTGTGATTTAATCTTCCATTACCTCATTTATCCAATTTAATAATAAAATTAATTAAATTATTGATATAGGATACAAAGGTATAAATTTTTATTTTCACAAAAAGAGGGATAAACATGATTTAATTCAATTTTTAAGTTTAAAAAGAATTTTTATATAAAGAGCGTATTAACTGTTTCTTTTTATTATAAAAAGTCATTTATTCAAAAATAATAAGTTAATTATAAAGGGTTAAACAAAAATTATAAAAAACAATATAATGTATTAATTTATATTATTCTTTTATTTTTTTACATTATTCTAAATTAGAAAAGATAAAATTAGGTTGGAGTAAGTGTAATGTATATATATATATTTTGTATAAATAAGGAAAATTTTGGAAAATTTCAAAAATTTGAAGAAAATATCAAATATATTTTTCATAAAAACCAAAATAATATTCAATAAAATGATTTCTTTCCCATAACACTAATAATTAACTAAAGGATTAGATTTATTTTATAACTGTAAATCTTTCTAATTAAATTTTACCATAATTACATTTAAATAAAGTTATTTTTTTCGAACAAATTTTTATGAATCTATATATAAATATATTTAATACTTTATAATACAAAACTAGTTTAAAGTATAAAATATCAATTTTTTGAAAATTATGCAAACTATAATTATAAAAAATAGTCTCATTCACTCAAGTTTAAAAAAATTATTTAGCCTTTGAGAATTAAATGCTTATTTAGAAAAATAAATATGAAAAATATTGATTTACCTAACCCATTAAAAATAGTTAATAATTGATTTTTTAAGTATATTATATATTTTTCTAATTATTATTATTTACTTAATTCTCTCAAATTTAAAGCTTCTATGATCATCTAATTTTGTATTCAAAATAAATATTAAGATGAAATTGAAGTGTTTGATTTTAATCCTAAATTTTATTGTAAATTAAAATTTTTATAATCTTCATAATAACTCAAAAATACTTCATTTCTGTACAAATTCTTCATTAAAGAGTTTAAATAACGTTTTCAAAATTAAAATAAATTTATTGTACCTAACTTAAAAAATTAGAGGTTCCATTTATTTTAATCTAAGAATATGAATTTTTAAAGGGAATTATTTGATTAAATACTCTTTAGAATTATTATGAATTTTATCTTTAAATTAATAATGTTATTTTTTATTCTTTCGAGATTTTTGAGTTGGAAATAAAGTAATTATTCTTAATTATTTGATTTATGTTTTTGAAAAAATAATCAGCTCCTTTTAAAGTACAATTATCAATGATAATATTACTAATATTTCATTTCATAAGATAACTTATATCTTATAATTATCAAAGGGATCAATTTATCATATTTATGATGTCGAATTGTTTATTCCAAATTGCATTAGAAGTCTTATTACTTAATAAGATGAAATTTTGTTAAAAGAACGTTTAATTTGTGTTAATTTTGATTAATATTATTCTCTTTTAAATAGAATCAATTAAATATGACTTTGAGAATGTGGATTCTACTTCTTTTTTTATTATTATAATATTCTTACTGGATGACTGCTAAAATTAAAATACTAGAAAAACAATTGGGTAAATAATGAAGAAAGGTCTACTTTTAATAATTTTTTTAAGTTTTCCATACTTTAAATAAGATTAAGAAGATAACAGAATAGTTTGTTATTATTTTAGAATTTTTAATTAAAAATTAAATGTAGCACTTTCTATTTACTTATTATCTGAAAAAAAAGGACATAAAATTAAAGAATAGAAATTGAATTGTTTATCCATTATTGATGAAAAAATTATATAAAAATAATTAGAAATTTAGTAATAAAAGGAGGGTCAAAACAAAATAATTAAAAGATACTCTTTTTAGGAACTAAGTGAGATGATTACAGAAAGGAAATTAACTTTATAAAAACATTAATCTTCATTTTAAATAGATTAAAATATATTATTGGATTGTTTATCAGAAGCAGTAATTATTATTAAATTTGAAAAATAAGAAGATTCCAACTATAAACCAAGAGTTGATTATTAAAATTAAATAAGTAAAGTTATGTTTTAGAAAAATAATTAAGATCTAATGTTATTTTTTGAAAAAATTTCAAGTGAAGTTTTGAGTGATGAATCACCAATTAATCCTAGAAGTTCTTTATTATCATTTTAGAGTCTTGCATAATAATAATTAAAAAATATGAAAAGATCAAATAAATTTAAGCCATAATAATACTTTGTAACAGAGATGAAATAAAATACAAAATCTGGAGAATAATCTCTATCACCAAGATTGAGATCATTAACTATTTAAGTAATATTAATATATAAATTAGTTAAATACAGTTTATAAATGTTTGTTCTATGTTTTCAATACTAAGAAAATAAGATTTGAAATAAATGGCAAAATGGATGCTTTAATAATTGAAACAAATTTTGAGATTGATAACATAAAAAAAACTGTAGAAATCATAATTACAATGGGGGGTGAAGATTAAATACTTATGATAGCTAGAGATGTAATGCATAGAAAAAACATAAAAGAATTATTTGAAATAAATCAATCTAAATCTAAAATATTATCTTTTGTAAGTCATGAATTTAGATCTCCTTTAAATGTAATGATAAATGTACTCTAAAATATCAAATAAGATAAAAGTATAAGTGATTCTTTATTGTAAAATCTTACTATACTTTTAGAGAATTCTTTTTATATGTTAAATTTATCAAATGATTTGCTTGATTTAGCATAAATAAAAAATGAAACTTTTAGTTTAAATTAAAAAACAATAGATATTATATAATTAGGAGAAGAATGTTTAAAAATGTTTTAATTATAAGCAGAATAAAAAAAATTATAATTAGCTATAAAAACTAATATTAAACCATTATATATATATACTGATAGGAATAGATTGAAATAAATAATAATAAATCTTATAGCAAATGCTATGAAATTCACATTAAAAGGAAATATTACAATTAAAATTTAATAAAAAGGATTATTAGTAGATATTGGAGTTGAAGATACTGGATTAGGAATATCAGAATAAGATTAATCTAAATTATTTAAAGCTTTTGGTAAACTTAAAGATGGGGAACATTAAAAATTAAATGAATAAGGAGTTGGATTAGGATTAGTAATTAGTAATAAAATAGCATAATAATTATCTTTTGATAATTAAGGATTATAAGTGATTTCTAAAGATGTTACTTAATAAGATCATGGATCATACTTTTATTTTACATTAAAACTTAAATATTTTCATACAAAAGCCAATTTATAATAACTTTAGCAAGTTTAAATTAATGATAAAGAGTCTCCATTGTCAGATTAATAAACATAATTTTAATAATTTAGAATAACAATTAATAAAGATTCTTAATCTTTTTCTGAAGTTGAAAAATATCTTGTTAAAAGTATTTGCAAACACATATTAATTGTTGATGATAATGTATTTAATTAAGCAATTTTAGAAATGCATATTAAACAATTGTAAATCTATATAATTTTTATGATAGTACAAATTCATAAATTGATAAAAATAGTAGTGGAATAGAAGCAATTGAATCTGTGAAATCTAAGAAATGCAATTAAAATTGTTTAGGATATTAAGCTATATTTATGGATATGGAAATGCCTGGTTTAAATGGAATATAGGCATCTACTTAAATTTTATAAATTGATCAAAATATTAAAATCTTCATAGTTTCTGGATATGATAAATCTCAATTTAATGAAGAAGTCAATACAATAGGAATTAAAGATTATATTGTAAAACCAATTTGTAAAGAAGTCATTTAAAAAATAATATTAGAAAATCATTTATGAATTTAAACAAGAAAGTGAAAATTTATAGTATTTATCAAACTTTATTTTTTAAATTCCTGGCCAACATCTCTTATTCTTTATATTTATTAATTCTTCTTCTTAATTCATCCTACTTCTGATCAGTAACCTTTTCCTTAAATAATTCAGGATATACTATTATATTTTAATTATTATACATTACATAATTTTGCTATCATTTTATCCTCTTTTACAAAATCAGATGTAGTTTTTAATTATAGTGGAAATCTACCTTTAGTATTTATTGATTATTTTTATGGGGTTGGTAACTAATATTCATAAATATAATACTTTAAACATTTCAAGTTATTGTTCTTCCTCTTTCAATATTTATTCAAATTCTTTTATAGATCTGCAATTTAAATTAGACTTTGGAGGTTTGTTAAAACTTCTATAATCGTATGATTTTGAATCAAATAAATTACTCATGTCTTTGAAGTGTTATTCATTGTTTAAATCTAAATTCTAAGCATTCTATATAGATTAAATTTGTTCTGGCTCAAGAAGACTTTGATAATTAGATATACCAGTTGTTATTTTCATTTAAGGTTAATTCTTAGAAAATGAAACTGGAAATACAAATTATTTTTCTCTATATGTTTATGACATAAATGATTTATTTGTTGTTGTGAAATGTTCTAAATTAGGAAGTTATTTAGGTCTTGGACATTGAGAATACCATAAAAATTTATTTCCCTTTGGAGTATAGTAAGTGAATCTTGATTATAATGATTTTGCTTTAGCCGGTAAATAAGAAGGCTTAAGAGCCAACTTTAATCTTTATTTAAACCCAACACGTCCTGTCAAAGAAGGATCAAATTCTTTAATATAATCTCCTGTTTTGTAAACTCTTTACTTTTCTCCAGTCTGATTGTTAATTAGGTAATAATTATTTGTTTCTTAATCATTCCAAAATGAGATCATTTTTGTCTAATAAAAATTATATTATAATCATTTAGTAAAAGCAATTTAGTGATCATCTTTTTCTTAACCACTTTATTCCTCTTAATCCAAAGAAAAATGGGTTAATGGACTAAGTTCTTCCAAAATTTCATTTTGATTCTGTATTAAAGTACAACCAACTTTTGGACCATATAGAGGAGTTCGAGTAACGATAGATAACTTCTTGCTCTCTTAACGTAATAATTATTAATTAGGACTATTGTAATTTTAAAGATATTGGTTAAAGGAATCTTTATTGGGACTTTCTTCAATTTAGAAAGTATTGAATTAAGCTATTTTCTATTATGATTGTTATTATTCATTATTTTAAAAGAATGGATGTTATAGACATTAAATAGAAGTAAAACGTTATTAAAAATTATGGGCTATCATATTTAATCTATATTTAATATCAATATTTTTACAATAAATCTTTAGCATAATAGTCTAATTGTTGATATTTTGGTTTTGAAAAATCAACCTAAAATTCTTTATTCATTTTTAAAATCTCTTAATAATCATTTCCTATAAATAAACCTTATCCCAACAATAAAATATGAAATATAACTCCTGCTGAAAATATATCGCAAGCAGGTGTGTATGACTAAGTTTTATCAATCATATTTGCAATTTCAGGAGCAACAAATCCTGGTGTGCCACATTTTGGATATAAATAAGGAAAAGCATCAACTTCTACTGAAAGACCAAAATCTGCTATTGCTAAAGAATTTAGATTCCCTTTTTCTTTAAATAAAATATTCTCTGGTTTTAAATCTCTATGCATAATTCGTTTAGAATGTATATAATGTAATCCTGATAAAATTTAATACATTATCTTTTATAATTATAAATTATTTACTTTCTGAATTTCTACTCTATTATAAAGATTAATCCTATTTTTCATTTCCTTAAATAAACTTCCACCTTAAGCTAGATCCATAATCAGGTATATATTATTGTCTCCTTCATATACTTCAATGAGATTTATTAGTGATTTGTGTGGACTTAATATTCTCATTATTTTTATTTCATTAATGACTGATTACTTAATATAACACTTTTTAATTACTTCTCCTAATTCTATAGTCTTCACTTTATTTTGGTCAATGCACTTGGTTGCAAATCTTTAATTTGAATGTAAATGCTGTAATTCAAGAATCTAATTTAACTATCAACTGTGATATACTAATGCATAATTTCCTTGTCCAATCACTTGCTAAGCGATATATTCTTCTTAAACTTTTGCGTAAAAGAAGAGTTTAGAAACATTTTATTTTAATCCACGAAGTGTTTCATCTTATCCAAAATATTCAAATTACAATTCCCCACAATCAAATATCAATCCCTTCAATTTAGAAGGTATATCATTTGTATATCTCCAAATTAATCGTTTTGTATTAGTGTTAGAAAATATCCGATCAGCTTTTTTTTTATTGGAATCCTATAAGTATAAATTTTTCTGATTTATACTTTATTTGCAATCACGTGGTCAGGAAAGACATAGAAATAACGAGTAGATGAACCAAGGAACAATTTTTTGAATAGACAACATTGATATAATTCATCACAAGATTTAGGAAACATTATAATTAATGATTAAGTCTTATATTGATGCAGCCAACAATTATAATTCTTCCTGCTTAATCTAAAGAAGTTCTTCATAAGTTCTCTTAGTGATTTCTAATTATTTATTCATTAATGATGATTAACTTATTGGTACCTTCTTTTTCTTCTTAATTCTAAGTTATTCTTCAGTTTTTTGTAACTTTTGTAATGTTTCTTCCAATTATTCTTTAATTTATGGAAATTCCACTAATTATTTATCTTAAATTGCTATTTTTTATACTGATTACTCAAATTAACTTCTAATTACATTATTATCCTAAAATAAATATAATAATATATTACTTCAATTAAATTCAGTACTTTATCTTTTGCCTCTAATAATTCTTATTCATATTTATGTTATTCAATAAAAAATTATTCTAATTTAATTTATAATTCCTTCATTTCTTTTTGTAATTAGTTTTATTTCTCTTCATATAATGCTCTCTCTGCTAATAAGTCAGAACATTATGTTTTCCAGAAAGATAATTAAGATGACAATATTTCTTCATCAAAACTTGTATCTTATTTTTTAATAAAATTATAACACTCATATTTTTCATCAGTTTATGTGTGTACATCTAATTTCAATTTTTGATCTCCTTCTATTAAATAATTAGATTTTGTTATTAATTAAGACAATTCTAAACCTAGATTTCTTTTTGGAGTGAATATTCCACTGAAGTTTCTTCTTTCTTCCCCATCATTTAAGGAATGCAACATAACAGAACTATTTTCTAATTAGGATTATTCTGTTTTATTATGAATATTGTGTTCTAAATCTATAATTTCTTATTTTAATCTAAATATTTCTTATTCTCTTAATTTCAATTATCTACTTAAAGATTCATTCTCTGATCTAGCTTTGGAAATATCGAATTCCTATTAGCTTGATATTTTTTAATTTTATTTTTGTAACTACTTTTGTTAATCTAATTTTGATTATAGTTAAGTAACTTTATTAGTTAATTCAATATTTTCTTCCTTTAATTTTGAATTTTATTTTAAGTTTTCCTTATTTTTATTTTATTCTTAAAGAGAATCAGATAATTAAGTTTTAAGTTATTCACAATATTTTTCTAATTTTTACATTTATGTATATTTTCTATATCCTGCTTCCAATTTACTCCTTAAATCTCTTACTATCTCTTCATGAACATCTTTTTCTTATTATTAATCATGTTTTAAAGTTTCTATAATTAATTACATTCCTTTTATATCATCAATTCTATTATGAATATACTCACAAACCTCATTAACAGAATTTGTTTATGTAACTTCATAAATTTGATTTAAATCATCATTTAAAGAATTTATTGTTTTCTATCTTAATTCTAAATCTGCTTGAACAATTTCAATATCTTCTTGCATCTTTTTTTTCTCCATTTCATATTATTCTTTAAAAAGTATTAATTCTTAATTCAATTTCTAATTTTCATATTCTAATTCCTCAAATTTTCTTAATACTTCATCAGATATCTTAGATTCTTGATCCAATGAAATTTAAGATTATTCTTCTTAAATTAATTTTAATAGAATCATTTAAGTTTCTTAATCCAATTACATCATTGGAGTTACCAATTCACTTGAATATGAAGAGTTAATTAATGCTTATATAAGACTTACTATCTAATATATAATAATTTATTTATACCATCTCTAAAATACACTATTCATTTCTATTTTTAACAACTTAAAGAAAATTTGGTTTTTATTAAAGTTTAAGTTTGCTTTCAAATGCATTCCATAATTCCTTCATTACTTTCATTTACATTTCCCAATTTTCACTTTATTCCAATTAAATTTCAATTTCAAAACTTAATTAAGATAATTTGCTAATACATGTGATATAGCATTTATTATAGAGCAACACCTGAACTAAAATCTGATATTTGATTCAGCTTAGGTTCAATAAATTAAAAAGAGTTGATCTATTTAAAATCTTATACTTACTAAATTTAAAATAGATGAAATTTGCTTGTGATTTTTACTATTCATATAATATAATTATTGAATTTATTAAAATTAAAATATATATATTATAATATCAATTAAGGTAACATTGTTTAGTATTTTTTCATTGATCTATATAGCCAGCAAAATAAATATACATATTGATATTTTATAATATCTTGTATTAAAAACTATTTGAAATAGAAAATTTGATCAAATTATTTTTGATAACTTTGTTCTATAGTATTGATTAACAATATAAATATTCTCTAAATATTCTTTATGATAAGAATTAGAATTCAAAAATCAATTACTAGAAATTTTGATTATCCAAATAAATTAAGATTATATATAAATATAAGCTATTATTTATTTTATTTTTTGACATTTGATAATTTTTAACAAGTATTAAGTATTTTCTGAATGTTATCCTAAAGCATATTCATTTTATTAATATCTACTAAATTTGGTAAGATAACAATAGAAAATTATTTTAGAGAGTTGAATGTTACTTAGGTTATTTTAATTCAAATTTTAGAAATTCTTAAAAAAAATCCTAAAGAGTGAATTCATTAATATGATATAAAAAATTAATTCAAAAAGTGAAAACGTACAAATAAAAACTGTTTATTAAGAGTTTTCATTCATAATTTGAAAATAATAGATATTTGTTAAGAAATAGAATAAAAATCAAGAATAATAAGATTAATTTAGAGAAATGATCAAGAATACTCTTTCAATGAAATTAAAAAATGGAATTATGAATAAATTATAATAATTTATTTAATTTAAAATTTTTTGAATTTAAATAATTACAAACGTTAATAATTAAAAACAAATTGTATTATAATAATATTTTAGTAGTCTTGTTTAGTTTAACGTATACAGTCTCTTCTTCATTTATAAATTATCATAATTAGCACAAATATAGAATTCATTCATACAAATTAATTTTATTAACAGTTGTATTTGTAAACTTCAAGAAAGAATAAAATATTAATTTAAAATATAATTCTGTAAAAATACATTATCAAATCATGCTATTAAGGCTAAGAGGACAAATGCTCCCAAAATGACTGAATTACTAGTGTCATCATTGTCAACCAAATCATCACAAGCAACACATTTATTGTCAGATGACCATTTATAATTTCTAAATGTTCTTGAATAACAGTTATCTTTTGTTAAGGCTGAAGTATCAGCAGCATCAGCACAAGTACCACTAGTGGAAGACCAAGTGCATAAAGAATAGGTGGTATCACCTGTTTCAATAGCGTTACATCCGATTTCAGTGGTGGCATCTGAGCATTTTTCAGCACGGCAAGCAGTTCCTTCATAAACACAACTGCCTGAAGAATTACACCTACTTGTGAAATTGTTAAGATCTGAGCAAGCAGAGACTGCTCCCAATGATTTACATGTATTATCGTTAGCCCAAGCACAGCTTGATGTTTTTGAATCAGCTCCCATGCATGTAGCAGCTGTTGTAAATGATGAACATGTAACAAAAGTGTAAGCAGCACAAGTTCCTGATGATGCTGTACACCATTAATCTGCAGGACAATTATCTGCAGCATAATCAGCACAAGATGAAAAGCTAGCACAAGCATTGGATTTGTTCCAATAACATTCGTCAATATCATTACAAAGAGCAGCAGTTGTTCCATCAGAACATGAAGGATCCCATTCTTCACAAGTTCCACTATTCCATTTGCATGAATCTGCAGCATCACAAAGAGTTTATGATGTTAAATCTTCACAGGTCAAACTGTATGCTTAGCATTCAGCATCTGATGTGTTCCAAAGACACCAAGCTAATGCTAATGCACAATCGGCTTGATTGAGTTCTGTGCAGTCACAATGTTGTGAGGCATCAACTGTAACAGCTGCTGTTGTTAAACCAATGAGGCAAAGTGAGATCAACACTTATCTTAACATTTTAATTATTAATAAGTATATCTTTAATTAACCCCCTTATAAACAGCGACAGGTAAATTAAAATGCCAATATGAAATAAATTAATTTGAATTAATTCAAAAATTATTCATTGTACAATAATTCAATTTTTTTTTACATTAATTTTTTTAAAATTTTTGTTTTCAACTATGTGAAAACTAAATGAATAAGGCTTTAAGTTTCCATTAATATTATTTCTAATAATGATTTGTATATTTTTTTTCTTTCACCAAATTTTTTTTCTTTTCCTCTTAATGGAGTTTGATTATACTCTTTTTTTAATTCATGAAATTTAGGAAATCATACAAAAATAGTTATTTTTTGGCTCTAAACCAACTTTTTAATACACATACAAGTTAGAAAATAAAGGAGCTTTTAGATTAAACAATTTCTTTAAATGCTCTACATTATATATTCTTAAAATTTTATTAATATATATGATGTCATTTATAGCCTTAAAAAGTAGGTAAAATAGTATAGAAGAGTTTTATTATTGTGGTTTTAACTTAATATTTTAGAAATCAATAAGATTAAGCCAAAAGCAGTTTTTATATTACTTTATTGTTTTAACAGTTTCATTTCTTAAATATAAAAGTTTCGGTATAGTTGATAAACTTTAAGAAGGATAACAAAATAAATGTAATTAAGCTTAAAAAACTTTAAAAGAAGGACTTATATTAGTATAAATACCATTACACAAATTATTTTTAACTGAAAAATATCAGCCATTTATTAAATCAACAAATAAAATTTAAATAACGAATTAATGCATTTTTTTAATTTTTTCAATATATTAATTGATTGAGAATTATGAGTAATTAAAACTTTACCAAAAGGGTTGTTAGAACCAAATTTTCATTTTTCTAATAAGTAAGTATATACTATCTATGTCTTGAGTAAAAATTGATAAATATATTACAAAAACCAAAAAATAGAATATATTTAATAGATAAAATATTGTGGAAAGAATTAGTTACAAAAATGATATTAGGTTTAAAACAATGAATATTAAAAACTTAAGAAAATGAATGACTTTTAGATTATTAATGAGAAAACTATAAATTATTTGAATTTAATGGTTATAAATTATGAATATTGTTAAATTTCTTAATAAGTGAGAAATAAATTGTTTATAATATATTAAATTCACTATTAATTAGATTGAGATTAATTTATAATCAAATTGATATGAATAAATTATTAATAAAAATTTTAAGTAAACCTTCTTAAATATTTAACAAAATATTAAATCTATTATTTAGTTATTATTTATATAATCCAAGAAATTATTATTTTAAGAAAGATATAAAGAGATCAATAACAATGAAAAAAGAAATTGATTATAATTGTAATCATAATTAATTCAGCTTCTTATAAACTCTTAAATAGAATATAAACATTGATAAATACTTGAATTATAATCAATTTAGAGATTAGTTATTTAGGTTCTATTGAATTAATAATAATTATAGAAATTATAATTGAAATGTATAGTAATATAGGGAATATATAATTTGTATTTATTTAAGATGAAATATTTAATTTAAAAATTATATAATGAGAAATTAAATGTAATTCGAATATAATGAGTTAGTTAAATAAACAAAATTTGAATTAAATTGAAAACATAATGCAATCAAACAAAGGGCATAAATTAGATGAATTACTTACATGCTTTATCTGTCTATCAAACCTAACAAATCCACATATATGTCCATGTTGCTCAAAATTATGCTGTTATTCTTGTATTACAAAATGGTTGACAGAAAATAGACAGGTTTATAAGTTCTTCTTAATTAGAATAGTGTCCACATTGTAGATCATCATTGAGAATTTAATAATTAGTAAATTGTAGATTTTTAGAGGATATAGTGGCATAAAATGATCCATGTCCCCTCCATAATGCTCAATTATAATATTATTGTGTTACATGTGCACATCCTATATGTTCTGAATGTGCAATGTTTTCTGCACATAAAATGCATGAATTTGAACATATTTAAAAGGTTTTTGACTCAAAAATCAAAGATGTAAAAACAAAAATTGAAAATGTTTAAGATAATTTAAAAACTCTGAAGCATTCAGCAATAGTAATAGATGAATTAATGGATGAATTGAATCGTAGTAAAGATGAAAGAGTTTAAGAGATATAAGCATACACAGAATAACTATTATAAAAATTGGAATAAACACATACTGCAAGAATGGGCAATCTATAGATGTAAAGATAAAGATTAAATGAAAAGATTCTAATAGCATCTACAGAATTAGATAATATATCATAATAAATAAAATGCTATTAAAAAAGTAAAACAATAATGACAGCATAAGAACTCTTATAAAGAATAGAATAAGTTGATGTTGAACCTGAATAAATAGGTGGTATTTCAATGAATTTTTAATCAGAAATAATCCCTCAATATGTTTGTGATAGTTTTGAATTAAATAATTTTAGTCAAAGTGAGGAAATTGTATATTCTGATCATTTAATTACTAATGGTATAAAATGGAGATTAAAGATATATCCACATGGTAATGGAAATGCCAAAAATATATACATTTCTATATTTTTAGAAATGGATTCAAAATATTAAGAAATTAGAAGATATGAATATAAAATAGAGATGATTAATTAAAAGAATGGTTAATCAGTAATTAGAGAATTTGCTAGTGATTTTGAAGGAGGAGAATGTTGGGGTTATAATAGATTTTTTAGAATTGATTTATTATAGAAAGATGGATATTTGGTGAATGATAATTTATTGTTTAAATATTATGTTAGAGCTCCAAATTATTATAATCAATGTTTAGATATGCAAAGATATATTAAATAATTAGAATCATAGGTTAGTATTTAATAGACTACTAGAAAAATTGAATAATAATCATCAATATAAAAATTAAAAGAGGAAATAGAATAATATGCAGAAAAAATAGAATAATTAGAATAATCATAACCAAGCAATACTTCTGAAATTTAAGAAAGTGAAGATGATCATCAATTATAATAGTAAGATGAAGAAAGCAGTTCATCCAGTAATCATTCAGATTATTATTTTGATGGTTAATTTTAAGAAATACCAATTTCTTAAGAAAGTTTACCTATAAGAAGAAATCTTATACAAAAATTCAATTAATCGAACTTAGTTAATACATCTTAAAATATAAGGAATCCCTTGTCAGAATTTAGCGAAAATTTATATTCTTGAATTAATTGCTTTATAATTTAATAATATAAAAATTATGTTTCAGGAACAATCATTTGGAGGATAAGATAAATCGACTATAGAATGTCGAAATTTAAGAAGACATGGTAAATGTACAGTTTCTGGTTGTCCATATTCACATAGTGCTGCTTCTGTTAAACCCAAAGTTCTAAGGAAGGTATTTTAAGGATAAAGTGGATTAATATCTGATCCAAATTAGTAATAATAGAATTATCGTAACAATTTTTAGAATAGAAATAATTATAATAACAATTAAAATTATCAAGGCAGAAGAGATTTTCAATTTAATAGATTAAATCAAATTAATAATAATAATAATACATAAGACAGATTAAATTATAGTAATAATTAATATTAGCAATCCTAATCCACATAATAATATGATAATAGATAATAAAATTAACCATCATATTACGGTTTGTAATAATAACCTACAATTGGACTTTAATTACTATATAAAATGAATGTTGAAAATCTTAAAGGCTTTTTAAGGATAATCAATATTAATAACAATTTTTATTTTGGTCTAATAAACAATAGAGGTATTACTTTTTATCCTTACAATGAAACCAAAGGAATAGATATTTTATAAAAGATAGATTTTGTAATTTAATTTGAAGTAGAAGATGCATTTATATAAGAATATACTTAATAAAATAATAGAAAAGAACTGTATTGTTTAGCTATTGTGATCATTGAATCAGGTTTAAAAAGCGTTTTGATTTATCCTGATTTTTTAAATTCTTAGACTAATTTTGTTAAAATTTCAGACATTTCTAATACATACTTAAAATATATACATGTTAATACATTAAATAGTGAATTATACACTTTTAGTTCAGATGGTATTCTATTTGCTTATTGAAGGGTTTATCAGAGTGTTCGACCTTCAAAACACTCAAAATTCATTAAAGTATTATGCTTAATAGACAGAAGTCTTTTAGTCCATCTTTTTCCTTAATGAAACATCAAAGGGTAGCAATTTCCTTATTTCAACAAAGAATGGAAACATTTATCATTATATGAATCAATAATTTACTAAATTGCATTCCTTAACAGAACAAACATTAATAGATATTACTATTGAGAATGATTCAAAACGAGTTTATTTAGCCACAAAAAGTTAAGAAATGTTTAATATATATATAATAAATGAAAATAATGCTTTTGAAGGTCCAATTTATACACATAGATATCCTATTTAAAAATTAATTGGATTCAAAGATTTTGATTAAATTAATTGTTTATTAGTATCAGATAATAGAGGTTAATTAGATATATTAAAGGAATAGCCATCTAATGATTAAGTGAAATTCTTAAGATAAATATAATGTATAAAATTTAATATCTATAATAAGATAAATAAATTATGGGAGATATTAAGAAAATTATGTTTTTTAAAATGGTTAATATCAATAAAGTTATTGAAAAAATGATATTTGTTTAAAGATAAAAGGATCCATAAAGATAAGAATCAACTAATTTTGAATTTTATAGATTTTATTAGATATTTTGAATTGTATGAAATCATTTTACATAAATTATTTTAAATTATAGATATATATCTAATATATTATTTAAATTTATTTTTTTTTGTTTAATAAATTCAATTTTAAAATATAAAAAAAAATAGAGAAATTTACAAATGGAAATATTAAGGGATTCAATTAAATTATAGGAAGAAAACAAAATGATGAAAAAGCTTATACTTTTATAATAATAAGTTGGATATCCTTTGGATAGTTTAATAAATGAATAGTTCATTCAAAAATTACCAGAAGAAAGTTTTATTTGGTAAAATATCATTATTATTAATATTTAGGACAATAATCTCTAAAAAGTATGAATTATTAACAGGGTAAAGAGCCAATAAAGAAATTATCATATAGGAAGAATTATACAAAAACATTACATATGGAATGTTTGTAGATGAATGTTTTTAAGCTATATTACATTTCCATTTAGTAATTACTGATTATAAATTCAACTTACATATTATTCAAGATTCTATAAGAATTCTAAAATAATAAATATCACTCTTAGAAAGTCACAATTAATTAAAATTTGAATAACCAAATAGATTATCAATATGTTATACTAGACATAAAAGTTTAAAAACAGATATTTTCAATCATTATCAGATTAAATATAAAGCATATCTTAATGGATAAGAATAAAAATCAATCTATGCAAGAGGAGATGAATTAACATGTTCATTTCCAATTTTAGAAGAAAGTAAAATTTTAACAATAGCTGTTTATGGTAAGAGAAAGGAAAATGGAACAGAATTTAAGATTTTAAGTAGAATTGAATTAGATTTAAATGAAGTATTGATTTCATTTCCTTTGCAAAGTTACTCTAAAGAATTAATATAACCTTGTTTATTGACCTTAGATTATTAAGATGAATCATTTGATGCTCAATTTTATGGAAAGAATCCAATTGAACTTTAGTATTAATTAATTTGATTAATATTATAGATTTTAACTTTCAATGCCTTCAGAAAATAGAATTTAAATGATGAAAGTTCTTAAATAAAGACAAGAAGATTTTGCAAATTAGATTAGATATGAAATAGAAACCAGGAATTCTTATATCTAATCAATTATTTAACCTTTTAATGATTTAATTTATATCCCTGGAGAAGATCTAAAAAATAAATATGAAATAGATTCATAAAGATTTTCATGTTCAGCTTGTTTAATATTTTGATATATTTTTATAATTCTTAATATAATTTTATATAATATATTTTATTCTATCTGATGAATTCTGTCTAAAATTTTTAATTTTTTTTATATATATTATTTCCTACGAGGAAAATTAAGACAATTTGGAGTTTAAAAATTATAATCTGAATAGAATTTTAATCAATAAATTAAGAAAATAATAATAAATAATACATTATGGGTATTCCATTATCAACTCTATTTAATTCATGGTTCTCAAATAAAGAAATGAGAATATTAATGGTCGGCTTAGATGCAGCTGGAAAAACAACTATTTTATATAAATTAAAACTAGGAGAAGTAGTTAGTTCAGTTCCAACTATTGGTTTTAATGTGGAAAAAGTTGAATATAAAAATATCAATTTCACTGTTTGGGATATTGGAGGTTAAGATAAATTAAGATTATTATGGAGACATTACTTTACTGGATCTTAAGGAATTATATTTGTTATAGATTCATCAGATAAAGAAAGAATTAATATAGCAAAAGAAGAACTAATGAGATTAATGGGTGATGAAGAATTAAGGGATGCAGCACTTTTAATTTTGGCCAATAAATTTGATATCTCTTAAGTTTCTGTAGATGAATTAATATCTAAACTGGAGTTATAAAGTTTAAGAAGGGAATGGTTTGTATAAACTACTTGTGCAATTACTGGTGATGGACTTTATCAAGGTTTAGATTGGTTATCTAAATAATTCAAAAAAAGAAAAAACTGACTTATATTATATCTGTATTTAATTATATACATTTAATACATTAAGATTCTATAGTATTTAATTTAATACTATAAAAATTAAATAGAGAAAAACATTTAAATAATTTTATTATCATATTGATAATTAAATTATTTATTTATAAATTAGTCAAATTTTCTATGATTATTTAATTAATTTCATTATTTTACTTAATGTTTCTATTGATATTATTTGTTATGTTAAATTATAAGAAAATATGATATTCTATCAAATACATATTTATTGTTTAATAAAATTATATAAAAATCAATGATATTAAACAATATTTATATATTATGATATTAAGATGTTTTTTAAGTAATTACAACTTAGAAGCAGGAAATTTATGAAGATCTAAAATATAAATTTAAATTAATATAATAGTTATAAAAAAAGAAATTTTTGGCTATAATGTTAATTAAAAACAATAAATCTAAATTATTTTAATCTAATTATACTATTTGAATTAATTAAAGTAGTTCCTTTAATATTCTAACTAAACTTTATTGATGTGAAATTAGTTCACTTCAATAAAACTTTATTTGTTATATAATGATATATATTATTTAATAATTATTAGAAAATAATTAATGAAATAAATATAAGACAAGACATATAGAGAGTTTGCTGATATAAAACATCATATTGGTACATTACAAAGTCAATAACTTTCTGATGAAGAACTCTCGCTTCTTTATGAGAGATTGAAATATCAATTCACAAATCTTAATTAGCAAGTTGCAGTTACTTAAACTCTTAAGCCTAGTAGTGAGCCATAACCAATTCATAAGAGATAAAAAATTAAAAGAGATAAACCATTGATTTAATAGTAAGGGAAATCAATAGCACTTCCTAAAATTTTGAAACAACCATCTACAGAATAGAGACCAAAAAAAACTAAAGGGAAACTTAAATCAGCTCATATCTATTAAGCAAATGTCTTAAATAGAGAATTAAGATTAAACCCTTTTTCAGATTTACCAACAATATTAGATGAAGACCTTAATAAAGGAGTTAGCAATCTAATTTAATCTGGTTTTATACCAAGAGATGTTGATTTAGGTCCAGCTTTTAAGAGAGGAGAGGAATTGCTTTCTATTTCTTAAGTTTAAGTTTAGAATCCACCAGAGAAAAATAAGTATTATAACACAGGATTATCAGAAAATTTATCTAAATATAAAGTAGCTCCATAAAAATAAGCAGTTAAATAGGTTGAAGAATATTCATCCTCTTTTGTTGAGAGGTAATCAGTACCAAGAGAAAAAATACAGTAAACAAAAGTTGTTAGAAAAGCTAAGTATATAATAGAAATAAAAAATGGACATTATGTACCAGATTTTCATTATTAAATAAGAAATTTCATGATTTGGGGAGGAATCATGCATATTATAAAGAAATTAGAAAAGATTGCATCAGGATAATTGGATGGTGATAGGATAGCATAATTGGCTTAATCTTAATTCAAAGTTCATTTGATAGAGTTGTATGAATGTTATATTTCCAGACCGATAATGGAGAGATTATATATTTTAAATAAGAAACAATTTTCAGTTGATAGTGCTATAGTGAAAATTTAAGCAACAGTTAGAATGTTTGTTGCATCAAGAAAGTATAGACATCAAAAAAGGATTGTATAGAAAGTTATTAGAATTTAAAAGGAATTTAGATTAAAATAAACATATGTTTATACTATAAATTAAATAAAAAAGAATATGGGATAATTAATTAGTACATTAGAAAATAGATAAAAGTAATTTTTATTAGAAGATTTAAATTAAAAAAGAATAGAAATTCATATTCCTTCATATTCTATTAAATAATTTTAAAGATTATCAATGAGTCATTTTAAAAGTAGAGAAGGTTTATAATTGACAAGATTATTTGCTTTAAAAGATCCTAATGTAAGTATAATATTTGTATGTGCACCTTTACAAGAAGAAATTATGGCTTATTTTTATAAATTATTAGAAGTTGCTGGTATTAATGCTGAAGGTAGATTATTCTTTATTCATCCTGAGAATATAAATAGATTTCCATAACATTATTCATTGGCATTATTATTATATCTATCTCCTAAAGCAATTCATTAAATTTCTGAATTAATTAAAGGATAATTCTCATATATTATACCAATGAGAGTAGGTAGAGAAGAGTTTTTAATAGCTGAATATCTAAAAACAAATATATATTCTGGTCCTTATGAATTAATAGAGAAATATTCTAAAAAATCTGAAGCTATTGAATTGTTTAGATAATTATCATTACCTGTGGCTCCAGAATATCATAAATTTGTTAGTAAAGATGATTTTGTAGATAAATTAACTGTGTTGATTATGAAAAATCTAACAGTATAAAAATGGATGTTTAAAATAGACATTGAATTTAATGGAAGAGGAACAGCATGGTTTAGTTTAGAAGGAGTAAAATAATTTATAGAAATCAAAAAGTTTCCACATGGTATTGAATTTAAAGTACTTAGAGAATTAGTTTAAACTGTAAAAAATAATTGTAAATATTATATAGTTATTACCAATAAAAACTGTATTGGCATTTCCTTAGATGTTTACTTTTGAAGAATACTTAGACAATTTTATAAAGAATGGTGGAATAGTTGAGGCTTATCCAAATGCATAGAAAGTTTAAACAATAAATATCTAAGTAAATCTTGAGAATTAAGGAACTTATTAGATATTGAATACATCTACTAGCATAGTAATAAAAGAGTAACTATAATACATGAATATTCATTAGAATGTCTAAAGTTGGTTGTATATATCCTTAGAATGTTCTTAATCTAAATGTCGATTCTCTCATATAACCATTAGCAGAGGAATTATATAAATAGAATATATTTGGTTATTTTACACTTTCCTTATTATCATTTAATGGAGCCTTCTATACTAAATCTTTGAAGTTTGGATTAGATGAATATATTGGAGCAACAATATTGGCAACAGCAATGGATACTGATCAGTTTACATATATTCCATTTGTTTATCATCCAGGAATAGCAGAATAGAAATTTAATGATTTATTTATAAAATGTAGAAAGGAAGGAATATCATTTGATATTGAAAAGAAAGTGGGAACATTAATATGGTTATCTGATTAAATTGAGAAAGGAGTATTATCATTATTATGTTTGGGTGCCCCTAAGAAAGCTGTGAAATTAACTACTGATGCATTGAATTTTTTGTAATAATTTGGTGGGAATATAATGAAAACAAATAGTCATTAGAAACAAGACACATTTTACTTTATAGATATAGTTAGTAGATTAAGATAATTAAATAGTGAAGGTTAATAATGATATGTATATTGTCATGATTATAATTCTAATGTTACTCCTTGTAAAGTTTTCTCCAACTAAACAACCCGATTTGTTAATAATTGTTACTTATTTTCCATATTCATTTTTGCTTTCAACAATAATAAATATTCTTTAGACAATCTATATTGTTCTTCTATAAAGAGAACATTATCTTCTTTGATTTGACGCTATTTCTTTTTTAGATTATCTCTAAAATTCATTTCTATATTTTTCAATTCCTATTCATATCTAGTATTGATTAAAGACATTTCTAATCTAATTTAGTTCGCTTGATCTTTCAATTAAGCAATATTTTTTCGACTTTCAGCAATATAACTCTAGATTAAAATATTATTACATTGACATGTTTTGAAGGATGATTATAACTCTCTAAGAAATGAATTTGTGAGTTCTGATTCTATTGATCATCCACATTAAAACCATATCTAAAATTATTTGCAATTGGTGTTTGACTATGGATGGTTGTGAGTCTAAAATCACTCAAACCTGTAGATCTAAATCTATTCAATTTATGTTAAGTAGTTTTTACAACTCTTTATGTTGAATAAGGTGTGTCTATATAAATATTATTTATACTAGAATCTTAAGATTTAAAATATAACAGTTGTCTTATATTGATCTCAGAACTCATTGATTTTTTATTTAATTAAAGTAATTATTCTATAGATTTTAAGTAATAATTATATCAATGTTCAGCTATGAATTTATCATTCATCCATATGCATTCAACACCATGACTTTAATAATAAAAAATTCCAGATCCACAAATTAAATCATCAATCAATGTTCCAATAAAATAATTTTAATTTTTAAATCTCAATTCTCCCTTTCCGTATTTCATCCCTTTAGCAACCTCTCCCTTAAAATATTCATAATTAGATAAAACTTCATGAATAGTATCATCCTAAGCATCTTCTCTCCTCATTTTTATTTCATCTCATTCAGAAAGATCATTTAGATATGTACCTTATATCAATTTATTATTTTCCTTAGAAATATATACTACCATTAATGTTTTTAATTCATACAATCTATAGGCCTCAGTGTAATTACTAACAGATATTGAAAAATTGAATTGGATTCAGTTGACCATATTCATCCACTTCCAACAATCAATTGAAATATAGAGGCAATTTGAATCTAATAATTATGTCATCTAATAATTCAAAATCAAATCCATCCTATTTATAAAGAATTTCAGTCTTCTTGAATCAAAAAGAATATCTACAAACTAATCCCATTGAAAATATTTCTGATTTGAATAAATCTGTCTTATAATTCTGAAATAACAATTATAAAGTTTGGCTCTCACTAATTTAAATTATGGATCTCCTGTGTGTTCATAAACTTTTATTTCACTAAATTTTAATGCCTTATTCTTATATGGATAAGGAGCTCAAAAATCTTCTGTAAAGACATCTATATAGGCAATATCAACACTTCTACACTAATCTTACATATTATAATCTGGATCTTCTCTTTAACTTCATTACAGCTGAAATATATATAATTTTTTTTTAATTTCCTCTTCATTAGTGATTTTTCATATCATTTAAATCCTATACTTAAGTTAAATCAATACTATTTATTTAAAATCTTCTTTAATACTATTATTAATGTACCCAGACTAATTTTAAAAAATAAAAATACTTTAATCTACAATAATCAATAAATTATTTATAATGATTTCTTCATTAATACTTAATAAAAAATTATACCAAGTAAGTAGAGAATTTTAAATTAATAAAAAATCTCTTAGATTGGAATCTATCATTTTTAGAAAGTATCTAATTATAATCACTTATAATCTTTCTTAAACTCCCATTTCTTCTAATCAATTACTTTTAGTTATAAATTCTGGAACCTTAGTACCTTGTTCTTTAAGTGCTGCTTATTTTAATGCCATAAAATTAACATAAGCACTCAAATTAAAATCATCATGTCTATTTAAGATATCATTTTTATCCATTAATTTATATCTTTTAATAGCTCTAACACTATAAGAAAATTTTCTTTTCTCTCTAGAATCAATAATTAGAACTGCTCATTAACTTTGACAATTAATTCTGCCGAAAGATTGATTATGATGCTACTTTAAGGAGATGTTTTAATAATTTTTTAATGTCTAAATAGAAATAAAGTATAAATTCATTCAAATTTGTCTATTCATATCTGGATCTAGAATTTTCAAAAAATTTTAATTAAGACCATTTGAAAGTACAAATTTAAGAGTTTATCAAACATCAATAATAGATTATAATGTTATCTCTATTTTTTTTTCATAAACGAAATGTTCATACAATTTGAAATTTACTTCATCAATTTCAAATTACTCAATTTTCTAATTGTTTTATTCAAATTTAGGATAAATGTTACTATTTTTATAATTATTTTAATATTGTTTCCTGTTATTTTTTATTCATATAATCACTCTATTCCATATATATGAATATTGAAGATTCTCAAGCAAATTGAATTAAACAAATACTCTCAAATAAGTGAATTCTAATAAATGAATTTTTTATTTTTAAGTCTAAAGTCATCATCTAAATCCTTTTTAGCTGAATCACTTCATATTATATTTTTTAAACTAATGTGATTGATAAATGAACAGAATTATTAAATTAATTTCATTAACTATAAAAAATAATCTTTTATTTATATTTATATTTGAATATCTTACATATCATAGTTTCTTGATATGGGAGAAGTTCTTAGGATTTTTGATACCTTTATATATCTACTAACGATATCGGAGATGCCAATTATGTTAAACTATCTTTTAATTAAATATATAATTAATTGCGTACTTCTTAATGAATATACGACTATAAATTAATAGAATTCTGTTTACCTTAAAATTCTAAAAGTTTTATTGAATTCTTCCTCTATAGGGTCCTCTGATTAAGATAGTAGTCCACTAAAAGTGCGAATATTCATCAACTTCTTCTTGTAGACTGTGATTCTGTCTAAAAACTTGACTACCTTAAGCTAGTCTCCCAATATTTAATGACAAAGAGTTTGATGCTTTGAAGCAAAAGTGATTATGGCCTTACAATAGTTTTTGGGAATGTTTTTGGTGTCTTTCTATTCTTGATTTGAAATTCCTTTTCGTTTTTGAATAGTTAGTTTAATGGATGGACTTTATTAAGAAATCAATCTTGGCACACACTATTATATATGTAATTATTGTTAGAAATCATTCAAAATAGGAGTATTTTAAACATTTATTTTATGTCCACCCAAATGTACCTACTTATTTAATAGAGATAATACTAAAAATTCATTGTATGAATACTAAAGTACAAATGGATATGATGGAACACTAATATTCTGAGAGTGATTTTGAGCCAATTATAGGATATGCAAGGCTTACAAGAATTTACTTACAGCTTTTGAATAAGCTATTTAAAAGGGTAGATTTTCTTCCAGATCCTTTTTTTTATTTAGTTTATAAAGCGTTGTTTTAGAGATACTCACAGGAGTATGGACATTTACCTCCTCCTCCTTTATTATACAATTGCTCATTGTACAAATCTTTTTTTATAATATACTAACACAATATATTAATCCTTATTTATGAATAGAAATTGGTTCTTTATAATAGATAATATCCAAAAAGATTGAATATATAATAATTTATTTTTAATATTCGATTGAAGACATCATTATTTATACTCTTAAATCAATACATCAATATCTGCAATCTATATAAAATAGTATAAGATACTTGAATATAAGACATTCAATTATCTAAACATTATAAAAAAAGTAAAAATTTGTACTTCATTTTTATTTTTACAATATTAAATAATAATTATAATTATGGAATAATATTCATAAGAAAACCCATTGTTTGATTTGCTATATATTTTGAGAGGTGGAATTCCATAGTAGCAATTCTTGTTTCATCATATCTTTCAATACTTTGACAAAGATCAAAAATTAGCCATAAAACTTTGCAGAATATTGATGAACCATCAAAATTGTAATGAAAAAAATCAAAATGGATTCACACCACTCTAAATTGCTATTATTTATAACTAAATAGGTGCTATTAGATATGCTTAATAGGATGGTAGATTCGATTTCACAGATGAAACATTAATGTAATTAGCAATCACTTATACATAACTTGAAATAGTTGAAATTCTATTATTTGTAAGAATATTCTCCTCAATATTAGGATGAAGGGTTGTCAGTAATTTAAACTAATTTTAGAAAAATGAATTCTCAATCTTCAACTTATTTAAAAATTCTAAAAAGATTAGAAAAAATAGAAATTCATAAAGTATTAAAAGAGGATACATCTGAATATTAAGAAATTATAGTTAATGAAGTTCCTCAATTTCCAAATACTAAGACTCCAGGAAAAATTATGTCAGATAATTTAAATGAATATCTTATCCCAACTGCTTAATGCATATAAACATTAGAGGATATTAATTAAGAAAATATTTAAAAAGAGAAATAGAAAAAAAGCAATTTTTGTACTTAAAGTTCTTGTTAAGAATATCAAATTTAAAAATAACATAATTAAATTAAAGAAATAAAAGAAAATCATATTTCCTATTAGAATTTATTTAGATGTGAAATTGTTGTTGAATAATTACTATCTGTAATATTCTAATTTAAATATGTAATTAAATATGTATAATCAAGAGCCATAATTAGATTATGTGATGTTATTGTTTCTAATGTAAAGCAAAACTGATTTCTATTATAAGAATTTAGATTGTTTAATTGAATAAGTATTAGTGCCCATCCCTAATAATTACTTACTTTCATATTCGAATTTTGATTAAACATAGAAAATTGATTATTATTGCAAATTATTAACAAAAGAAATATTATAAACACTTCATGAATATAAGTAGGTAATTTTATACAATATTAAAAGTAATTAAAAAGAAAGCATCATCACTTTGATAATCTTAAAGCATTACTTTCATATAAATTAAAATATGATATTTCATATCAAGGTCCAAGTAAAGATTTACTTTTGAAATTCTAAAATTCTATCCAAATTTATAGATGTCTATTTAATATTTTACATAAACCTTATATGAATTTCAATTGTACTTTTTTCACTTTAGAATAATTTGAATTAATAAATAAATTAGAGTTTAGGAATTCATTTTAATTGCTTACTACTAACTAGACCCTATAAACACACAATTAATGATTATATATTATAAATTAAGCTACTCTATTATAATAATAAATTAAACTTATATTTTATTTATTTCTTAATTGAATTAACAATGAGATTGAATATAATACATATAATTATTAAAATTAAATGATTATTTATATTTCAATTTATACTTTCTATTTCTATTTCTATTTCTATTCATATATTTATATTTATATTTTTCATAACAAAATTAAACAGATGAATAAGTGTCTAAAATCTAATCTAATTCTCATAGATATATTATAATTGTTAAATGAAATTATACATATATATATATTATATATATTAATATTTCAAACCAATACATAATAACTAACGATAATTGGTACTCCATGTAATAAACTAAACCAAAAGTAAATTAATCCTATTCTAGTATTCTTTAAGAATCTTAATGCCAACATTACTGGCACTTGGAGCAACATAATAAATGTCATAAAAGGAGTAAATTATCGTAAAGCTGTTATCAATATTAACTCATGAAGCAAAGCTGAAAATGCAAAAGTCAGCACTTTTGACCATAATCTAGATACTTTCCATTCCTACAATTACAAATATACATGTGTATGCAAAAAAGCATAAACTACTGTATTCCATTTTGCATTGAATTCTTCAAAAGTTGTTGCATTCCACCTTATTATTAAATAATATTTAATACCAATCATGATAGAATTCTCTATCCCCAAAATATGTTATTTCAGCTAATAAATTTAATATGTTTTCAAAGGTTAAGAAGAAAAGTACTATCCAAAATGCAGTTAATGGGAATAATAATAATATTGTTTATAGCAGCTAATCTGATGTTCCTATTATTGCTGGTTCAATATGTTTAGCTATTATTACTGCACCAAGGATATCAAAATAAGCTATATTAAATAACTTTGCAAAACAATAAACTAATCTTATTTTCTTTGTTTTTGGATAATCATGATAGAATACCAAAGCTGGAGTAATCAAATAAATGAAGAATTCCCATAAACTAATAGGCTTTTAACAACGTTTTATATAAGAAACTTCTTTCATAAATCCAATACTAGCCATAGCACCTACAAAGGCTCCAGGTATAAAGCCCAATTAATATTTAATAGTAAACCATGGAAATATAACAAATGGAAGAGATATGAAAAATATGTATAACTTTTTTTATCCAAACTTATGTGAAAAATATACTGTGTATGGATATGTGAATGACTAATATAAGTTATTATTATATACATAGATAGCCCAGATTATCATTAAAATACCATCTCTCTTCACAGCAGATATAGTTTGTGAATTAGCTAGTATAGTCCCTAACTAATTAAAATAGATGAGATCAATTAAGTAATAGATTCCCAACATATGTGCATAATAGTAGAATCCATGTAATTTGGACTTAGACAACACTGAATGATCATCCATATCATCTAACTATGATACACGATTTTGATAAGTGTAAGGTTTCATAATGATAATAAATAAATTTTCATGAAATTTTTTTGAAATCTGAATCAAAAAATGTTCCAGGTAAAACTGCTTTTATATGTCTACCTGTTGTTACCAATTTCATATCATGTTCTTCATAAATATCACAAACTGAATATGCTATATTTTTGCCTACTTTTTGACAAACTGCATGTATAAGTAAAGAATCATTTAATTTAGCAGGACTTATAAATGATAAACCTAATTCAATACTTAAATATAATATGATAATACCTGACTGTTCTTGATAAATTTTTATCTCCTCTCAAAATTGCTATAGTAGTTGCACAATCTAATATAGTAGCTAATGCACCTCCATGAACTGATCCATTCATATTCATTATATTTTATGGTACTTTATATCTCAAAACCAAATGATTTGAATTCCTTTCTAATGCATGTCCTGGAAGATATTAAAATGCTAAATAAAAATGTTCAGCAAATGTATTTTTTAGAATAGGAATTTACACAAATCTCTTAAAAATATCTCCAAATTCTTTATGTACCATTTTATGAAAAATAAAATTTATTATTTATAAAATAGTCAATCTCCACTTGTTAAATAGAATATTAGTTAATCTTGTTTTCTTAATTGGAGTTTACATTCTCTATCACTTACAAGACCTACTTTGTTCAATTCTGTTACTACCTCTTATCCTTGTTATACAACTTCAATAGGTATTCCTATAAGGTCATTTCTAAATGATCCTAAGATGTTCATTGTGCTATAGCATACCTAATTCACAAGCTTCATAAACAAATTAATATGCAACTGTATCAACTCCAGCACATCTACAATCTATTAAATGTAAATGTGGATGAACTTGATAATCATTCAATTATGGTCTCTATTTTGCATATTATATACTCACCCAATCAAAGAACAAACTTTAAATTGGACAAATGCATTCTTTAGATTATTCAATCTATGGTTCTTCAAATTCTATTGTATCTGGATCAATAAATGTCATTTTATTATAAAAATTAATTGCTATCTTAACACAATCTCCACTTATAATTGGTTGAATGTTCATAACTTGAGTAACACTTTCAAAATTATGTTTTGTTTATTCTCTTGCAATCCATATAACTCTTTTTGAATTTGATGGTAAAACATCAAATTTATATTAACTTCTATATTTGCGATTATATTTGAAAGCAATAGTAATACATTTTCCATTAAATCCGTTTAATACTTCTGAGATTATTGTTCTATCCCATCTAAATAATTTCTTTGTTTTAGTACTATCAACCCAAAAGCTTGTTTATAAAAAATCACTATTCTTAAATGAAAGTATATGCAAATGTGCTTTTATAAATCGATTATCTAAATCTTCAAGCCATTCTTTCAATGTTTGATGAAATCCTACATACCATTATCCTGAAACCAGAATAAGGTTTGTAAAATCTGCAATCAAAAATGCCAGAATAATTCTTCGTATTCTATCCTAGCCTTATTTAATAAAGAGAAATTGAGTAAGTTTATCAGATGCATCCTAATATTAAAGAACTCTAGCCATCATTTTTGGGATTGTGGCCTTTTTGCTTTCCTTTCTCTACATTAATATATATTAATATTATATTTATAAATCATTTCAAACCATAATTTGATACTCAAAATATTATTCTTATATGTTTATATTTCTCTATCAATACAATCAAATTATGTTATTATTTTTGAATTTTTAGAATTCTTAATTTACAGTATTTATTCATCATAATCCAGTTAAATATTCATCATATTTATTATGTACACTAAAATATTATATTAAATATATTTAATTTAGACATACACATTAATACAATAAATTTATTCATATTTATTAATATGCAAAAAACGATTTTAGCTTTGCTAATTGTTATGTGTACAACACTTCAAGTGCAAGAGCTACAATAGGCCAATAAATAATTTGATAAACTATCTTAAGACTCTCCTGTAGGAAAATTCTTAATGGATTTGGCTTAAATTCATGCAGAAGTATAAGGACCATTAGATGATTTAAAAGAAACAATTGAAAAATTTTATGAGAATTTGCAAGAGAGTATCTCATAATTAGATGGTGAATTTCAATCTAAATAAGCAATACATTTGAAGTAGTTTAATTTAATCAAATAGGGTTCTTTAAAATTATGAATCTAATTAATAAGATGCTTAAATTGATATTGCTTAATCATAAGATTAATTAGATAATGTATTATCAAGAAATAAAGAAAATATTGAAAAGAGATTAAAATAGATCTAATAAAATATTAATGATAATAGATCAAATATTTAAAGAGACAAATTATAAAGAAATCAATAAAAAGATTAAAATGTTGAACATATTCATGAACATCAATAGGCAACCACATCAATTGATGAAGCATTATCACTTGTATAAGGTTTAAGTAGTGGAAATATTGCTTTTGTTGAAGCACCAATGAAAAAGACTTTAGATTATATAAAATAAAAAGTAAATTCAAAAGAGGAATATGCTCCATTAGTAGATGCATTAATAAGTTTATCTGGAACATAAGATACAAAATAAATAAAAGAATTGTTAAATAAATTAAGAAATTAGATTGTTGATTCAATGATTCAATTAACATCAGATGAAAATGATGCTTAAAAAATGTTTGATGATCGTTAAAAGTAATTGGATTCAGAATTTTAAGTAAATAATAATTTAATATTGATAGGAATTCTAAACTTAAGTAAATTAAGCAACTTATGATTTGGCATCTATTTCAGCTAGAATTGATTAAGAGAAAGAATTTACAAAATAGAGATAAAGTGATTTAGATATGTACAATAGCTAAATTGGTATATAATATATTAATATTAAGAAATGGAGAATAATAATTTTGCTGCAATTACTGGATTATATAATGAGATTAGATCTGTTAGATTAAAGGAATTAAAGATTGCTGAAGATGCTAAAAAGTATTGAATATCTATTAATTATAATTAAGTTTCGCTTATTCATCACAATTTAGAGAGTTGTTACAATCAAAATTGAACAAATGAAATTTATATATATATATATATTGATATATAATAAATCATATTAATGATGGTTTTGGTTCAGTATTGTATTGTTATGGTGATTAAATTAAATGTATTGATCTAGATGGGGTTCTAGTTATAATTTATTTCTTTGATGAAGTAGGTGTTTATGGAGTTTCACAAATAACTTCATCATATAATTTAGATAGTTCTTCAAATTATGATTTTAAATTTTATTATTTGAGACGAATCTTTTCAAACAAATTAGGTGAATTAATAATCTAAGAATTATTATTTGATTAATTAATTTATTTATGTAATGTCTTAATAGATTCTGTTTGATCATCAACAATCTATTATAAATTGTAAGTTCTAATATCATATTATTCTTTTAAATCCTTCAATTACTTATCTTTATAATCAATCATTTTTTATTATTCCTTTGTATATGCTTCGAATTATGATAATCTAGCTATAATTTTATCTTTTTCATCTAATTAATCACGTAATTCATCAATTTCTACTTTTTAACAAACCTACAATTTCTATAAAGAAATTTAGAGTTCTTAAATATCTTTTTATTATTTAGCATTTTACTATTTTAGTATCTCAATTTCTTAATCTTTTTTTTAACTTTCTTTATTATCAGAAATAAAATGAGATTGCTACAATTAAGAAAATAAAGAGTGTTGACTCTCATTAACTTCTTCGATTTTACCAAGATTTGACTTTTCAAATTAACTCATAGAATAAGTAAGTTGACTATTCTATATAGCTGATGTATTATAAGAGACAGTCTCTTCATCAGGTATAACACTATTAATCTTTTTTTATAATTGAGAATATGTCATAAAGTCTCCCTTTTTGATAGGTGAAGTATCAGTTATTTTAGTTTGATGTTAATCATCTATTTCCTCTTCAGAATTAACTTCACTCATTAATAAATTTTATTTTCTTATTTCATTAAGTTTAATTTCTTAAGACAGAATACAATTAAGATTATCGTATTTATTTACTGTTAAATATAAATTATTAAATTTATTTATGTCATCACAATAACAATAAAGTTAAAGACAATAAAGATCAGTAACAAATGTGAACAATGTTTCATTTGCAGGATCTTAAATAAATAATGTAATAACTAAATAAAATTAAAGTAGCTTAAAAAAAGTGAATCTTCACTTTCTCCAATGAAAAATTAAGAATATAATAATAAATCTAAAACATAAAGAGTATATAAAACATAAACAATGAATACTATGAATACTATACCTACAATGACAGGAATTCCAAATACATTTACAGTTTAATAAAATTGTGTTGCAGCTTAACCATTATGCATGAATATTATTGTAGTTTCAAAAGAAGAAATAGAAATGCCTTGGAGACTTGAATGCGAATATTTACAATCACTAATAACTGAATTATAAAATAAATAATAAAGCAAATCTGTATAAATAGTAGAGAAAACAATAACGGATAATTCTAGAGTTGAATTATTAGAATCATAACTTAAAGAATTAAGAAGATAAAATGAATCATTGTAATATGAATTACATATATCCAAAATTAATTATGAAAAAGAATTATAAAGAATAAATGGTACATTTGAACTTAGAAGTGCATAAGTTGAAGATATTGCATAAAAAGAAAGTGAATTTTATCTTATTAGAATTAAATTAGAAGATTAAATATCAATATTAGAAAATAAAATAAAATAATAAGATATATAATTAAGAAGATCATAAGATGAAAATTTTAAATTATAATAAATAATTAGGTAATTAATAATATTAATGTAGTACTCGAGAAAATGAAATTAATTCTCTTAGAATTTAAATTACTTAAATATAATCTAATACTAATTCAAGTGAATTAATTAGAATTAAAGAATTGGAAAATCAAATTAGATATTTAAATTCTGATATTGATAATATCAATGCAAAACTCATTAATTCCAATAATGAAAATTAATAATTAAGAATCTAATTATAAAATATAGATTATAAAACAGATACAAAAAATAATGAATTAATACTTAAATTAAGAGAATATGAAAGTAGAATCACTATGCTTACATCTGAAATTGAACGTCTTATTTATTCAATTAAATAAAAAGATATAGAATTAGATGAATGGAAGACTAGATATTAATAATTAGAAATGTCTGGATCTTCTGTTTTCTAAGAAAAAGTAGAATATCTATCTTAAGAAGTAGAAGTTTGGAAATCTAAATTTATTAGAGCAAATCATGAATATAATAGATGTTAAGAAGAAATTTCAATGTTACAAGCAGAATTAGAATCATTGAAAAAATAAAAAAAAGTATTATTATTTATTTATTTTAATTATTTAGTAAGAATTAACAATTACTTCAAGAGTTGTTACAAAATAAGCAACAACATAAAATAGTGGTTATAAATAATACTAACAGTGAATATATTAATGATATTCAATATTAAAAATCAGATTACTATTCATCTTAAATTTATACATCTGAAACATCTGGATGTGGTGATTAATATGGTCTATCATTCACTCTTTCAAAACATTTAGATATCTTAGGATTTGATAATGGTGAAGGATTCATCTATTCTAATTCATCATAAACACTACGTATAAAACTATTCATTTAGATTTTATTTTTTACTTCTTTAATCCATCTGATGCACTTTATCCTGATTCTGCTACTAAATTTTCAATAAATTCAACAATATTATTTAATACTTGATCATTCTCTGCTTTCAAAGCTAATCTAATACTATTTGCAAATATTTTATCATGATTTTCTATTTAAACTTCTGCTTTAAATTATAAATCAAGTAATTATTTTGCTAAATCATTAGCATATAATAAAATAGTAGGATCACTTAATCCCAAATAAACATATTCTTTTGTTACTTTTGCAATCTATTCACATGATTCCATATTTTATATTTTAAAATCTGTATTTTAAAAACACCAATGAAGTAATTCAAAATGACCTAATGGTAAATTTAATAATTTCTATGTATTAAGCTATAAAATAATAATTAATTAATTACTAATTCAACCAAATGTAATAATATTGAAAATGATACTTATTTAACATATTATGAGTTAATATTTAATTTAAATTTAAAGCTTTTATCAGAAGGTATAAAGAAATCATATTCATCTTATTAATCTTAACTGAATAAAGCCCATTATCTTGATTCTTAAGATATTTCAAGAACAATCTTTACAAATAATTCTAATAATATTTTGCTATCTCCCAATAAATCTACAATATGAATTAATGATTGAGTCATAAGGATATCTGAATCTATAGGTAATGAAGCAATTTCTATTCCTTTAGAAAAATGATTAACTTATGCTTTTAAATCAGATATTATTCTGTCATTTTCAATTGAAAAGAACTTCTATCCTTATTAAGGAGATTTAATTAAATTTTAATAATTTGGAGTCTTTATAACTCCTCTAATCATTTCACTAAATAATATAACACATAAACAACGATTTTGCCACCATCTATTTTTAGCTAAAGCCATAACATGTTTATCAATTTTCACTTATGAATTAGCTTTAGCTGCATTACATAATATTGCTAAAGCACTTGAACTCAAAGATGTTGAAGCAGATAGAAAATATATATATCCATATCTTTTCATATCATTCCATAATTCTGATTATTCTTATTCAAATCCAGAAAAGACAGCTAAACATTACATAAAGTGTTCAACTGATAAATTTTATTTCATTGTTTATATAACTTAATATTTAAACATAGGTTCTTAAAAGGAACATATCATTTAAATTAATAATTATTTCTTTTCAAAAAATACACTCTATTTTATTAGAATACAAATTTCTGGTAAAAAGAATTCTAAAAATAATGATCTAGTTTTTAATGCATCCTTTTATAATGATCTTGCACCAAATTAATTAACCAAATCAATACAAACATGAACTCTTTAAACTGGTAAATTTTAAATACATTAAAAAGTAAATTTAAAAAATTTCCAAACTTCATTTGTGTCTTTAAATATAAAATTTATATATGCTTCTTTCTAAGTTATCAATTCTTAAAAAAATCCATTCACAAAATCATCAGGATATATATCTATTAAATCTATAAAGCTTTATAAAGCTGTAGCATTCTATTTGAATTATACTGTTTATACAAATTAAGGAAATTATTATCTTTATGTAAGTGCTTCATTTAAAATCTAAATATATCTAAAATACATACATCATATATTGATTTATCTAATTACTTTTCTCTTGTAGATGTAGCTTCTCTCTTGTTTTCATCCATTGGTGTTTTTTAAAATGAATCCTGTATCTATCTATCATTATTTGAATTAAGTTTCTCCTATTATTTCTCTTATTACTATTATTCCTCCTTTAATTTCAATAAACTCCCTTAAACAGGTCTGTAACTGATATTTTTGACTTCAATTTAGTAATTTAGATTCTCTAAATTTTAACTGATTGGTTTGCTTGGAACTCTCATAAAATTAGTTCTTTTAGATGAAACCGACAATGGAGCATGTTTTTCAGATAACTATTCTTTTTAGAATTAATCTTCCTATTTCTGCTCTTCTTGTAATTTCTCTATTCCCTTCTCTTTTAATAGGAATGTCTAAGTATTTTGAGTTGATGTAGCAAATTCTTTAGAATTCACATAAGATGCCAAAGGAGGATTAATAACCCTTATTTATATAAATTTAATACTTTCTTTAAGTTAAGAAACTATAAATGCTCACTAAAAAATTATAAAGGGCATTCCAATCATTATCTAAAATCTCAACAAATCCTTTATGATTTGGAATAACTATATCATTCTTTTTAAAGAAAAGCTCTAATTGTTAATAATTGTTTTATCTTCTTTCATCTTTTTATGAATTATCAAAAGAGTGCATTTACACTCTACCAGGATAATACCTAGAGAATATTTCAGCTATTAAAAAACCATTGCTCAAATCTCTAATTAAGTTATCAATATTAATATATACCTTCTAGGATCTTTGACTGAATAACTTAGATCAAGTCCTTAAATCCATTTAATAATTTCTCTTGGTAACGCTTTTCCTACAGGCTGAAATGTTTAAGTATTTGTATTAGAACTCATAAATTTTATTAATATTTTATTATATAAGTTAGATTTAAATCAAGAATCAAAAAAATGAATTAAATGTATTGTTAATTAGTTTTTTTTTTTTCTGGATTATAATAATAAATTATTTATTTTAATCTATCAAACTTAATTTTAAGTGGATATTAAATTATTATTTTTTAATTATCATTCATACTTTTTAGAATGATTCAAAGATATTAAGAAAAATTCATGAATAGGTAATTATTATAGTTTAATTATGTTTAGAGTATGAAGAACTTTATTTTTTATAAAAACTCTCTTTAATCATAATCATCAAATGTTATAAATCTTAAATTAGTAAAATTCATAGATTGTATTATTTAATAACTCTTTATATTATTTGTTTAGAGATCGGTTTAACTAAAAATTCTTTGATTCCAATTTTGTTACCTTATTCTTTCATTTTAATTTCATCATATCCAGAAGTTATAAATATTTTCATTTACAAATTTGTTTTTAGAATTTAAGTTGAAGTTTGTATACCATTTAAACCTGGCATTTCCATATCCATAAATATTGCTGCATAACCTTAACAAAATTCTGAACATTTTTTTTATTAAATATAATCTAATGCATCAGTTCCATTAAAAACTTTGTCTATTTAAGAACTTGTACTATATTTAATATAATATTATATTACAATTGTTTTATTTACATTTCTAATACTTATTAATTAAATACATTATCATCCACTATCAAAATATGTTTACAAGGGATTTTATTATCTTAAATTTCATTTTTGACTTCAATAGATTCTGAAATACTTTAATTTTCACTATTTATAATTATTTAATATTATTATTATATCTAAGATCTCTAATTATTTAAACGAATTTCATTTAAAGATGGTGAATAATCATCTTCTAAATATATTTATTAGGGCTTAACACAAGGACACTTATGATGTAATTATTGAATTTTTAAAGTTAAGTAAAAGTAAGATCCATGTTTTGCTTAAGTAGTATCTTAAGAAATTACTTTCAATCCAGTATTATCATAAGATAATTATTAAGCTAATTTATTACTTATCAATAAACCCAATCCAACACCTTATTCATTTAAATTTTCAGAGAGTCCCTCTTTAATTTTACCAAATGCTTTAAAGAGTTTAGTTAAATTATTTTATGATATTCCAACTCCTGTGTCTTCTACACCAGCATTTACTAATAATCCTTATTATACAAACTTAATTGATATAGCTCCTTTTTAAGTAAATTTGAGAGCATTTGCAATAAGATTGACTAAGATTTGTTTAAGTCTATTTCTATCTGTTCTAATTTGTAGGCATTTCACATTTGATATAACATCCAATTTAATATTTTTTAATTCTGCTTAAAGTTTAAACATCTATAAACACTCTTCTCCTAATTGAGTTAAATTGAATGTTTTTTATATTAAAGTAAATTGATCTGCCTTAATTTAAGCTAAATCAAGTAAATCGTTTGCTAAATTTAACATATAGTAAGAGTTTTCTAATACAATAGAAATATTCTAACAGATATAATCAAAATTATTTAGCTATTCTTTAAGTCTACTTAATATATTAATAACTACATTTAGTGGTGATCTGAATTCGTGACTTACAAAAGATAAAGTTTTAGATTTTGATTAATTAATTTAAAGTAATTCTTTAATGTTTTTTCTATGAATAACATCTCTTGCAATTATAAATAATAAATCTTCACTTCCAATTGATATAGTTATTTCTATTGATCTTTTTGTATTCTCAATTTCAAAACTTGTTTCAACTACCAATACATTTGTATTTTCAGTAGTTTCTCTTCTAAATCTTTTTGTACCAAATACATAAAGCAAACATTTATATACAGTATTAAGCTAAATCATTAATATAATAATACTTAACTAGTCAATGATCTAAATCTTGGAGATTGACTTTATTCAGTATGTCTTTAAGTTATCTATTAATCTTAAGAAAAATATTTTAAGAAATTCAATTTTGAAGATTTAAGATATTTTATTTATTGTTAATTAAGACTTTATAATGAAAACAAGGAATCTCTAGAATGAAGTGGTGATTCATCCATTAATATCTCACAAGATAACTTTTCAAAAAGTATCAATAAATCATGGTTGTTTTTTTGAAAAATCTTTTTGCTGTTTTAATTTTAATATTCAATTTTAGGTTTTGAGTTAGTTATATTATCAAATTTCTCAAATTATACTATTATAACACCTTCAGAAAGTACATCAAATAATGAACTATAATCAATTTAAGAGAGAGTATCATTTATTTAAATTTTTTATTACTTATCTGTACTTATAAAACTTAAATCCCTAATTATAGTTCTTTTTGGATTTATTTTTGGTTATGTTTATCTTATAGTTGTATTTTAAAATGTTTCAAAGGGAGTATCTTAGAATCCATTCACACTTGATTAATTAGGTTTAACAATTTAAATAGTATTTTTTTAAGAGTGTAACCACATTATAAGTAGCAAATATAATTTTTAATTTACAATTACAATATATTAATAATTGATTTCATGTGATAAGCTACTATTTAAATTCAATTAGTATGAAAAACTCAAAAGAAGTATTATAAAAAAAAAAATCCTAATTGTCTTCCATATTCTACTATCAGCAATGCTAATCTTCATATTTGTCAAATTATGCACAATAACAATATAAAAATAATTTTGATAACCATTATCTACTCCATACATAAATGATTCTACTTAAAATAAAATTATATCCATTAATATAAGAGCAAGTTTGAATTCTGTTTAAAAAAAGCTTGTCTTTTTAAAACATAATAATTCCAAAACTATCTAGGCTAGTAAATTGATCATCAAAAAATTAACAAATTGATTTTCTAACTTCTAATATTAGATTATCATTCTTATAAATTGAAATAGCAAAGAAATAATCATTGAAATTTATAGTTTGCGAGAACTTGATTAGTTTATCATCATAGTCAAATTTAAAAATAGTTAAATATATATATATAAGAAATTAAAATTTATTTTTTCCCATTTAAAGCATTAAATTATTTTTCATAGAAAATATTAATTTTAGGTTAACCTTATTGATGATCTTAGAAGTTAGAATGAAAATTATAATTGTGTTTAATAATAAATTAATCAAATTTTATTATTCCATAATAATTATCTTCTTATTATTATTTTCTATTAAATATCTATAGATTGATAAGAGATATTTAGATATAAGATTATTTTATTTTTTCAAATAATACATGATTAATTTACAAATGAAAACTTAATAATTTTTAATGTTTTTATAAAATATAAATTCAATATCTAATATTCTGTATGTAAAATTATTTCTGTATTCTAAATGTTACTCAGAACAAGCTTCCATATTGACAGTAACTTCTTTTTGTAATAAAAATCTAAACATTATATAATTGCAATTAATGTCATAGCAGTTAATTGTCATTATCAGGCAAAGTGTAAACTTTATTTTTGGTGATCATCATTTTTCAGATAAATTGAAATAAATATATCATTTAGTTGTTTACTATATAGTTTGAAATATTTATAGAACAAATCATTTTTTTCAATTATTTTATTTTTGCATTTCAATATAATAAAATTATCAAAAAGATAATTTATTCAATACTTGGTCAAATTGTAAATATTTTGCAATAATTTTTTCAACTTTTTAGCCTATTTACATATGTAACAAAAAGTTTAATATCTACTAATTTTCAAATTAGCCCTTGATTTTATGCATTATATCATTATTAGATTTAAATGAATATATTATAGTATATATATGACTATTAATAGAGAGATTTCAAAATTAATTCTAAATTTATTCATCCTACAACTTGAATAATATATTATTCTTTTATCCTCTAAGAAGATAGGATTTTATTTATACTATCTTTGACATTTAAAATTATTTGAATTGATTTTAGATTCAAGTATTATAATACAATTTTGAGTTTTAAGAACTATAATTTTATTATTAATTAAAAATAGATTCTTAGTTGCTTTTTTTTGAATTATGATTCGAATTTTTTAGATTTTATCTATAATTTATATATATAAGACATTATTTTAATAATATTCAAAATCAGCATGGTAAAATATTATTTAGCTCTTTTTTTTACTTTATTAGTTCTGTATTTTTGTTAACCATTTCTCTGACTTTTTTTGATTTTGGATGTTAAAGATCACCCAATTATAGAGACCAATTTTGTTGATCTATTGGTTAGGAATCATCATTAAAATATGAATAAAGTTAATCTTTAATTTAAGATGGCTTAATTGGTAGACTAATTAATTCAGGTTCTTGATTTGTAATTTGAGTTGTCAGGGTTTATGTTTGTTATTAAGGAGGCTGTTCAATTTAATCATTATCATTTTTAATGAAATCAATTTATTACTATTAAACAACAGTCTCCAAATATTTATTATCTAATGATGGATCAGATCTGATCTCTTATCCTTATTCTAAGGCATCTGGTAGAATTGATTATTAATTTTAGGAATCAATGTCCAACTTTAAATGTCTAAGAGATGTGCTTTTAGAAATGGCTAAGTTATATTTTGATGGATCCTTAATTTGAGTAATAGTGATTAATTACTTTAATTCGCTTTAACATTCTTTATTGAACTCTATGATCTTACATTTTAAAATCATCAGCAATCATATTCTCTTTCTTAATTTTTTCATCAATAGCAGCAGTCATCATCTATTAGACTTATTTATTACTATCCATTTATTAAATGAATTATATGTTGTTTTTTATTTATTCCTTTTGTACATGTTATTATTATATTTATTTGGATTCTTGTTTGATTTCTGCTCCAAACATTTTATTCACATAGGGTTTCATCAATAATGCTTGAATTTTATTGGTAAATACAGTGTATCTTTCTGATTTAATAGAAGAATAGTGTTCTACAGCTTACTAGATTAGTAGATCAGATTACACTATATAATTCTAATAGCTCTTAAATTTCTTCTTTTGAAGCTGCATTTGATTCAACATCTAATTCTAAATTTAAGACTTTCTCTGCAAAATTTGAAGGAAGTTTAGGTTATTGTACTGGCTGTTAAGGTTTANAATTTTATTATTAATTAAAAATAGATTCTTAGTTGCTTTTTTTTGAATTATGATTCGAATTTTTTAGATTTTATCTATAATTTATATATATAAGACATTATTTTAATAATATTCAAAATCAGCATGGTAAAATATTATTTAGCTCTTTTTTTTACTTTATTAGTTCTGTATTTTTGTTAACCATTTCTCTGACTTTTTTTGATTTTGGATGTTAAAGATCACCCAATTATAGAGACCAATTTTGTTGATCTATTGGTTAGGAATCATCATTAAAATATGAATAAAGTTAATCTTTAATTTAAGATGGCTTAATTGGTAGACTAATTAATTCAGGTTCTTGATTTGTAATTTGAGTTGTCAGGGTTTATGTTTGTTATTAAGGAGGCTGTTCAATTTAATCATTATCATTTTTAATGAAATCAATTTATTACTATTAAACAACAGTCTCCAAATATTTATTATCTAATGATGGATCAGATCTGATCTCTTATCCTTATTCTAAGGCATCTGGTAGAATTGATTATTAATTTTAGGAATCAATGTCCAACTTTAAATGTCTAAGAGATGTGCTTTTAGAAATGGCTAAGTTATATTTTGATGGATCCTTAATTTGAGTAATAGTGATTAATTACTTTAATTCGCTTTAACATTCTTTATTGAACTCTATGATCTTACATTTTAAAATCATCAGCAATCATATTCTCTTTCTTAATTTTTTCATCAATAGCAGCAGTCATCATCTATTAGACTTATTTATTACTATCCATTTATTAAATGAATTATATGTTGTTTTTTATTTATTCCTTTTGTACATGTTATTATTATATTTATTTGGATTCTTGTTTGATTTCTGCTCCAAACATTTTATTCACATAGGGTTTCATCAATAATGCTTGAATTTTATTGGTAAATACAGTGTATCTTTCTGATTTAATAGAAGAATAGTGTTCTACAGCTTACTAGATTAGTAGATCAGATTACACTATATAATTCTAATAGCTCTTAAATTTCTTCTTTTGAAGCTGCATTTGATTCAACATCTAATTCTAAATTTAAGACTTTCTCTGCAAAATTTGAAGGAAGTTTAGGTTATTGTACTGGCTGTTAAGGTTTATTAAATAACCAAGACATAAAATATAAAATTTAATCAAAGCTTTTGATTAAGTAGTATCTCAATGAATTCTTTTTCTGTAATTTCTCCTTCTGCCTTACATTCTGTTAGAATCTATTACCAAAGTTCTTCATCAATACTCCCAATCATAAGCTCTAGTTCTTCTTTTGATATTTTCCCATCATCATTCGCATCGAATATTTTAAAGGCAGCCTTAACTCGTTCAAGTGAAACCAATTTTTCTTAGTTCATTGCTGCCATCAAAAATTCTAGGATAATAAATATTTAATAAAGATATATACCTGAAAAATCAACTTATCCACTTTGATTGAGATCTACAATCTAAAGAATCTTATTAACTTCTTTGATTGCTAATTCTTTATCTTTTAAAACCAAAGTATAACCTTCAATCAATTCATCCTTTGATAATATCCCATTTTTATCTTAATCCAAAGTTTAAAATGTTTTAACTAATTCATCTTATTCCTATTGAGAGGTCATCTAACATGCTATATAAGAAAGAACGGCTTAGGTAAAAATAGATTTAGCCTAATTTAAATGTCAAATTAAATTACTTGGAATTTTTGTAAATTTTATAAGACTATTTAATTAACCTTTTCATTTAAATTGTGTTTATCAATCCAAGGATCATGTAATGCTTATTTTGCTGAAATTCTTTAATTTGGATTAACCTATAACATTTAAGTTATCAAATTTTTAGCTTCTTCTGAGATAAAGCCCCAATCTTCCTCTAAACTAAGTTTGAATTATAAATTACAATCAAATTTAAATTTCCCTTCACTCACTTTATGCATAATATCTTTTTCTGTTTTTCCAGTAAATGGAGGATATCCACATAATAATATGTATAAAATGACACCACAAGACCATACATCACATTTCTCATTATAATCTTATTTTAAAACTTCTGGTGCTATATAATAAGCCTATATATTAATGATAAACTTACAGTTCCAAGCTTTTTAGTCATTTTCTTTTCTGTATCATATTTTCTGGAAGTACCGAAATCGATAACTTTTAAGGGTGAATTTGAAGACTCATTGGCAAATAAAATATTTTCAGGTTTTAAATCTCTATGAACAATTTTTTATTCATGACAATAAACAACAGCAAGTAAGATTTATCGAATAAATTCAGCAGCCTTTTTTTCACTAAAATATGACATTGATTTTATTCGATCAAATAATTCACCTCCTGACAAATATTCTGTTATCAAATAATAGTTCTATTAATCTTAGTATAATTCATATAATTTGACAATGTGAGGATGATCTAAATTTTTTAAAATGTTCATTTCTGCAAATAGTCTTTGTTGTTCTTCAACAATTAATGAACTTTTTTTTAATTATTTCATAGCCCTGATCATTCCTAGAATTCATAAATTTATCTACCAGTATTTTTATGAGTAACCTTCCAAACTTTTCCGTAAGCTCCTTAACCTAAGACTTCTCCAGTTGTATAATATTTGTGTATACTTCCTTACTTAAGATTCACGAAAACATCGGCTCCTAGCTTTACTGTTCCAACGGAGGATACTGTTAACTTTTTTTTAATCCCATACTTAGGCAATGCTACATTATTTATATATTTATTACTATCAACTTTGCTTTCAGATTGCTAAAACACTTTACATTATTATCCTGTCTAATCATCTTATGGAGTAATATCTTATGGAGACTCTGCTATAACTTCAAAATCTTCATATTGTTCCTTTATCTCATTAACATTGTCCAAACCAACATATTGATCATTGTTTACACTTTTCTTTGATAATGTATGTAAACTCCCTTTAACATCGACTACTATTTCATTTGTTAACTGTTTTTATGGAAATGAACAGCACTAAGCTCCCATCTTATAATAAAATTTTTAATATATAATTGAAACATTCAATATAGTTAATAATTCACCCCATCATTGATTTCCTCAAATATTTCATTGAAAAATTCTTCTTTAATGCATGTGCTGCTCTAAGATCCATCTATTTTGGTATCTAAGTGGTTGTTATTTTAGATTTAATTAAAGATTCTCTTCTCATTTGACTTTATGTTTGTTTTTCTTTAACTTAATCTTTCCATTCAATATTTCTTTCATACATAGGCTTTCTTCTATCAAATATATCTTAAGTTGTTTTAAGAATTTTAGGTGAGAAAGTACATTAGATTAATTCTTATTCAAGTTTAATAGTTTATGAATCCATAGTTAAAACACCTTCTTTATTTATGTTTCTTGTAGACTGATTTAGTTAAGAACCATTTAATCTAGCAGATAGTATACGAGATGTTTATGATAATTAAGGTTAAAAAGTACATTTCTTTTTGAATTCTTCTTCCAATTTGAGTGCCAGATAGTCTTATTTCTCTTGTTTATGCTTTAAAAAATTTATTCCTGATTGATACATATCACTATTTGGACGGGCTCTCTAAGATTTAATATCGTTTTAACTGATTAATTCAGATTCTGAAAAGTATTTTTATTTGATATATTTTTGCTTATTTAAAGAAGAAATAGTATGCTTTTCATGAAAATTTGATGTTGACAATAAGCTTAAGCTAGCTTCATCGTAAATATTAATGTTCATTTATTAAAATATTGTTTATCAATTAAATATAGTAAATATAAGAGATGTATGATGATTAATTATAATGTTAAGAAACATTATAACTCTATTAAAATACTTTAATAATTAGTAAAGATAAAATACAAAAGATTTAATAAGAATTAAATAATACAAAAATGATTATGTAATTTAAGAACATTTAGATTAAAGTTAGAAGAATATCTATTTGTTATCATTATTTTGTTTAATTATTTTTATTTTCTTTTCATTATATTTCAAATGTATATTGTGTTAATAAATTACTTTTATGTATTTGATAGAACTTTTTAGTTGAATTTAATGTTGAGAATAAAATAATATTTATTATTATTATCAAACAATATCATTTGTTATAAGTATTGACTTATTTGATTTTCTGATTTAGAATTTAAATATAGAATTCTGGACTATACAGATTGTGATTAGTATGAATATTAAATGTCTAACTGATTATTAGATAAATATTTTATTCATTAAGAGTGTTGAATTTAATAACGAATATTTTATATTTAAACATACTTATAGAGTGATTCAATCTGAATCATTGTATTATTATAGTAGTTTAAATAAATTAAGATTAATGACGATAGCTTGGTATAAATATTTGGTTTCTTAATTGAACTTTATTATGAATAATTATATATATTAAATCAAAAAACAAAAAGAATAGATGACAACTACTCTTCCTTTTATATCGAAGAATAAGAACTAGTAATCAATTTTTAAAATAGTAGTGTGGAAATGAAAGCAGTAACTTGGTAAAAGGACTCTCATGGACTTTTTGATTATGAGACAAAATCTTTAAGCGTTAAAAAGCATAGAGTCGAAGGATCGTGCAAAATTTGCAGAGAAGGTTTGATAAGTTGAAATATAATTAGACAATGAAATAGTTATTTAAGAAGGTAAAAATAAAGATGAAGCACACATACCATTAACAGGTATATAAGCTTAAGGAGGTAATATTATAAATAATTTTTAGACTAATATTTTATTTAACCAAATCAAAGCTCAACAGAGAATGACAATTATTTAATTGTTCGTAGTTTAAAAAATGCAGATGGTGTGTAAAAGGTATAAAATATATTTTATATGATAGGGTTACACATTACAAGAGGGTGACTTGTTGAAATTGGGCAGAGTAGAGTATCATGTAATTGAGATTAGAGATGCTAAAGGATAAATTAGATCTGTGAAGGATATTTTCTAATCAGAAGCAAAGTTAGCTCCACCATTAGAAGGTGGTGTTGCAAAACAATGCAAAATATGTTTAATAGAGGATGAAACACCAGAAGATCCATTTATAACACCATGCAAATGTAATGGTAGTTGTGCATATGTACATTTCAATTGTCTCAAACATTGGCTTGATAGTAGGGGTTATAAAAAAGAGTCTGGTAACACAATTTCTTACAAATGGAAAAAGTAATCACAATTAATTCTAAAATTGTAGATTAGAATGTGAAGTTTGTTAGGAATTACTGCCATAATAAATTAAATTTAAAGGGAAAGTGTTAGATTTAGCATCCCTAGAAAGGCCAAATTAACCGTATATAATATTAGAAAATACACAAATTTCAGAAAAGGATAAGAAAGCTCAAAGAGGAATATACTTAATAAAAGGAACACCAGATGATTAAGTTAAATTGGGTCGTGGTCATTAATGTGAAATTCGGATATCAGATATCTCAGTGTCTAGACTTCATGCATTTATTAAATATGAGAAAGGCAATTTTGTTATCATTGACAATAACAGTAAGTTTGGTACTTTAGTTCGATTATCAACACCATATCTTATCTGTATGGATAAAATTGCAATTCAAGTATAAAAAATCAATATATATTTAGGTTGGAAGAACAGTGTTAACATTTGTTATGAAATCTTTTTCAAGTCTGAATGCAAATACTCATGCTGGAATCGCAGCTCTTCATAATGGAGATTAAGGTAGAGTGATGTTCTAAACTGGATTTTAGGCAGGTAGTAATAAAACCTAAACCATAAATAATAACTAAAAAAAGCATGACAAACACACTGGATAATGATATTTATTTTAAATACAATCTACAAATACACTATATTAAATCAATAATAATAATAAACATTCTATCAATCTCTAGTAATGAACTTAAATATATATATTAATTGGAAGAATGTGAATTGGATAAATACTAAAAAATATAAACACAATCATATAATATACATTTTTTTTGTAAATAATCAAACAATGTCATTGAAAGACTTTAAGATGTTATCTAAACTAGGTAAATGACATTTATATAATAAAAGGCGATGGTGCTTTTTCAAGTGTATATAAGGTAAAAAGGATTGAAGATCATCTTGAGTATGCTTTGAAAAAAGTTAATCTTAACAACTTATCTGAGAAGGAAAAACAAAATGCATTAAATGAAGTAAGAATTTTGGCATCAATTCGTCATCAGAATATCATTAGCTATAAAGAAGCTTTTCTTGACCCAACCAGTAATTCCTTATGGTAAAATATACTTTATTCATATATCTGTAGTATCATTATGGAACTGGCTTCAGATGGAGACTTATTATAAAAGATCAAAAAATACATCAAAACAAATAGTTCCTTTAAAGAAGCAGAAATTTTTCGATATGCTTTTTAACTATTAAACGCTCTAAAATCTCTACATGAAATGAAAGTGATGCATAGAGATATCAAGAGTGCAAATGTTTTCATGATCAATAATGAAGTCAAATTAGGAGATATGAATGTATCTAAAGTTGCAAAACAAGGATTACTATACACTTAAACTGGCACTCCATATTATGCAAGTCCTGAAGTATGGAAAGATCATCCTTATGATTGTAAATCTGATATTTGGTCATTGGGATGTGTTCTTTATGAGATGGCAGCTCTTAAATTGCCATTCTAAGCTGAGGATATGGATGGTCTTTTTAAAAAAGTAGTAAAAGGTACTATTAATTTTTATTAAAGGGTTTTATCCAAAATTACCAGTTACTTACTCCTTTGATTTATAAAATCTTATAAGGATGATGTTATAAGTATCTACAGCATTAAGACCTACAGCTTCTTAATTATTAGAATTACCATTTTTTTAGAAATACAAATTAAATACTCCAGATTCAACAGCTTAATTACTGAATACTATATAATTTCCGAAAAACAAGAGTTATATAAACATTTTCCCTAAGCCTAATTATAAATTTAAGACTGAATCAACTGATAAAAATGATTTAGAACAAGTTCATCGTAAAAGATAAGCAACTTTGGGAGGAAATGCTTCAATTTTCTCTAATCCAACTAGATTATCTTAATATGAAGAAAGCAGTAATATGATATGTTATTTTAGATCATTAATCTTAAATACCAATTAAACAAGATCGATTAGATTAAATTTAATTAAAATCAAATCGTCATTCTCTTGTTAAATTACTATCTGATGGTTCTTTACCTCGTTCTAATAGTAAAGTCAATACAAATAAAATCTTATAAGATAAGATCAGAAAAAGATTGCCAATTCCCAATTTATTAGATAACATGTCTCCAATACTTTGCAAAAAAAGTGTAAGAGTTGGAAATGATTCTAATTCTACAATGCTACCATAAATTGCTTGAATATTTAGTATTAAATAACTAATTTTAACGAATATATATATATATATATAATTAAATTGCCAAAAGAATTAATGCAAGAAATTGACTTGTTAAGGTTACATAGAGAAACATTAAAGTATTTGGAAATCGAAAGCATCTTTAAACGCTTAACATAAACCTTCATAAATAAAATTTACAATCTTGTTAAAGATATTTTTGCTGAAGAACATAAATTCACCATTTAAGTATAATTCATAACTGAAAATAGGAATTATTGAAAATGGCTAATTATAAAGAAATTCCTCTAAAAGAATTTAAGTTAGTTGAGCATTACAAACTTAATTCACAAATATTCAAGACCAATCTATAAACTATTTTTTCTATAATTGTCGATGATCTTTAAAATACATTCAATAAATAAATTATTATTGAAGAAAGATCAATTCTTGAACCCAGATAGCTTACATAAATTGATGAAGAATCCCAAATATGCTTTACTGAAAATTGTAATGAAATATCTCAAGAATACTCAAAAACACATAGAGATGATGTTAAAACAGAAGAAGCTCCATTAGTTAATTAGGAATCAAAATAAGCCTAGAAAATTCCATTAGCAAAATTATTGTCATTTGATAAGATAACTAGTTTATCAGTAGCTAATTCACCAAGACATTCTAGAGAAAATAGTTTAACTACTAATACTTTTAGATAATCTAATAAACCAATATAATAATTGATGCTAAATACTAATAATGGATCTAAAAAATAAACAGTTACACAATTAGCTAAAAATAAAAGTTTGGAATTAAAGTCCATAGCTGAAACTTTGATAGCTCAAAGTAAGATCAGTCCAAAAGGAAATCAAACAATTATTTTTAATAATTTGATGTCAAAAATGAATAGTCTCAAGGAGAACACAATAAAACCATGAGATAAATTTTTACTTTATATATAATAATGGTTAAAAGTATATTCACCATTAAAAATTATTCTCATTTTTAATATGTTTAAATTGGGTTAAAAATATTTCCTATTCATTCTGATATGAATTATCCAATTATACTTTTTAAGATATCATTATATCTTTTAATTTTGGTATCTAAGGATAAAATAAATGAATTACTAAATCAATGGCTTTTTCAGTGTTTTTTTATATTTAAATTTATCCACCTCCATTTAGACATCCTAATGGACAAGCCATAATTTCAACATATTTATATTTACAAGTTTTTGTTTTTATTTAAGAAATTAAATTAGCTATATTTTTTAATCCAAAAACACGAGCATAAATACCTTATAATTCCATTTTTTCATTATAAATAGTAATTTCATTAAAATCTTTATTTTTTCTAATATTATATTTGACAGTCCAATTTGGCATCAAAACACTTTAGATTATATAATCTAAATAATTATTTGATGATGTGTTATGATATTCTTAAAAATTAATTGCCATAGTCTAAAGTTGAATTTGTTGAGGAATTATATTTATTTTCTAAATGTAATCCTTTACAAATTATTCAATTTCCCTTGTACTTAGAACAATATTTATATCTTCATTATTTTCTTGTCTAACAGCTTCAAGCTTTTTATCATAACATGGCATTATTGTAGCAATGTAATCATGATTTTTCTTTTGGATTGCTCCAAAAATTTGTTATGGACTCTTCACTTTACTCATATGATTAATTATGGATTCATCTAATGTCTTTTCAGCATAACATACCCATCCTGGACATTCGGAACAAAGTAATGGAGTTATATTTGTTTATTTAAACTCTTAAATTGAGTTATTAATAGCTATTTTCATGTACTCAGTCATATCATATAATTTAACATTCATTTCTTAAAATATTTAGTGTAAGATAGAATGCATTTCTGAATCTGTAAAATTTAATACATAAGATAAGGAAGCTCTTGCTTAAGGACTAATTCCAATTGCAGGATTTTAATATTTCTTAATTGCTTACAAAAACTCCTCTAAACTTTAGGTTTAAATTAGTATAGTTTCTGCAGTTGTAACACATCCGCTGCATGCAAGACAGTCTTGTAAAGAGACTTTAGCAACATTATTCTAATTTTTAATCAAATTAGGTTTTAATTAAATAGATGGATCATCAAGTTAAAGTTTAACATTTTTCATTAATGGTTTGATACATTCTTAACTTGGTATGATGTAATCACTAACTGAGGAAATTTTAATAGTGGAAGAAAACATTGTTAATGATTTTATTAATTTATGTTCACCCATCGAGAGAAGGTATATAACTTAAATAAAATTATTAGATAGGTATAATTTCATTCAGAAATTTTGTTAATTGGCTCTTTGATTTCTACAAATAGCTAAGAGTTCAATAATAAATAAATATATACCACATCCTAATGCTTGTTCTTCTCCATTTGCCTTATGATCCATTTTTATTGGACATTTATCCTTTCCAGGACATTTAGGAAGTTTATCTTTAGGGATTTTCGACACATAATCTCCGTTACATTATCTCTTATGGCAATCTTCACAAAAGTGAGTTGTACCCCTTTGAGAATATGATAAATTTGAATGTATACCAGCAAAACCATACAGCAATTTAACAGCAAAATTTGCATTTGAATTCTATGTATTCTTTTCCATGAACTTAACATGTTTCTCCTACTGGTACTTCACAACAATTAGCACAAATCAATTCTTCAGGTTTATATTATTTATCTCCTTCATCCAAAGCTCTTTGGCAATCTTTAGCACCACCAAAATAAGGATTCTTGCATTTAAAACATTAATAATAACAATAAATAGCCATAGCATATTCTTAGGGTTTCCCATAAAATATTTCACCTACTTTACTAACCTTTTCATCTTTATCTCTGTTTTCATATTTCAATCTATCGAGTGATTTCTTCATCACATCTTAAAAGAGTAATGAATATTAATTAACAAGACTTTAAGGTAAAGATGGTTGAAATTCTAACCATGTATTACACAAAGGACATAAGCAAAACTTGAAAACTATTCTTGGTCCATTCCATTTGACATCTAATCTCTTTAAAATACAAGTATAATGAAAGATCTATTATTAGTATATAAAATACATGGCCACACTTTGATTGGATAATAGGGGCATTCTTTAAACCCTCAACAAAACAAATATTACAATAATCATCTCCTTTTTAATCACCTTTACAACATTAATCATTTAAACAAGTTGAACATATCTATTCATTTTTAAATCCTGGACAAGGATGTCTACATGGTAATATTTTATTGCAAGCAAATTAAGCTTTTTCTTGACATTCTTTTTCTTAACATATATCCTAGAAAGCTTCTGGTACATTAAATTGAACATTATGAATAGGCTAATCACAATATCTACAACACCTTAAAAATATTGCAAATCAAAATTACTTTGATGACTTTTTTATTTTATATTCTTCACAATTCATACCTAAATGATATGGAACTGCCTTGCATTCTTTACATTATTCTGTTTTACATGATGGATTGAAACACATAAATCTATTATTTAAATAATGTTCCACATATTTTCTAATATTATATATCATTTTAATACTATTATAATTATTAATTTGTGACAGGATCTTTCAGAACAGTTATTGAACTACCCTTTTCAAAAGCACCCTTTTCAGAACATGCTGAACATTTTACTATGTTAAATTGTCTTTCTAACATTATAGCAGAATATTAATCATGTTTTTCTCTCCCAAGCAATTACTTAAATATCTTTTATAATTACTATTAATTCTTATTCTGACATTTGTTTTTTGCATAACTGGTTTGGACATAAAAATACTATATTTGTTTTATAGTCTTTTTCTATCTATTTCATTAAGCAAGGTCTGCAAATTGGTTAGAAACAATGTTCAAAATATGTAATAATATCTGCATCTACTTTTTTTCCACAAACTTCACATTCCTAAAGTTTTTGGAATTATTTATAAGTATTAAAAACATTGTCTCTTGGGATTTCTACTTAAGGAGGTTTTTAACTGATTTGACTAAAATTAGGTTAAGAAAACTAGAGTATAGGTCCATTTCCATAATCAGAGGTCTTTGATATCGATGAGCTAGTTAAGCGAATATTTGGTGGGTTTAGTAAAGCTTCTACTCTTTCAATGAAAATTAGAAACTCACTCTTTAAAGCAATTAAGTGTGGCCTTTACATTTTTTCAACCTAAAAGTTGTCAAAGATTTAAAAAAATGGAGATGCTTGTCTATAATTTATGCATTTTTTTATGTGATCTGTCATACTTGGTTGATTTAGTGGAACTACTTGTTAGCAGAAACAAATGAAATTTATCTAAGGCTCTATTTGATGATAATTCATTTTGTTTTTGAAGATTATAAAATATTAATTAATGAAAAAATCATCTTAAATATCTCCATTTTAGATATTAATCTTGTTAAATCAAAATCAGATGAATTCCTAATTATTCTAAATTCTATTAAATGATAAGAAAAAAATATTCATCATTAAAATACTCATTTTATTCCATATTATTCATCAGTAATTATTAATTCTTTCCTAATTTATAGTAATATATATATATATAGGAATATAATAAGATATGAATAAAATAAATAATATAATAATAAAAGTTAATTGTAAAAATCTTTATCATAAATCAATTAAATATTTATATCATATTCTAGTTTTCTACTCCAAAGAATAAGCATTCAAATAAATCATTATAAAATGTTGGAGTGTATTTACATGCTCTTGTGCAATCAGGAGAAAATGTCATTTCTAATAATTTTGGTTAGAATCCATTTGAATCAATCATCAAATCCATTCCATAAACACTTCTATTCTAATTTAATAATCTATAAATATTATACTTTAGTATAATTGGCCATATCTGGTTAATGAGTTCTTAAGGCTATAAATAATTATCTAACCATATGTTAAATTGATTCATATTATTTTTCCCATGTATGTGGATAATATTCTTTATTGAATTCCTCTATAAATTCATGCATAAAAATCTATGTTAATTTATGACCATAATTCATAACAGTGAAATGTGTTTCATATATGGATAATGTACTAAGTTATTATAAATGAATTACTTGACATCTTCAGTATATGGATTATTAGAGATTCTTATCCAAAATGTTTTATATAAATAAACACTTAATGGTTCAATTGATTTTAGAGCAACAATAAATCTCAAATCAAATTTCCTATTTCTCAATGTTAGAGGTCTCTCAATATATTTTTAAGCTAATTTAGGTCCTGTTTCAATTAACCTTAATACAACATCTAAATTATTTGTAACAACCATATCCATAGATCTGGCCATATTTGGAGGTTTGATAATCCATAAGTTATTCAAATGTTGAATTTCTTTTGTTTTATATGCTCCCATAAATAAGGGTAATTAAGTCTATAAATTAAATGTTTCCTATAGCCATGCTACTTCTCCAAAAGTACTCTATATAGTATTCGCTAATTTCTCTTTAGAGATGATAGCATATTCATGAGGATATTGATTAATAAATTTATCTGCATACTTTTGATTAATATCATCATGAACACCAGCACTAAAGAATACTAGATTGGCTTCATCTATATCCAAAGTGAAAGATACATAAGGTAAAGTAAGATTTTTGGTAACCATTTCTAAATCTGTTATGACTTTAATATTCTCTTTAGGTAAATATTCAATAGGTTTAGATATTATTTAAGGTTCAACAATCTTTAAATTATGTAATTTCTTTTTGTATTCATTATATCCATTTAAAATAAAGTCATAAGGAATATCAAACCAAACATTCAATCTATAAGAACGGAATTTAGCTTCATCAACTCCTGGTAAATAATCTCTAAAAATAGGTTATTCATGAATATCTTTAATTGGGAATAGAATACTATATGCAACAGCATCATCATCTATTTTTCCATTTGGTAAATATAAAAATGGTACTACACTTACATTAGGTGTATCTGAATGTTAAATACTAGATCCCAATTCATCCATTAAATACCATACAGCAGATTCATCCATTTAATCACTTGTTAATAATCTGTAATTGCCTGTTAATTTAAATAGATTCTGCTTGATTAATTAGATATCGTTTTGTTCTTCTTTGGCAGGTGTATATGATTCATAACGAATATCTCTTTAATTTACTAAACGTAAATGTGGAGCTACTGTATTCAATTTATTAGTTTTGTGTAATTCATACAATACATCTTCAACTTCTAAATCACATGTTAAATATTCTACATTAGGAAGCAAACTGAAAAAGGCATTAGCTTCTTCCAAATCATTTAATTTAGTATTTTTTATATCCAACACTCGTAATGTTGGAAACCAATTAGAAATCTACTTTACAGATTTTAATCTCAATACATTTCTACCTGAGAGATTTAAATAATTAAGGGGTTCTTAGCTATTTGCCTTTTTTGTATCAAAATCAGCTGTAACATATCTTATAACCCATTCAGTTGCATTTGATGTAAATGATAAATCCACTAATTCTATTTATGGGCATTGTTCTTCTATAGATAATAATAATTGCTCTTTGTTTTCTGCAACTGGATTGCCATTTAGCCATATTGCCTTAATTTATTTATAATTATTAAGAAAGTTAACAACTTCATCTATTGAATTAATATTATTTCCAAAGAAACTAATTGCTAATGTATCTTCTTTTGGTTTAACATCTTTCAATGTTTCTAAGGTCATTTCATCAAAGTCTTCAGTATGATAATACACCTTATCTATTTTAAATAATGGCTATTTTTTATTCCAATATTTAAGTATATTCTTCAATCTATCAACCTATTTAATTGCAGTATGTAATTCAGTGTATCTGAAACTCAAAGCATGATCAATCAAAAACACTTTTTCAAATGCTTTTAATGGCTTTGTACATTATAATACATATGATTCTTATTCTTGATCATCAACTATCTTGAAATATTCTCCTGCATCATATATTTTATTTTCTAATTTAGTTTTTAGTTATTCTAATAACTCAACTTTAGGTGGGAAATTGATTCCTGCTAATTAGACTCCATGATTATTGTAAAATACTTCTAATTCTCCTGTTAAATTCTAAAAATTCATAAATTAATTTTTAATCTTAAATAGTTTATAAGAAATTTAGAATATAAATTAAGATACTCAAACTTTTTCTAAGATAAATGTTATTATATATTTATATATATTCTATATAAAGTATCAAAAATTATCAAAAAAAATCAAAAATAAATTATACTTCAAAAAATTATACATTTAAATAATAAATATTAGTAATAACTATTAACCTATAAAATGTAGTTAATTATCTTTATAAAATGTAAGGTTTTTATAGTATTAAAAATTATATCATAATTAAAACATTCATAAAATTATATTGTTATTAAAGCTTAATTAGTATGGTCAAACCCATAAAAATAGATTAGTGTTATTAATAATGATTTAGATAAATATAAATTATTCACAATTCCTTCCATTTTTAAGTTATCATTACATCATGATCAATATATGGTTTAATTTATTTTGCTTTGGTTCTAAGGGGTTCTAAATTCATTTTCAGAGTAAATATTTTGGATTCATTTACTGATTTATTAGACATTGGAACATATTTCATTGATCTTTCAAGTAATTTTGCTTATTATTATTGTTCTTCAATAAAGGATTATGCTCGAAACCTTTGATTTAGAACTTAATATATATGAACTTTCCTTTTGGCTTTTTAGTATTCTTTTTCTCTTTGACGATATTATTTTTCTCTTTCTTCTTGATAATCTCTTAATTTTGATAAATTTTCTGCAATTTATATTCTTCGATCTAATAGAATATCTTATAGATCAAAAGAAGATTGAGACATTGATTTGGAAGGGTTTCTATAGAGAGAATTTTATTGTCTTTTGTAATTTGATTTGCTATTAATCGAAAGCATAAATAGTTTATATTTTATTATTTTTTGAGATAATATCAAAATGGTTTTATTTTTTCTTTATATTTATTTGTATATTGAATAGGTATTAGAAATGATACAGCCATTAGAATTATTAAAATGAATATTATTATTAATATAATAATAATAAATGAAGTAAAGTCTTGGTAATCTGATTCCTAATAGTTTGGTAAAGAAGTATTCTTTCAGACCACCTAATCCAGCTTAATATACATTTGAATTTAAGGATGGGAAATACTATTTTTTTCCAATTATAAAAGGAGTGAAGAAACAAATTTGCAGTTATTACTTACTCATAGATTCATACATACTAAAAAATGATTAATTATATGTTCCTTTGATTCATTTAACAGGGTATATTGTTGATCCAAATATAGTTTATAAAATGCTAAAACTGATCTATCCTAATCAAAGGAATGCTTATTTAATTCAAAGTCTTTTTAGTGTGACACAGAAAAATAAACCTAGAGGAACAGGATGTTAGTTATATTTTCTCATGCAAATGCTAGTGATTTAGGTGATGTATACTTTTTTGGAGAAAGAATAAGCATAGAATATGGAGTAGATTTTATAGCATATGATTACACAGGTTATGGGATAGGTTTTGGATAATATAAAATTAGTGAATAGCAAACTTATGAGGATTTACAAAGTGTATTATCCTTTGCAATAAATAGATTAAATTATTCTCTGAATCAAATTATATTATGGGGTTTTTCATTAGGTTCAGGTCCTGCTACAGAAATAGCTACACGTTTTGGTGGATTGGCAGGATTGATATTATAAGCTCCTATTGCATCAATATATAATTGGTTTGGTGAAGGGGATTATGGATAATAGGATATGTACGTTAATTATAAGAAAATTTAATATGTTCGTAGTAATATATTGATAATTCATGGGGATTCAGATAAGATTGTTGGTCATGAATAAAGTGAGAAATTGTATAATAAATATTTGTAACATAATGCAAGAGGGAAGATTTAAATGGCAATAGTGAAGGGTGCTGGACATAATGATTTATAGTTTCATATTGAGAGAGGGGAAGATGAATTAGGATTTTAGATATAAAATTTGTTAAGATAAAAAGGTGGAGAATTTAATGAAAAAGAATATACATTATTGAATCTATGTTATGTGAAAGAACACATTCCAGGATAACATATTTATTAATTTAATTCATTGAGAAAGTTTTCAAGTTCTTAAGAAATTTAAAGAAAGAAAATACATGGTTTATTCTCTTTATGTACTTGTGATTGATTTTATTTATTCTTGTATTATTTGATATATTAATTTAATATATTATTTGAATAATAATGGAAACAGTGACTTTTGGAGGAGACAATCCTCAACCACGTTTTGGACATACAATTTGTATGATAGCTCCTAACAAAATTGCTCTTTTCGGAGGTAGAATATTGTATAGAGGAAGGTGCTGTTGGGGACACTGGAAGATATACTATAACAGGAGATGTTTATATAGGTGATGTTACATAGAGAAAATGGAAGAGGATTGAAGCAAGTGGAAGTGTTCCAACAAATAGAGCAGCACATTAAGCATTGGCTATTGAATTGAATTAAATGATTATATTTGGAGGAGCAGTAGGAGGAGGTGGTTTAGCAGATGATAATTTATTTGTTTTTGAATTGCGTGATGATACTGGTACATGGGTTACAGTACCAGTGATTGGAACCACCCCTGGTAGAAGGTATGGTCATACTATGGTACTCATAAAACCATATTTAATTGTTTTTGGAGGAAATACAGGTTAAGAACCAGTTAATGATGTTTGGAGTTTTAATTTAGAAAAATCACCATATTCATGGTCTAAATTGGAATGCCCATCTGAATTACCAAGTGTAAGAGTTTATCATTCAGCTGCTCTATGTAATACAGGATCAGCAAATGGAATGATGGTAACATTTGGAGGTAGAACAAGTGATTAAAGTGCTTTGAATGATGCTTGGGGTTTAAGAAGACATAGAGATGGAAGATGGGATTGGGTAAGAGCTCCTTATAAAAACTAAAATGAAATACCAGTTTAAAGATATCAGCATTCAACTTTGTTTTTGGGAACCTTGATGTTAGTAATAGGAGGTAGATCAAATTAAGTTGGAGATACTCTTCCATTTGAAATATATGATACTGAAACATCTGACTGGTATAAATTCCAATCAATCCAGAGATTCAGACATTCATCATGGTTAGTTGATTAGTTTCTATATCTACATGGTGGATTTGATTCCGATTAACCAAATATTCCAACAGAATGCATCTTAAGATTAGATCTCAATAAACGATTTGCATAAACTCCTTAATTATTTAGATAATTGAATACAGTGAGGAATGATAATACTTTCATGGAATCATTCAATCCTAGAGTTCCTCCTAATTCAAGTAACAACAATACATAAGATTAATTTAGAAGAACAAATTAATAAAATCAATAGAGAAGTTTTATTTAAATAATAATTTTTAGATTAATAAACATAATAATAAATTCGTGTGTCATCTGCCAATAACAAAAATATTAGATTAGCTAATTAAGCTTTGGTGGCTATGGTTTATGGTCCAGAAGAAGACATTACTAATTAAGTTAAGAAAGTTCCTATTGATAAATTATAAGATGAACATAGAAAATTAGGTGCAGGTTTCTAAGATCCAAATTCATAAAATAAATCTTAATTTGTTGAATAAATGCTTGCTCCTTTTATATAAAATTTATTATTGCCTAAAGATTACTAATCTATTCCTCCAAATTCAAATCTAATGACAGGTATTAGAAAAGACTCTATTATCAAATTATGTGATGAAGTTTAGAGAATTCTTGAAAAAGAACCTATAGTATTAAGATTAAGAAGACCAATAAAAATATATGGAAATTTAAATGGTTAATATTTAGATCTAATGAGATTCTTTGATCATTTTAAAGCTCCATATGATAATTTATATAATGGTGATATAGATTCTTAAGATTATTTATTTTTGGGAGATTATGTTGATAGAGGCACAAGATCTCTTGAAATAATTCTATTGTTATTTACACTTAAAGTAAAATATGGAGATTAGATTCATTTATTAAGAGGTCATCATGAAGATCCTAAAATCAATAAGATCTTTGGATTTGCTGATGAATGTTATTTAAAATATGCTGAAGATATTAATGATCCAAATAGTATTTATCAAAGAATCAACAGAGTTTTTTAATATATGCCATTGGCTGCAGTTATTGAAGATAAAATATTTTGTGTTCATGGAGGAATTGGATAAACTATAAGAACAATTGATGAAATTGAACTTATTTAAAAACCTCTCCAAATTATACATGATCCTGTTACTGTAAAGTATTTGCAATATTAATTTAGTATCAGTAAAAGATTGCTTTAGAATTATTATGGTCTGATCCATGTTTAAATGAAGATGAATAAGAAAATTAACCAAATGTTGAAAGAGATCTTTTTTAAAATAAATCTATAATTAGATTTGGAAATAATAGAATCAATAAATTTCTTTAAGAAAATAATTTAAATATGATAATAAGATCTCATGAACCTACAAATGAAGGATTTGAAAAATTAAACAATAGTGTGATCACAATATTTTCATGTAGTGATTATGGTAATTGTGGTAATAAAGGAGGTATTTGAATATTTATAATAATATATTAGCTATTCTCTCTATTACAAAAAGAGGAGATATAATACCAAAAGTCATACCTACAGCAAATATTATTAATGAAGCTAGATGGTTGAATTTAGAGGAACCTGCTTAAAGAACTTAAGGTTTTGTCAAATATGTAGATATCAATAATGATGAATTACAATAGAGGAGAAGACCATTTACTCCATCAAGATCAAAAAAAATTGGATCACAAAAATAATTCAAATGATATTATTCAAGTTATTAGATTAAAAATCTTTTATTTTATTATTATTCTTAATGTTATAATAATAATATTTTAAATTTATTCATAATTTATTATTTATTAGTTTATATAAATTAGACACATTTTTCAAATTATCATTTAATTATTAATATTATTCACATAATTGTTATTGTTGTTTTTTATTAAATTATATTTAATTCAAATAATCTCTTTTTTATCTTTATTATTAATTCAACATATCGATTATCTATTTTTGTTGTTACTCTTGTTGAAATGATTCTTTATAATCTTATATTTCATTATATTCCTTCTCTAAGATAACTCATTAATTTTATCTTATTTTATACAATTCCAACAATTAAGAATTATTGTAAAGTACTCATTAATGAAATTTGTAATTTATCTAATATGTTTCTGAATTGTTTAATCTCATTCAAATCTACCAATATTTTTGTATAGATCCTCATTAATTTAAGAATATAAATTCTCAATTTGAATATAACTAATTTTGTAGACTCCCAAAATTTATTTGTCTTTTGATGATATTGATTCAATACACTTTTCAATTAACTAATGATACTATCTTTGTTCTTAATACTCAATGGTTTTTTGTAGACATTATTAAAATGTTTGATTAATAAATTAAATCTCTCCAGTGTGCGGCAATAGAAACATAAGCCTATTATGATATTTATTGGTAAGTACCTTCAAAGTAAGCAGCTGCATATAATATGCTTCTCGATAAATTCAATCATACTAAAATAAAAATTGAGGTTGATTACAATTAGATTCAATTGCATCCATAAATAATGGAAATAATAAACTATTACAATCATATTCAAACATCTTAAATACCATTAATTAAAGCAACACCAGATATTGTAATTTTAGGTCCACCTTCATCAGATCCTAATTAACACTACAATAGATCTATTTAGAAAATATGTTCTCAATTATTAAATGAGAATCTCTTAGATGATTTAAGTAATTTCACAATTGAAAAGTAAATATTCTAGAATCTCAATAACTTAATTCATTGTCAAGGTTTAAATACTGTAATCTTATAACCATGTACAATACCTGTGCTTAGTAATTATCCTCTATGGTTTAGTTAAGGTTTAATTAAAACACTCGAAGCTTATTAAGTAGGATACCTAGAACTTGAAGAAATCGATTATCTCACAGAAATTCAGATTAAATTCATTCACTCAAGCTTAAATTACATAGATTCTTAGTTAAAATAAAAAAATAGCATTAGAAGTAAAAATGAACCAAATACATTGTCACCATATAAAGGGTCTAATATTCATCAATCTGAAATTGATAATTAGTAATCCAAACATAGAACCAAAAGTATACTTGTTTCAAATTGGTTTCATTTTAAGACTTATTCAAATCTCAGACCCAGAGACACTCTAAGTTAAATTAAGAGACATAAAGCAGTATCAAGTTCATAAGTAGATTTGCACACTCCATTTAGTCCTTACAAGTAAAGTCCCTTTAATTTAAAGGCTAACATAAAGCCCAGATGGTTTGAGCATATTTATTAAAAATGATACTAAATTAAATTAGAAAATATTTCTCTAAAGTTGCTTAGGAAGCCTTAAATCTAAGACATAAGCATATTAATGAACAATTTTAACAATATAAATCAAATCCTAAAATTTTGAATCCAAGAAAAGGAGAGAATGTCCAACCTGATTAATTAAAGAAAATGAAATAAGAAGCTATGCAAGAAATTGAAAAATTCTAAAAGAATTACTTATTTGATATTAATTTTAACACTAAAGGGTTGGTCAAACTATTAGGCTAAGTTAGCTATGTGTATGATAATCATGATCTAATCTAATCTCCTTAATTTTAAGAAATATTAAAAAGTTCCAAAGAAAATTTATATCAATTTTAAAACATAAGGGAATTAGCTTTGTTATTGAATTTCTGCTTCAAACATTAATTAGGAGATGAAAATCTATGGTTTGCTGCTTATTAACATCTACTCAATACTTAATCTTAAATATAAGTAGAAGATTTACTTTTAATTTTGGAATCAATAAATGAGACTAATTTAGAATATCTAAAACCACTGTTTAAATAATTCGAAAATGCTATCTTAGAAGAAGTATAAAGAAATAATCACAAAGTTACTATCAAAGCACTCCAAATTTATCGTAAATTTTAACCAGATAATAACAATTTCTTCTATTCTATTAAAAAATAAATTATTGATTCACTACCTTAAACTAATACTGATTCAGTTTTGAATTATCTTAGATATTATGGTTTAGGCAATGAACCTATAGAAGATAGATAAGAAATACTTAATGCTATAATGATTCATCTTTATAAAATGTAAAAATTTTTAAATAAAAAATAATTACTTTAAGTATATTATACATATGTAAGAACATAATTAGGATCTGACATATTATATCGTTTAATTGAAGATAGGGTTGCAATATTAATAGATGAATTTTAATTAAATGAAATTGAACAATTATTAATTATTGCTGCTAATCAAAAGAACAATATTATTTTTAAATATGCTGAAAGATTACTCAAATAAAGATTATTAGATTGTAATCCTGCTGATCTTGTATAAATTGCTGTTCTTTTTATTGAAAATAATTAAGGAACACCTGAATTTATTGATTCTTTAGAATAACATCTAATTTAAGCCATTTATACAACTGATGATATAACAGAATTACTTTGGGCCTTAGTCTAAAAATAATACAATTCTAAATGGATGGAAAAAATAGCTGATGCTTGTAAAGAACGAGTACCAAATTTATCAGTTAAATAACTTACATCAATTGTGTGGATGACAAGTGATTATTTTAAGAGATTAAAAAATAAAGAAAAGTAATAATCTAAATATATTGATTTATATGAACTTATAGAAAAACATTTAATATAATATTTCGAAGAAGGAGAAGTTATAAATAGAGATGTAGCACTTGTTATGAATGCATATATAAGAAATATTCCAATATCTCAAGATTTAGTAGATTTAATGGAAATATATATTCTTAATTCAACAGAGGAAGAACTTTAAGAATTAGATGGTTGGAGTGTCTCCCAAATCATATGGGGATTTAGTTAAATTGAATGTAAATATTTACCTTAATATTTAGAGTACTAGAATTTAAAAGAATTCTTAAATTTTATGATTAAAGTCACTATTGAATGTATTGGTGAAATGAAAATTGATGAACTTTTTACAGTTCTGAGAGTGTATATAAATGAGAAATAAGAAACAGAAGAAATGATCAAAGAAGCTATAGAAAAAACTAATTTTTGGATGGATTAATTAGACCTTAATTAAGTATATTTAGGAATTCATATTTTTACAAATACTTCATTTTCAAAGTAAATTTAATTTATTAAATTGTTAGTCTTTAAGGAATCAATGAATTAATTAAAAAACTATTAGATAGGTTAGAGTTCTTAAAGTCTATAAAACCATAAATAGATCCAAATGAGGATGAAGAAATAGACCATGATAAAGAATAAAAATTAAGACTAGAAGTAGAAAAATATAAATATTCTTGATACTATTATGAGTGATATATAATAAATACAAAGATGTAACTTAAAATCTATTATTGTAAATTTATTTTGAAATATATCAGTTTTATTTATTAATTTTTTGTTATTTATATATATTAACAATTAGTTTTTATTTAAACTTTAGTCCTTATATAGAAAATAAATAGACAAGTTGAAAGATGATTAATTAAAAAATATATTTACATAATGGTTTAGAGTAAATAAGAGAATTTAAATAATTTATTATTATGTTATGTTATGATTTTTCATTTTTATTCTATCATCAATAGAATTCTACAGATTTATCAATATTTCTTTAAAACCCATAATTTTTGGCTACTAAAATTCTATTTAAAATACTTTATAATTTTTTAAATTAAAAAATAATTCCTAATTTATAAAACATTTTGATTATAATGTACTAGTTTAACTAGAATTTGAATATTATTCAGTTTTAACTAGGATTTCAGGATTATAAAATTTGGTATTTAACATAATTAATTCCTTTTCGATATCAGGATTGCCAAAATAAAAAATAAAAAATATATGCTTGGAATTTTAAATGAAAATTTTAACTGTAGAAGCTATAAAGTATAATAATTAAAATATATTTTTTTTGTCTTTATGCCCTATGGATTTATGAAAGAGTATTATATAATTATAAAAAAAAACAAAATGTGTAAATATATATAGGGTTAAGTGAATGATGTATATGCAGATCTAAAGAGTTTTGTTACCTCTTTTGGTTTATTATGTTTGATGTATGCAGATATGTTTAATAAAAATAAATGATATATTTTAAAAATGAAGGCACTGAATTTGATAGATTTTGTATTTAGATATTTGGATTGCCAATAGTAATTGAATTTTGAATTTCATTGATTCAGTTATATAAACTTTGAGTTGAATATTAAAATAGTTCAATTAAATATAATAATGGAGCAAATAGAGAAATATATTTAGATAGTATTTCAAACCCTTATTAAATAATATATGAAGAGTATTTAAGAATTAATTTAAGAAATTGGCAGTTGAAATTTATTTATTCATTGATAATGAATATTCCATTTTAAATTTAAATTTCATATGAGTTATTTTATTGATTAGTTGTATTATTTTAAAAATGAATATCATTCAGATGTGTAACAATATTAACATTGCAGTCATATTGTCACATCCATAACCAGTAGAAGTATCGATAGCCAAAGAAGAATCGAGCAACTTTTCAAGTATTAATGGTGGTTCCATACCCCTTTCTAATCGTTCTCCTATAAATTACATCACTTTGTAACTATTCATTGTTTCGAATAATCCATCACAACCAAGAAATAGGAATCTAAATCATAGCAATAAGTCTTACTTGTCTTCTTTATTCAATTTAATCTTTCTTATTTCAGGTTCAGCAATCACCATTTGTTAATTGGCAGGTAATGGTTCCTATTTGAATTCGAAATCACCAAAAGCACGTGAAACTGAAAGTGTTCCATTGAGACGTCCTTCTTCATTAACAAATCCTCCTGCAAATCTGATCCTAGCCAATTCATTACATGGAAGATGATCTTTAGTTAATTCAATAGTTTCATCATCACGCATCAGAAGACAACGAGAATCCCCTAAATTGGCAACATATAGAGTTTTCTAGACTACCAAAGCCACAACTGCTGTTGAACCAATAAATGTATCTAAAAATGAATGTAGGAATAATATGATTACTTTTAGCCACATTAGTTTTGATCATTTCATCTAATTGTATAAAACAATCATGTAAGGCTTAAGTGTAATCTTCACCTATGAATGAAGGTTGTTGAACAAGAGCTTCTAGAAAATTATCAGCCAAGTAATTTGAAATTCCAGCACCACCATGTCCATCAAAAACAGCAAATAATGATATATCTTCTCTAAAATCTACTTTCATAATGTGCGCATCTTCCATTTAAAGTCTCCAACCTACATTGTAATATTACACACTAACCTTGCATTGACGCAGTATGGCAGTATAGAATTGCATTAGACTACTATTCATGTAATTTTTGGGTGATTGGTTATGACAAAAACTAACCCATTAATTATATTATTTATGCTTTTGGTATCAATTTAATTGCATTTAGACATGAAAATTAGAATCATTTTATAACAATATCTATTTATATTTTTATTCCTTTTATAAATATAATATTCAATCAATAAAATTAACAATATATTGATTTTTAAGATCAATCATATATCAACCCTGAACTCATTTGATATAATAAGCAATCTCATTTATATTGTTTTATATATTAAAAATTATAAAATATTTAATAATAATGGAGTTTATTCTAAATTTATTATACTATTTATAGAATTTCAATTTAAATAAATTGAAGATCATGATTAGTTCTTAAAATAATCATAATAATAAGAGATATATATTATAATTATTTATATATTGATAATAATTCAATATTGATTAAATGAGATCATTATTTAGAATAATTGTAGAGTTTTATAAGACTCTTGTGTGATGTATAAAATATTATTATTTAATAAATAATAGTAGATAACCATAATACATATTAATAATATCATTGAAAATACATATATAATATACTCATCTTAAATTAAATAAAATATGTAATATAAATTATATTAAATAAAATAAATTTTATATGGGAAATGCATTAAATGACATTGGTGATAATTATGACTTCAAATTCATTTAAAAAGTTTAACATTCACTTTTTGGTCAAATAGACATATTAGAATGCTAAATCTAAGATTTTCCTGATATTGAACAATATATGAGAGTCATTCCAAAATTAAATAATTAAGATTATATTGCTTTTATTAAAAGGTATATAAAATTGTAGAATCTTCATAAACATGAATTGACATCTCCATTTCTAATATATATCTCAAATAATATATTTGAATACCCATCACATTCATTATATGATGAAATCTAAGTAAAAAGATAACAAGGAACACAATTTGCAGAATCTGAATTATGGTATCTAGCTAAGAATTTGATTGCTGGATATTCCATATATCTTTAAATTCCAGAACTAGTCAGATAAACCTAATTAAATCTACATAATATTTTTATAACTAAAAAAGGACATATTAAATTAAGTTTACATACTTTGTTTTTAATAAATTCAACTAACTTTAAAAATCTATATATTGAAGAATCATAATATAGCCATAAGATTAGTAAAGAAATAGGATTAATATTACTTGAAGCTAGTTGTTTATCTTTTGAAGATAGTATTAAAGTCATGGATATGTATTATTCTATTGAATATTCAAATTTTGTTAAAGATATGATTGGAGATACAAAAACATTATAATATTTTCAAAATTATCAAATGAGTAAGAAGATATCTAAAACAATATATGGAGAATCATAATTAAAAAAGACTACAACATTACTTGCTCAATAGACTAAATCATTAAAATAATCACAAATTATTGAATCCTATCATGTTAAATCACCTGTAAAAACAGATCCAAATCAATTTGATTAAGTCTCTAAAATTGCAAGTATACCTGAAGTAAATGAATAAGATTAAAAGAAATCATAACAATTAGATTATTTTTCTGGTAGAAAATCAACATAACCTATACCAAATATATAATCTGAAATTTACTACCATTCTAAATAATAATCATTATAAATAAATGATTAATAATAACCTAATATAATTCAATTTATTGATAATTCAAATCTTTAATTAAATACTAATTAACCTGTAATTCAAAAATTCGATGTTTTAAATGAAAAATTTAATTAAAGATTTTGGAAAGCAATTGATTAAGCAAAGAGATAAGTCTTAATTTATGAATAAAGAAGTAAATAGATATATTGAATATATAATATCATTATAATACTAATTTCAAATTATCTTTTCCTAAATTAAAAGGTCCTATAAATATAGAATTTTATTTATAAAATCCAGATATACAATTTTAAAAAATGCATTCTTAACCATAGATGATAATTTCTTCAATAATGAGTTCTGATTGACATTACGAAAGATTTAATATCACAACGTCTTTAAGTATTTCCAATTTGAAATTTATCAATTAAGCATTAATTGCTTCTTCTTCATTTTCAAAATCTTTCAAATCAGCTAAAACTCCTATAGAAACTAAATTAGAAATAGCAGCTATCAATCGATAATGATTATCTAAAGATTTCACATTTTAAATAGATTCTTTTGTATTTTAAAGTATCAAGTATCCGCTTCTAATAAATATGGGTGTTATATCACTATAAGAACAATGAAGTATATGATCTTATTAACCTTTATAATTTAAACCTGTTATAAGGTCATACCATTCAGATTCTGGAAAATAAGCCTTTCTTGTGATTGATTCATCTAATATAGGAGCACCCATTAATTCATTACCAATTATGAATTAAGTATCCATCACAAAATCTCTATATGACATATTATCTTATGGAAATACAAAAAACAAGGGATTTATGACTAAAAATAAAGGAATGATATATACTTGTCCCATGATTCTATTCTCTTATGAAGATAGAATAATACCATTTCAAAAGAGAATATCTTAAATGAATATTCTTTTAAGCTGTTTGAATGACTGTATGATCAATATTATAAAATTCTTATGATTTAGATAAATCATTATTGTGATTACGAAAGAAAGGATAAAAGATTCCCAATTAGATCCATCTTGAACAAAGCTTAATATTAGTATCTCCCATAAATCCACATACATCTGCACCAACCATAGGGATACCATAAATTTAAAATGAAAATATTTATCCTAAAGATAAATAAAGAAAATCCCATGATGCTCCATTATCCCCAGTCCAATGTTAAGCATATTTACCAGTACCTGGAAATGTAGATCTAGTAATCTGAAAAGGTTGAATCTTACCCAATTCTTTCAAGGCTTGATAAGTATAATAAGAATCCATGATACCATAAAGATTATGAACATCTTTATGTAAGTAATTTCCATAATGAATTAAATGAGGAGGAAGTGTTTTATTAGATAATGATATAGCTCCAGGAATATAAGCAAAATTAATATTTTCATTCATTTTATCAATTCTTTGTTAATGATTATGTAAATTACTATTTAGACCACATTCTCCATCACAAAAATTAGCAGGTTCATTCATATCAACCCATAATCCATCAAACTCTACTTAATTATAAAGATGTTTATGCATTTCATTCCAAAACTTACTAATATTAGGATGAAAGAAATCAGGAAAATATGATTCTCCTGGCCAAACTCTTCCTTAAAATCTATATCCAGTCTCTGGAGAATAGACAAAAATATCATATTCTATACCTTTTTTATAACCTTCATCTTGATTACCATATTTAACACCTACTGCTACATCAACAATAGGTATATATCTAACACCTAAATTTCGTATATTTTCATAATCTTATTTAGTGAATCTATTTGAATCTACAGAAAATATTTATCTATCATGCATATAATCTATATCTGACCAAATTGTATCAATAGGAATTTTATTTTTTTAGTATTATTCAACTACTTGTACTAATTTACTACTATTATTATATCCCCATCTGCTTTAATGAAAACCAAAACTCCAAAAAGGAGGTAATATCCATCCACCTAAATAATTATGATATTGCTTGATTACTGTCCTAGGTGAATAATCACCTAAAAATAATTTTAAATGGATTATGCCTCCTATTGTTATAAATTTCATTCTTTCTTCCTAATAAATAATGTCCATTGGTGAAGATGATTTATAAAACATAATATTGAATTTTCCATTATCTTCCATACTCAATAAAACTGGATGACTTGAATAAACATTCTTTCCTGGTCTCTTACCATCTTCTATAATATTTGGTTCATCTCTTGCATATAAAGTATATATTCCTTATTTAAAACGAAAACCAACTTAGTTTCTTTCTCCTAAACCCCACATTTATTTATTTTGAGGATAATGTGTGAATTCTATGTAATTTTCACTATAAACCAATTCTGAAATAGTAAAGATTACTCTATCATCTCTGTAAATCTAAATTGTGACTAGGTCATTAGTAATTATAACACTGTAATTATAATTTTCCAAAAGTAAAGGATTCTCTATATCCTTATAATTAAATGGCTAATGTAATTAGAAGCATTTACAGGTTATTAAGGGATTCTGAAATGTTTTCGATCTTCATCAAAAATCTGAATGTCAAGTTATGAGTCATTTTCAAACCTTATCTCAAGAATTAAGATTTAATTTAATTTAATAGATTAACCATTCTTCACAATCATCTCATTTGTAGTGTGTAATTTATATTATTGTATTTATCCATCATTTCTAATTTATGTGGCAATATATTATGTAAATGTAACTTAAAAGTATAAACAGATGATTAAAAACATCTGATAATTATTTATAATTAAATTTATAATATGATAATTTATTTAAATTATAACTATTATAAATTATGTGAAATATTTATATTTAAAGTACTAAATAACAAAATATAACATTCATTATCAAATCAATAATAATATCCAGACTTATATACTAACATATTATAATTTAATACCAATTAATTAATGATAAATTTAATGTTTTAGAAATCATATTTGTAATAATATTATATAAAGAATATTTCAACATTTTTTTATCTTTCTTATATTTTATCAATATAAAAAAGAGGATACATAATATTTTAAGAATGTAATATTTAAGTTTATTTAATTTTTAAATCCTATCATTTCTTTTTAAAATTAATGAAAGGCTAAGATTCTTTATAAAAATTAAGAGTTTTTATTACAATAGCAAAACTTGATTAAAATTAATAAACATTTATTTGTACTTTATAGAAGAAATTCTGAAAGATCACTTTTTTCATAATCTTTTTAAAAGAGTGATAAAAATGAGGGTAACCAAAAAGAACCTTGTTTAATAGGAAGAATTAAAAAAAAAATTAATAAACTGTAGCATTTTAATAAGAAATAGGAAGGAATTTTATAAAATTTTTAATTTATTATTTGATGTTATAAAATAGGGCAAAGAAATTTAATTTCTTTTTTGGATCCATTTTGGGGTTCATAATAACTTATAATTATATATACTTTGATTAGATTTATATAGAGTAGATGAATATTTATATATTATATAAAATTGAAAATATGCATTGTTTATAGAAAGAATCACAAATTATTTGAAATAAATAAGCAATAATTTGTCACAAACTAAAATAAATAATTTTAATAAAGTATTCATATAAAAAATGGAAGAAAAAATTACATCTATTGTCACAGATGATAGAATTGATGAGATTTTGCATCTGAATGCTACTAAAGAGGAATTAATTATAATACTCAATTACATTATAATGGATTATAAGAAGTTCTCAATGACTGATAAAATCTTACTGCAATCATAAAAATTATAGAAACTAGCATTAGAAGAATGCATTGAAAATCATTATGTATTTCTATTCTTACCAGGAGTAAAGAATTCTATGGACATTAAATCTTAAAAAGAGGTGAGATATACATATGAACCAAAAGATGGAAAGATTTTAAAAGAAAAATATAGAAATGGTCGTAAAACTGAATCAACTGAAGTCACTTATGAATAAATCAATAAAATGTTAGGATCCTTCAATCAAAGCACAGGTGCCTTTTTATAAAGCAAACCTAATTTTGCTGAAAGTAGATTTATAGCTCCACTTTTACCTTAAGAAGAAGTATCAAAAAGGGAGAAGGTTTAAGTGAAAGGTGGACAAATGCAATTTGTATAATAGCCAAGAAAAAATAAACCTGCTTTTAAAAATTATACTGCAGAAGAAATCTCAAAACATAATAAACCAGGAGATGTATGGACTGTGTTGAATGGCAAAGTTTATGACATTTCTCTATACGTTGATTATCATCCTGGCGGAGTTGAAAAATTAATGCTAGGAGCTGGAAAAGATTGTACAAAATTATTTAATTAATTCCATTCTTGGGTGAATGGACATGCTTTTTTAGAATAGGACTATATTGGTAATTTAAAATATTGATAATTATATATATTATAATATATAAATTTCAATAGAGCAAATAAATGACTAAAAACATAGTAACAATAACTGCAGCAATAAATAGTCTTGTTCTTAATACCCTACTTTCTTAATCTTTTCTGACTTATGTTGCCTTGATTGATAATAAGATTTATTTACTGTTGTTTTCATAGTATCTGCATATTTATTCATAGTTTAAGTAGAATGTACTAAAATCTAAACTTAATCTTCTCTATCTAAGATTTAGTCTATGATATAATAATTATATATAATACCTAAAGTCAAAGACATTTAATTAGCTACATCTGTCAATTAATTTTTTAATCTAACAATTTTTTCATTTTCTGGATCATTATTATAATAAAACTGTAATATTGCAAAATAATATTGATACCATCTTGTCTTTTAAATACTCTACAAATTATTATTGCATTCCATAATTAATAGCTTATTTTCTCAAATTTTCACTAAATTTCTAACAAAATGATTCTTTAATTTCTTCTAAAAATGCAAAGGCAGTAGCTTTTGACAAATATGCATCTGCTAAACATAAGTAAGTAAAATCATTTTCATTTATGTAATGGAAATGATAACTAGTATTTATTCTATATTTACTAATTACTTTTAATCATAAACAAATGTTTAACGAGTGTTTTTTTTTAGTTTATCAAATAGTTTTTTTGCTAAAGAAGGGAAATTACTGGTTACAGATTCATAATCAACAAGTGTTATATTGTTTTCTCTTACAATGACAACATAAATCAAAGACATATAAAATTTTAAAATTATTTAATAATAAATATTCGAGGATTCAATTTTATAGTTGAATCTACAATCATAAATATTTAGATAAGTGTTTAATTTAATTGTAAAATATCGGTCAATCTAAAAAGAGGTATATAATTTAATTTTTTATATATAATTAATGAATTAATAAATAGTCATACCCAAATCAATTTATTTTAAAGAGGGATCATTTTTTCTAATTGTTAATGCAAAACCAAATTCTAAAGTGAGTTAAATTACAGGTGTTTCTGATGAAGCTGTTGATATTAATATTGCAGCACCACCTAAAGATGGAGAAGCCAATGCTGAATTATGCGATTTCATTGCTTAAACTTTAGGAGTTAAGAAAACTGCTATTTAAGTCTAAAAAGGAGGTAAAGGAAGGAATAAGCTAATTAAAATTGATAGCAAATTCAAAGATATCAACGAATTTTATGAGAAGTTGAAATAATGATTTTGAATATAACTATTTTGGCAAAAATATGACTTTCATAATCATTCTTTTATTATAACCATTATTTTATAGTTATTAGTTATATATCTTAATATACAATTTTCTGAAGACTAAATATTTTAAATTTATGTTTATATCAATAGGAACTATTTATAGAATCTCAAATTAAATAACTATTTGAGTATATTTATCTTTATGATTTCTTTTTTTATTTACATAAATAATAGATTAAAGTTTAAGATCTCTATTTCTTATAAGGTATCATTAAATTACATATGACAATAACTATTATTAAAAATGTATTTATTATTGATTAATATTTCATTAATTATTATTAAATACCGCCAATTTCTAATGAGCACAATAAGTAGAGAGGAATATGCTAAGAAAATGAGATTAGCATTATCAGACAATCATATATGTAAACCTGATGGAACTGTTAATCATTAATATTTCTTAGTCAAAAAAGGCTAATATTGGGCAGAGGAGAAAATATAATTCTTAATAGAGTAATTAGAGAAAGTTGGTGTTGGAAATTGGAAATTAATGTAAAAGGGTCTATTAGAATAAACTGTAATAATTTTTAATTGATTAATAGAGTGATATTGAATTAGAATTAAGAACCTGTTTATTATTTAAAACTACAGACATTTAACCATATATGGATAAAAAATATACAAAAAATGAAATCGAATAAATTGCCTAATAAAATATAGAAAAAGCTTAGTAGTTAAGTAAATTGAAATATGGAGTATTTGTTGTTTGATATTATATATATATTATAAATAAATGATGTTTTAATTTACTTATCATTTTTTTGCATATTTTACTTTAAGTTGGCATTCAGGAGTTATTTTAAAATTGCTCAAACCTTTCAATGCTACAGTAGCTTGATCATCATTTTAATATTCAACAAAAGCTAATCCTCTTGCATTTATTAATTTAATTAATGAATAACCTGGATATTGTCTAAATAATTCTGATAACATATTTTCTGTAACAAATGATGGTAATGATTCTATCAATAACACATTATTAACTTCTCCTTAATTGAAAATATTATTATTATTCAATTTATCTTCCAATTTCTTTTATTTCTTCTCCTTAATCAAATCTGTTGGCAGAGTTGGTTATAATTCCTTTTATTATTTCTATTTGTAATAAAATTTGCCTTCCATTCTATCAAATATAACACTCTTCTTGTATGCAAATTCAATAATCTAAATTAAAAGGCAAAAATACTAGAGGCTTTTCATACACCATCATTCCAGATAAAGCTGATTTTGCATTTGTGGCATAAGTAATATTTTAAAATACAATAAAAGCTTGACCTCTTAATTTTTATGTTTTTTTCATTACAATCTATAAGACTTCTCCAAATTAGGAAAAGAGAATGTATAACACAAATTTTAAGTCTTCCAATTTGATTTTATCATTCAATCCAGTAACATAAAGAGTTTCTTTAGGAGCAGAGTCCTAATTAATTTATTATGCAGGATGAAGATAAGGCTAATTCATTAAATAAAATCAAATTTATATAAATAATCATGCATCAACCTTTTCCTCATCAACATCTCTTACAAACTATAATTTCAAATCATGATAAAATTTAGTAAGATGTACTTATGCAATGGCTGTACTATTTGCAATTGATTAAGGCTATTCAGTTACTCTTTGTTATTCATGAATAGGTATTGATTGAACTATAGTATTTTTTAAAGCATTAAGATATTATTAAATGGGTTGAACTATTTTATCATTTTATTAAGATGTATCTTAAGAGACAGAAAGAACTGAGATTCTATCATCATAATAACCATCTCCCCACCATAATTCTGAGTCTTGATCAAAGTTTTTATCCATTAAACAATTTAAAATGATTATCGTCTCCAGCAATAACTTTTATATTAATATATATAAATCTTACTTGCATTGTTTCATTAGCCAAGAGTTCCTTGTTTGTACTTTAATCAAGTGTTTACTCTTTATATCTTAAATAATTCTCATTATAGTATTCTAAGACCTTCAATTTAATCTTTAATGCTTTCTCTGTGAAATCATTATAACATCTCAATATTATTTCAGATTTGCTTTCAATTATAGCTGCCATTTGATCACAAGAGTCTAATTAAATTTATTTCTTCTTCATTAGATCAGCTAGAAAAGTTTTGACTGGTTTAGTTCTCATGAAAGTTGCTAATTCACTTGAATCACAATATATTAAAGCTTCTTTTGATGTAGGTTGATTCTGAGGTGAAGCTTGAGTTTATGAAGTGCGAATTTCGAATTGTTCAGATGGTTTAGCTTTTCGTTTTGAACATTAAATTCCCATTTATTTTAGTATCAACTTAATTTTTATAGTTTATGAGTATATTTGATTGATAATATCAATAATTTGAATCCCAATTTGGATCTCTTGCCTTTTCTTTTTTATAAGGTACACCAATTTAATTAATTTCTTTTGATGCTAATTTACCAAGTGTGAGGGCTGTTTATATATCCTTTTCTTAAATCATTCTAGATTTCTTTGGTAAAAAAGGAGCTTTAAGTTCTTTATCCATCAATTTATCCTAACATAATATTTATATAAAATACCCAATCAAATTTATCAAACCAAGTATTAGCCTTTAAAGAAGCATAACCTCCACCCAAACGAGCTTCTGGTGTTTTCATTAACAATTATTCAATAAATTTTTTTGCTTTCTTGTCTTTCATAAAAGGAGGAAAAGTAATTGATTTTTTTTGAATTTCTTCATAAATTTCATAAGGATCATCAGCATCTTCTGCATAAGGTACTCCACCACACATAAATTCATATAAACATACTCCAATTGACCATAAATCAACAGTAAATGTATATCCTTTTCCTGTAATAATTTCAGGAGCCATATAATGAGGAGTTCCAATAATAGTATATGTTCTAATTGATTTTTAATTTAAAAACTTTGCTGTTCCCATATCTATCATTCTTAAATAACCCTAATAGTTATATAATAAATATAATACTTTTTCATCAACCATTATATTCTCTGGTTTGATATCTCTGTAAATAATTTATAATTTATGTAAATATTCTACACATATCAATAAGGAACCTATATAAAATTAAGAATCATTAGTAGTCAACAATCCTATTTCTCTAATAGCATCAAATAATTCCATTCCTTTAATAAATTCTACCAAAAAATAAATATAATTTTAATCCTTCATACTTTTATAAAATTGCATCAAAAATGGAAAATTAATTGTTGATAACACTTATTTTTCTTACTATTATTAATATTATATTATTTTACAGCTAAATGTCTCTCTAAATGTTGTTCAACAATCTAAGATTTACTAATACATTTTAATGCATATAATTTATCTTCTTATGCTGTTCTCACTAAATAAACATTACCAAATTATCCTTAACCTAATTTTTTTATACATATTAAATTATCTAATTTTAAATTTGAATAATCTTTTTTTTAATATTATACACTTGTCCTATTTAAATACTTTTATTCATGTGAATTTTCATTCTTCTAAATCATTTATTCTACACTACCTCCAATCATTTCAAAAAACATCTTTATTTCAAATTCTGCAATAATTGATTCATCTGTTTATACTTGAATTGTCTCAGGAAGTTTATTATCTTAATTTTATGATCTCAAGAATTATTCTCCAAAGATTTTTCCTTTACCCAATACTTATTGTTTAGAGGGCATCTATAGACCTTATAATTACGAAATAAATTGTTACTGTAGCTATTTCTCCTTCTAAAATTATATAAACTTTAGTGCAAGGCTATCCTGATTTTATAATAATTTCATTTTTCTCATAATGTACCTATCTAATGTTTTATAGAATCTTTTCAATCTAAATTGAAGTTAACTTTCCCAATAAAGGACTCTATTACAATGCCCATTTTTAAGTATTAATATATTTAACAGTCTATATTTTTTAACCTAATATTCTTTAGATATCATCTTTAGATAAAGATAGACATCTCACTTCTTCTTCTGCTGCTTTTACTGTAGCAGCTCTTTAACAACTTTAATATAAGGCAGCTTCACCAAAGGATTCACCAGCATTCATTTAAGATACTTCTTTATCTCCTTTTATAATAGCTACCTTTCCTTTTTTGATAATATAAAATGAATTGGCAACATCACCTTCAGATACTATTATTTCTCCTTTCTTAAAAATTAAAGTAATTAAAACACTAGAAATTGCATCTCTTTATTCTTCAGTTAAAAAAGCTATAATATAAATTGATTAAAAATTACAAAAAAATTCAACTTTCTTCATAAATTCTCTATTTTCTTCATAACTTCTTTAATTTTATTACTCAACTACCTTCCTAAAAGTATTTCTATCTATAGCCCAAAATGCACAATCTAATACAAATACATTAAGATATATACCTCCTATAGCTCTGACACTAGCACTTCTAGGTGCATTATAAAGCATAGCTAATTCACCAAAAGCATCTCCACTTTTTAAAGTTTTTTTAAGTTCACCATTAATTATAATCTAACACTATCCTCTTTCAATTAAAAAATAAGAACTTGCTTTATCTCCTTACTTGAATACAAATTATCCATCAGGAACAGTACAATAAAACATTTAATCAACTACATATTCTATGTCACTCTAAGGTACAGATTTAAAGATGAAATGCTCATTGAAAGCATTTAACATTAATTAGTAATCGAATGGTGATTTTCTTTTATCTAATTTTTTGATATTTTCAAATATTTCCACTGTATCTGACACTGCATTAATCTTTGCTTATTTCTTTTTATCACCACGTTTAAGCTAATATGAATAATAATGAACTACTTCAATTTATTATACTTCTTAAACTTGCTGATCTTCATCTCCATCATCATCATTTTATTTATGAGTAGTTTTTTTAGATACAGTTGTTCCATTTTAGTGAGGAATTGTGATAGTGTCTCCTTTTTTATTTACGTTCTCATTTCTACCTGATATGAGTTCCATATTTTCAGGACTGAATTATTGACAACGACATGCATTTCCCATTTATTTAAATAAAATACAATAATAATCAATATTTATGTTACACTTTATGAAATATAGTTTCTGTATTAAATCATTTATGCATCAAATATTATTAGATTAACAACAATATTTTTAAGTACTTTCCAATTTTTACAATAAATCTTAATAAATACTTATTACTCAAACTATTATGTTTAGAGATATGGAATTCTTTAATATATAGTAACTATTCATTTGATATTTAAAATGTGTAAGAATTACTTTGATAAAATATATATTTAGTATTAAAGAATTCTTAATTATATAGAAAAAGACTACCTTTTATATTTAAAAGTAGTGTGAGAGAAGTATTCTTTGGATTTATTATTTTCATTTATAACTTCATTTATAAGTTTGATTATGATTATGATAATTTAGGAAAATATATATATTTTTAGTATACTTAATATCCAGTAAAATAGGAGAATGAAATAATACTTATAGGTTTTCTGTAAAACAAAAATATTAATCAAGTATTTAATTTTCATGGGGTTTATGATGTTGGTGGTGTGTAATCTTTACAAGAAACACAAACACCTTTAGTTGAATCCCATATATAATTATAGAATGAATTGACTAAACAATTAGAGTAATCTAAATGTGACACATCTTTGGCTTCTATACATTTTGTACCATCCCACATACAAAGAAGAGGACCATCTTCAATAAAATTCTATCTTTATAATATGCATGTGCTTTCTGTAGTGTAATCTGAACAAGTAATCATTTAACATTTATTATCCTTCCATTAACAACCTAATCCCTCTCCAAAAATAAAACATAATTCCTCATTTAGTTATGTATCACAATATCTAATATCCACAACATTACAAGTATTTTTATACCAATAACATAAATTCCATTAGGATTAGAATCCAGAACAATCATCTTCAAAATTTCCACATGGTGCTAATTCATAATCTTTACAATAATTTCCGTTTTCTGTAGGCATACAAAACTAATTTAAATCTTAATTTCCAATCTTATAACAATCAAATGGGTCATTCATAAAATAATCAGTACATTTTGTGAATTCTCTACAGTTAGATATATTCCATGAACAATGTGATACTGCATTACATTTATCTTTGTTATAATATTGACTACAACTTCTATCTTAACAAATTGAAGTATTCCAAATACAATTAATTTATTCTAAACAAGTAGTTTCACTTGGGAATTTAGAACATTTACATTAATCTTTGAATGTAACTGGTATTGAGTGACCTAAAAATAATAGACACAATAAAACAAAAATTTTCATATATATAATAATTAATTAAATTCTAATTTATATATATATCACATTTAAATATAAGAGTTCTTTGTTAATATAATATAATAGAGTATGTATATGATTTTTTTGAGTTATTATTATTCATAAGAAATGATGATAAATATTAATTATGTATAATTATAATAAATTTAATAAATGTATTTTAGAAAAGAGAGAGTGAAACTTCATGGCAAAACTAACTTTGAATATAGATCTCTAGGTAGAAAAAGACCAGAGGATGCACCAAGATTAGAGTTTCTATCAACTGCAAGAGAATAAAAATTTGATGAAGTAATTGCTAAGCGATTAGCTGCTACTATCTAAAATCCACTCTCTCAATCTCAAGAATTTTATAAGAGTGCTCATAAAACTATTAAACAACATCCTTAAATAAGTCGTCCTAGGTATATTTTTATTAGATAATAAGATTTGCTCATCTTGAAGAGAAACCAAAAAGAAAACCAGTTTGGGTTGGTGATTCTTATTTAGTTTATACAGATGTTGATGGGAGAGAAGATTAAGGGACTTATCAAAATAGATCATAATCAAGTAAATGTATTTTTATATCTTAGCTACACAAAAGGTTGATCTTGCTTAAGCTAAAAGAGATGAGCATGGTTAAGCAATTTAGGAAACTTAATTAGTGGGAATGGAGGAATATGCTAAGAATACATTGGAAGGAAAAGTTGATTTAACTAAGGTAAAGGAAATTAGAAGAGCAATCAGAAGAAGATATGCAAATCGTAAGAATTTTTAGAAGATTTTTACACTTTGGGATGAAGAAGGAAAAGGAAAAGTTACTGTTAAGAACATTTATCATATGATTAAAAAACTAGGCTTAAATATGAATTTAGATGAAGTTCGAGTATTGGTAGCAAGTGCTGATGAAGATTATAGTGGAGATTTGAATCTAGATGAATTCATGAATTTAATATTTAATGATAATGAGGCTTTAAATGTTGATTTGGGAAAATTAAAAACTCTAAATGGTGAATAAGAATAGTTACTATTAGAAGGAGAAGATGATTAAATATAGGATGTATTAAGAGAGAAAATGCAAGCACAGATTGAGAATAGATAATTTAATTAAATGAATTTAATATTAAAGAATAAGTTATCTTAATTGAATAATGCCTTTTAAGAATTAGATCCATCAAAATAGGGACATGTAAATTTTGAAAGATTCAGTGAAGCTATTTAGAAGTAATTTATTATATTTATAAAAGATTATAAATATCTGAAAAGATTGTTAATGATGAAATAATTAAGAAGTTCTATGATAAATTTAAAAAGGATGAATATTAAATTGATTATAGGAACTTTTTAAAACATTTGAAAGAATTTGAATTATAAAGTCAATATGTTTAAAAGGAAGAAAAGAAATAGAAACCAGTTATGACTATATCTTTAAATCCTTTGTAATAAGAAGAGAAAGTACATATTTTTGATTGTACAAAAATCAATTCTCATCACTTAAATAATTTAAGATAAAGAGCAACTAGAATGATTAAAGTATTATAGAGATATCTACCTGAAAAAAATTAATTTGTTGATTAGATTCTCAATCCTCTCAAAGATCAATACATAAATGCACCAGATCTCACAAATTAATTATAATCTTATCTATCAAATTGTGGAGAGAAGATTGATACTAAAGATTTAGGTGCATTACTCTCTATAATTCAATATAATAATTTATAAGTTCCAAAAGATATGGTGGGTTTTTATGTTTATGAAGAAGGAGATGATGATTTTTATGAGAGATGTTCTTAAAAGAGAAAAGGACCTGCACCATTAAATAAGGCTGTAGAATTAACTTTACCTCCTTAAGATACTTAAAAATCTTCATTCTATGATCCAGGATTTGGATTATCATCTTTATCTAATAAATTTTCACCTGAAATGGGTCAAATGTTATAAAAAGTGGAGTAATGTATCTTTAAAGCAAGTGCTCGATAATATGACATATACAATTCATTTGATAAAGATAAGGATGGTAAATCTTAATATCAATATTAGGTTATATATCTCATGAGGATTTAAAAAAGAAACTCTAAGAGTTACATATTTTATCAAAAGATGAAGAATAATTACTTATTCATTATTTGGATCCAGAAAAGAAGGGTTCAGTTAATTTTTAAGAATTTTCATCTAAATTATATCCTGGAATGACATTGTATGATAGCAAAGGATGTGTAGGAGTAGTACCTTCTTTATATCCTGCCAAAGAAAGAAATGAAAATATGAAGACTAAATTACCATAAATAACTAGATCATTTGAGGAGACTTCATAAAGCATGTAATAATTAAAAGGGGCTACTCGTTTTGGGGCAACCCCATAACATAAAAACACTTTTTTAAATGTTTAAAGGCCTCCATAAGATTCTGCATTATTTTTGAATGAGGATGGAAGATTTGAGAAGAATGCTCGTTTACGATATTTGAGGGAAGATCAAGAGAAAGAAAAGAATATATATGAGAATAAACTAAATCGCATAAGAAAGCATTAGAATGAAATATAGGAGAGAATTGAGTAGAATTATTAAATGTCAATATAAAAGGATAGTGAAAAATGTAAAACAAAAGGATTAGCAGCATGGAGTTATGAATAAAGAGCTCATATGTAAAATGATTGGAAATGATAAATATATATATATATATATTCTTAATATATAAATATATTTAATTTTCAATATTATTTATATAAAAATATCAATCTAGTTTATTAATTCATATTGCTGTAATAATTAATAAAAGAATAGTTGACGTAAGTATAATTTGATAAATTGGATTTGTTCCATTTGGGTCTTTATCTATTGATTTCCCACATTTTTGGCATTTTGAAGTATCTTTATTCCAACTATATGTATAAAGACTCTTGGAGTAACATCTATTTTCTGAAAGTTAATAAGGGGGTCCTTAAATACATTAATTTTAGGAATTTTAAATACATATAGTAAATTAAGTTTCATCAAAATTAAAAATAGGAGAACAATTAAAGCTAGTGTTGCATAATATTGGATCGCATCTTGTAGTTTCAACATTATCTATTATTTCATATTTAAAACGACAAACTTTTGATTTTTTGGTACAAGCTGTATAACTTTTTTAAGCATCTTCACATTTGGTCATTTTAGAACAACTTTTTCCATCAAAAACACAAATTCCATCAATACCATCAGAATCACATGCAATTTCTGTAGTATAATCAGCACAATTAAGTTTACTAAGACATCTAATACCATCAGAAATGCAACCAGATTTTAATTAAGAACAAGCTTCAGTTGTTTATTCAATATAATCTAAGCATTCTTTAGCACGACATTATTTTGTACCTTATGATTTATTTAATGGGAAGGCAAATACACAAGGAGCATCAGTACCTTCATAACAAGATTCTTCCTAATACTTAGAACATTATTATTTATTTATGCATTTATATAAATCTGTAGTACAATTTAATTAAGGATGAAATGTGGAACAATATTAATGTGTCATATTACCAATAATAGGAATATCAATACATTCTTATAATCTACAAAATGGAATTGTTTAAGTTTCATCCCAGAAACAAGATCCATCTTTTCCAGATGTATTACAACCATATTTAGTTTTATATGAATTACAATTTCCAATTTCAATACAATTTTAACCATCAGAAGTACAATTTTCAGAGTAATATTAACAATTTTCTTTCGTACTACCTAAAATTTCATTACAATATCGAAATATTTAACATTTTGGTTCTTAATTAATTTATTCAATAACCCATCCACAAAAACCATCAGTACCTTTATAACAACTAATAGAATTAGTATATTCAGAGCATTTTGAGAATGAAATACAATGTTCTCCATTACTAGTACACTTATCAGAATAAATTTAGCATTCTGATGGAGTACTTTTTTTGATATCTGTACATTATGAAAAAGTGATACAGGTTTAGGTTAAATTCATCCATAGACATGGATTTCCTTAATAATCTTGAATACATTTAGTTTTAATATTAATATTCTCACAAGAATATTATTTATTAGTACATCCTTATCCTGCAGTTATGCATTCTGGAGATATATTTTAACAAAGAGAATCTTCATTATAACTAATAGGTGCATCTTCACATACTTTATCTCTACAAATTTTGATTTCCCAAACACATTATTTTGAATATCCTAAGGAAACAGCATTTAAACATGTTTATTTATTTTTGTATTAATTGCAATGATTAATCTCTATACATCCATTTCCTGTAGTTGTACAATTATTATTTAAAGCATAACATTCCTCATGTTTTTTTATTAGAACACTTGCATCTTAACAAATCCAATCTCTACATGATTTTTTTAAAAAATCCCAACTGCATTTCCTATTGAAATTATTTAAACATTAAGAATATTTTGTGATTTACATACATACTTTGATTGCATTTAAACATCCATCTATATATTAACAATCAGTTCTTTATTTACACAATTACTTTGATGATATCATTTCACAAGTATTAAAATCTATACATCCATATCCTGTAGTCTTACATCCAGATTTAAATTGATTACATTTATCATCTGTATCATAATTATTAGGTGCATCTATACATTACAATTATTTGCATTATTAAACAGTTCCATCAATTCCTTTACATGGTTTATCAATAGCATCAAATAGTACACAAGTTTTGGCAGTTCCATGAAATTATGAACAATATTATTTTTTCAAACATTAAATTCCATCACTAACACATCCTTCTAAAAATGAATTGCATTCAATATCATTGGTACCTCTTGACATATGAATACACTCTCTATTTATACATCTAGAATCACTAGGAGCATCATTAATATTCCAACATGGTTTAGTACCTTTTTCTCCTTTGAATTTACTACATTAAGCCTTGGTTCCAAAATAACTAGAACATGGTTCAATATCATCTATACATCCAATTCCTCTGGTTACACATCCTGGCATAAAAGTATTACATTCTGAATCAATAATAGCTTTGGAATTATCAGAACATTATCTATCTCTACATATTTAAATATCAACTATACTATCTGAATAACATAATCTTCCATTTCCTTTAAATTTAGAACATAATTCACGATTACCAATATAACTATAACAAGGTTCTAAGGAAGATATACAACCTTAGCCATTAGTTACACAACCTTCCATAAATGAATTACATTGAATATCTGTAGTAGATTATTAATCATGAAAACATTCTCTAATTGAACATTTTGTAATAGAAACTTATCCTCTACATTTATTTCCATTACCTACAAATTTCAAACAACTAGATTAAGTGCCTCTATATTGATTACATTTTTATGTTGGTTCAATACATCCTTTACCATTTGTTTTGCATCCTTTTAAAAATTGATCACATTAAAGATCATTTTAAGCTGTCTAATTATCTGAACATCTTCTAGCTCTACAAACCATATTTGTATTATAATTATCTTAGAAACAACTTTCACCACTTAAAGTAGTCACTTATAAACATTATTCACTGTTATATCCAATATATTATGAACATTCATTATGAATATTTACACATTTAATTCCATCATATGTACAACTTGGTATATATTTATTATCAACAGTTTTGCCTAGATATTATTAACATATATCTAAATTATAATGATTTTATTTATTAGAACATTCTTTTAATATACAATTTCTATCCATTCCTTAAATATTTCTGATATCATACCAACATTACTTATTGTTTGCATCAGTCAATCCAGAACATATTTAATTAGATCCTATATAATCATTACAATTTGCCCTTGCTTAAATACATTTTGTACCATTATATCTACATGTATTCAAATGCTTTTAACAATTTTCTACTGAAGCATCTTTAATAAAATCATCACATGATGCATCAATACAAATAGTACTTTAACCTTAATACCAACAAGATTAATTTGTTTTTGTTGTGACAGTTGTACAAGCTTCTGAAGAAAATCCAATATATTGAATACAAGTATCTTTTACATCTTAACATTTCTTACCATAATATCTACAAGTACTCAAATGATTAACACATTCTTCTGCAGAAAATGATGGCAAATTATCTGAACAAGTACGATTTACACAACTAGAACTTTAATCTTTAAACCAACATTTTTCACCTTTCTTATTTGTTACTTCCCTACAACCACTCATTGTAAAATTAATATAACCACTACATTCTTCTTATTCATCAACACATTTATTATCACCATCAAATCTACATGTCTTTAAATGATTTCTACAATTCTAATCAGAAGGAGCTTCAACACTATCACTACATTATCTATTTTAACAAGGATTATTATTATCTTCCTATTTCCAACAATCAGATAAAAATCTACATTCACTTATATTTAATGTTTTATAATCAGTACAATTTATCTATTTCTTAGTACATTTCATTCCAGTATAAATACAACTAGAATCATGTGCTTAACAAATTTCATTTGAATATTCTGGTAATTCTTCTAAACATGTTCTTTCTTTACATTTTCCATTTCCATCAAACCAACATCTCTTTCCTTCACTATTTATTGCATCTTTACATCCTTTCTCAGTAAAACCATTATATGTAGAACAACTAATTTATAATTCTTCACATTTATCAAATCCATTAAAAATACAATTCTTTCTATAAGATGTACAATCCTATTATGAATGAACATTTGTAGCATCATTACATTTACGATCAGTACATTATGAATTGACATTACTATATGTACAAAAATTGCCATCCAAATTAACTAGAATTTAACATGCTTCTTATGAGTATCCATAATATTATTCACAATTAGTTTTCTCAATACAATTTCCACCATCAAAAGCACAATGAGATAAATATTCTTCACATTCTTATAAAGATAAAGGATTCTATACATCTGAACATTTACGATCCTCACAATAATCTAATCTTACACATTATAATCCATTTCCTCTATATTTTGAACATGTATCTTCATCTCCCATATAAGTATCACAAGTTAATTATGAATCTTAACATCCCTTCTTATTAAATACACAACCAGATAAAAATCTATCACATTCATAATCATCTTATGCATCAACATTATGACTACATTATTTATCTACACATTGACTTGGATATCCTTAATCATACCAACATTACTTTCCATTTCCAATAAATTTAGAACATTCATCTATTGTACTTCCAACATATTATGTACATGGAGCAGTTGATTATATACATCCCTTTCCTTTATTAACACATCCAGATTTAAATTAATTACATTCATAATCTTCTAATGCTGTCTAATTATCATAGCATTCTAATGATCTGCATTTCCCTGTTTCTCCTAGATTTTATGAACATCTATTATTCAAAGAATAACATTCTTAAGAATTTCCATAGAATTCTTAACATTCTGCATTTTCATTTACACATCCATATCTTCCTGTAAATCTACATCCTTCTAAAGTATTATCACAATCTTTTTAATTTTAAGCAGATAAATTATCTTAACATTTTTTTGAACGACATTTTTAATTTGCTGAATCATAAAGACATGGAATTTTACCATTACTACCCTTATAATAAGTACATGTATCTTCATCCCCAAAATATTCTTCACATGGAGCAGATACATCCACACATCCCTAACCATTAGTAATACAATTAGAAAGAAACTATTTACAATCATCATTAGTTCTATATTCCTAACCAGCCTGTATACATTATTTTTCAACACACATTTAACCATCCCAAAAACATTCAACATTTGATGAATGTCTAAGACATAAACCCTTTGTTTAGAAATATTTACATTCATTAGTCACACATGATTCTGTCCATTAACATTTATCATTTGCTAAACAAGTTATCTTTTATATCGTATTTGGACAAGTATCAGCCATAACACATTTAGTTCCATCTGTCAAACAAAAAGATTAAACACTTTTACATTCTTCCATTGTTTTTAAATTAGCATTCTCACAATTATTTACTTTACAATATCCATTTTCACCTACTGTACATTTTCCCTCTATTCCTATATACTTATTACATTTTTCAGCTTCCCCTTTATATTTATTACAACTTATCAAAAATGATGTACATTCAATACCATTAGTAATACAATTATATTAATATTATCCACATTCACTATCAGTTGAAAATTGACCATCAGAACATATCCTAGCCTTACATTATTGTTACTCCTCTGGATTAGAACCTGTACATCTTCCATCTGCTCCTATTCTTTTATCACATTCAGATTTAATTCCAGTATAAGAATTACAATTTAATAGAATAGTAATACAACCTATTCCTGTGGTTTTACATTTAGAAGAATATGATTTACACTCTTCATCTGTAGAATATTATTTTGGTGCATTTTCACATTTCCTAGCTTAACATTTACCCTTCAATCCTTCTTCACATTTCCCACTACTTCCTATATATCTTAAACACTATTCACTATCACCTGTATAAGTAGTACATGATTTCAATGCTTAATCTGTACATCCAATACCTGTTGTTCTGCATCCATCTCTAAATGATTTACATTAATGATCTGTATAATATGTCAATGGAGCATTAGCACAATCCTTATATTAACATTTATCATTTTTTGATTCACATAATCCATCACTTCCAATCATACCATCACAATTTTTATCATAATAATAACAATTCCTTCTTTCAGTTACACATCCTTTCCCACTTGTGACACATCCTTCAATAAAAGAATTACATGCCTCATCAGTAATCATAGACTCTGGAGCTTCATCACATTTTTAATCTCTACAAACATTGTTTTCCCAAATACATTTCTTTGATCCAGATGAACTTATTACAGTGCTACACAATTATTCATTTTAATTTTTAAAACATTCCCTTGGTATTATGCATTATGTTCCATCACTTGTACATTATGTACTAACTAATTAACATTCATTATGAGTAGTATAAATAAAGCTAGTGCACCCACTAAAATGAATACAATTTTTATTATAGTATGCACAACCTCTTCTGTTAATACAAGCCTCTTATATTAATTTTTTGCAATACAAACTCTCTGGTTCAGTCGAAATTGGTTAACTTTCCTCTTTCTCTTTACAAATATCTTCGGACCATTAACATTTATCATTTTATTTACACTCATTTTACAATTGTAAATCTGAACATTCACAGACATCATTTTTATCTATTTGACAGTGAATTGATAACAAGAAACTCAATAGAAATAAATGATAGAAACTAATATTCATTAAATTTAAGTTAATATTTATTAAACCAAGAATTTTTTAATTTGAGTGTCCAAGAATATAATACTCTTTCATTTAACAACTATATTAAGTAATATCATTAAATTATTTAACTTATTCTTTCTATAATGGTCAACTTACTTTATTTTTTTTGTAAATTTAGAATAGTATAAATTAATTAAACTTAAATATTATTACATATAAAACAAAATAAGATTTTAAATAATATATAAACAATTTATTTTTATTTGAATCTTTTAAAGAAAAATATGAATTATAATTTTTATTTTGAATAATTAACAACATGTATTTATTTTTATAATATTTACTCTTTTTATGTGATACAAAAATACATTATGAAAAATCTATTTTGATATATATTATTATCCAAATATTATAGTCTAACATAGTTAAATATATATATTAAAGGATTTTTAACTATTCTAACTTGGACTCAACATAAAACATTTTTCAAATCTAAATATAATTCAATCTCTAATCCATGTGAGACTAAAAATATTTTATTTCCACTGAAAAAAACTTTGATTTCTTTCTTCCTTGCATTATTTTCAGATTCCATTAAATTTATTCTAATAAACTTACTTAAATCAATTAGTTAATTCTCAGATATTGATAGTATACTTATGCTAATATTCTATTAGAATCATGAAATTTTAATGGGATCAAATTTAATTAAATTATTTAAAAAAATATCATTTCATTCTGACAGGTAAGTTTAAAGAGTTTGATTAAGAGAGTTAAATTATAAAAAGATTTAAGATCAGGAAGAAGATAGTAAAACCAAAGAGAATATCATTTAATTTTAGAAATACAGAACATCTTTAAATTTTCTTCTTTTTATTTTTAAATTCCTTGTATTTAGCAATCTACTTAATATTATAACTATTTTAAATTTTCTTTTATCATAAAAGATCATTATTAAACTATTGGTTTCTAATAATAATATTAATTCATTACCCAAATGATGATAGTAATTAAAAATAAAGATTCATTCCATTATATCTTAGATGATCTATCATCAAAAATTTCACTAAAATTAAATAGTGAATTCAAAATGTGTTATTAAAACAAGGTTAATGATGGTTAAAATAAAAAGATGAATAATAAAAAATAATTATTTTTAATTTATAGACTTTAACCATTTTCTTAACTAATTAAATAGTTATGATTTATAACTTTCTTTCTTTCCTTACTTATATTACATCTTATTATATTATAGATTAACATATGATTGTTATAATCTCAAGATAGCTGATTAACTAATGTTTGTATCAATATTAAATTGAAGATTTCCAAAAAAATAGAATATAATCTTAGAAAATTTACATGCTATTCTTTAATTTTTCCATTATTATTTTATTTTCTGTTGTTGCAGTAGTTTTTGAATGATTTTCAATCTTTTAAATTACTTGATCAATGAATAAATTAAATTAACTTATATTATTTTATAATTGATGAAGTGAATAATAATTTATTGATTAAGTAATTTCAAAGATTAAGTTTAAACAATGATTTAGATATATAAATAATGTATTTCTTTAAGAATTATTAAAATTCATGTTTAAGAAATGTAATTGTATTATATATTAATAAATTCCCAAAATATTATGTTGGGAAATTTGGGTGTATAAATATGCAGAACAACAACTAGTCAGTTGCCTGCATAAGATCTAGGCGAGACCTACATTATTTAACGGCCTGTAGGATAAGGAAAATATGGGTGATTTAATTCTCTATTAAGTAGATAGGTCTTTAAGGCTTAAAACAAATTGAATAAGTAAATTGTTGCCTTAAAAAAAATAAAATAAGAGAAAGAAGCCAATGGAGTAAAATGTGTTTAAGTAATTAGTTTCCACGTACTGCAATGAGAGAAATTCATTTACTTTCATCAATCAAACATGAAAATATTGTGAGTTTTCAAGAAGTTGTCATATAATCTAGTAAGGAAAAAGCAGTAATTATGGTAGAGAGCACTTATTTAGTCCTGGAATACATGGATACAGACTTACATAATCTTTTGTAGAGACGAATAGGTTTTAGTTTAGATTAAGTTCGATATTTGATGTATTAAATACTTGAAGCTCTTTCTTATTTGCATTCTAGGAATATATACCATCGAGATTTGAAGCGTATCCACAACTATATTTTAAAGCTAATAACATATTATACAATGGCAAGGGATAAGTAAAGATCTGCGATTTTGGAATGGCCAATGAATATTCAAAAAAGAGACCATAAACTAAGCGAATATTGGTACCCCAATATAGAGCTCCTGAAATCTATCTAGGCGGTGTATTTTGCTTCGTATTTAACAAGAATAGCAATATGATTGTTCGGTTGATGTGTGGTCAGCTGGCATCCTCTTTCTTGAGTTAATTGTAAAACAAAGTCCCTTTATGTTGGCAAAATCTGAATCTCAATGTTTTTAAAAAATAATTGATCTTTGTGGAACTCCTACAGAAGGTTTGAATTTTATTTTTTCTTTTATGGTGATTGGTCAGATGTGAGTTCACTTCCACATTACCATGAATTAATAAATGAACCAAAGGAAAGAACATTACGAAAGTACTTGCACGCTTATTCAAATTCCATGCCTTAACTAATTGATCTTATAGATAGAATGCTGACTCTGAATCCAGCAAAGAGAATTACTGCCAAAGAAGCATTGAAACACTAATACTTCCAAGCAAGAATCTTTATAATGTGATTTATTATATCCTTAAGGCAGGATGCCCATAATAGAATAGGATGCATAGACACCAAAAGATCCTCCAATTCAAAAGAAGGTTAAATAGGAGCAACATAAACCTTTATTACAGGGTATCAAAATTAATAAATGTATGTGATTATATATATTATATCTATATAAATATTAAGTTAATTAAGAATGTTGTTATTTAATTATTATAATTTATTATTAGATAATTTCTAAGTTTAGATCAGGTCATTTTAGATTTATAATAATAATATAAATTAATTCATATTAAATTATAAAATATATATATATATTATCAATAATTTTCTTCATCATCTTTATAATCAGGAAAATCATCCACATTTGCATACTGAAATTCTTCAATATTTTCAATTATTTTTGGTACTACTTAACAATAAACATTTTAAATTAATAAGAAGATATTTTCATCAAAATCATTGATAGGTGAAATAAATTCTATGGTTATTCTATCATCATGACATTTAGATTCTAAACTAGTTTAAGGTGAACTTGATTCTCTTTTATTTTGATTTTACGATATTTTAAATAATTTTGGATCTATTACAATATATTTAGTTGAATAATTATTTGTATAGCTTTTAAATTCATCCTCTTTGAATCTATTAGTATCAAATCCACTTGGATATTTATTGATATTTTTTAATTAATAATCATTTAATTTAGATTCAAAAGTGATAGACTTTTAAACCACCTTTTGATAAGTACTAAATTTTTGACCTATTATTGGAAATATTAAATAGTATTTATACCTATATTTTCTTCGTTTTAATAATCTTTTTAACTAATAGTATTTCTCATTACTTAAACTTGATTGAATATTAATTCATCATCAATTAAATCAGCTTAAATTTACATTTCTTAAGATAATTCATTTAAATTCTAAGATTCCTCAGCAATTTTAATAAATTTATCTATAGTTTCTTTTATTCTCGAATCAATTCTAGCTATCTCACTTATATTGATATCAGAAAATCCTTTAATATAAAGTCTTGTATTAATGAAGTTTACTAGAACTTTGTTATTTTTAAGAAAATTATTATATATATCTTTAAATAGTTTGGCCTCATTAATTGTCATTTTGATTAATTTATCAATCAGAATGACAATTATAATGTGAGAATTATAATACAAATTTAGTAGTGTAAATAATAACAATTAATAGACATATTAATTTAATGTATATTTTAATAACCCATACTTATCATGAATAGATATCTTATAATATTAGATATGAATCTTACATCAATTATTTAATCGAATAATAGTTATCCTCTATTAAATTCTTCAAGAATATTTTCAGCTGATTATTATTTAAAATAATTCTTCTTTTCCTCTTTTGGAATATTGAAACTTGAATTTTTGATTGAATAAAGGGCAGCTTTCCTTTTCAAATAGATATAATAATTTCTAACAAAGTAATCCATTGATAGACTTTCTAATTTTTTAATAAAAGCGTTACTATATTTTAGATCTTGTTCAACATAATTTTCTACATAACTTATATTCATATTTGCTATTTCTGTAACCAAAAACCTATTCTCAACACATCTGTCTAGGATTATTAAATTTTTAATGATATAATTCCAATAGATTTTAGATTCTGATGATTCTAATTTTGTTAAGATTGTTTTTATTCCAATTTATTGACTAGTATCAGGATCTTTACCTGAGAGTGTAAGCATAATTGCTAGTCATATTTTAAAAAATACCTTGAATGTCACTTTCATTTGGATAATAATAGTCACCTTTATAGGTAGCTGACAATCTAGCTTTTTCAAATGTTGAATTACCTCCAAACTATACTATATTACGAACAAAATTAGTAATCATTTTATAAATGAAATAATTTGGAATAAATTTTTTAATACTCATTACTCTAATCAATCCATCATTCTCCATCTATCAGAATTTACTACTTTCAATTAGTATCTGTATAATGCTATTTAATCAATACTTACATTATCATCAATATTTCAACATTCAAAAATTAGCTCATTTAATGTTATATTTAAAATGGATAGCTATATATGCTTAACTATCTCAAAGTTGTACATAATAGTAAATATGTGCTTAACTTATTTTACTCACTGAACTTGACATGTTTATTAAAGTAATAATTGGGTTTGGATCTTCAATTAATTCTATTTTACAACCAAATATTTATGGATTTTACATAACAATTCCTTATATGATAGTGATTTTAGGTGTAGTTTTATATGATAATTGGAAACACTATTAAGAAAAAGAAAATAGTAGCACTCAACTGCAATAATCTAAGTTTGTTAATTGTAAATAAAAGTCAAATTAGTATGATTAATAATCTTCTAAATTATAAATCTAAGATAATTGTCTAAAATCTCCTGGTTTAGAATGTCCTGATTAATAAAATAGTCCAATGATTCTAGATATGTAATGTAATGAAGAAGAAGATGTTCTTGCTCAAATGTATAAATTTTATATTTATCTTTTTTAGGGCATGGATTCATAATTAATCTATATTAGTTTATAATTAAAATTTTGAAATTACATACTAAAACTTTTATTTAGGGAAACTTACAAATCGTCAATGTACAGGTGTTGATTAAGATTAGGATTATGAGTAAATCTTTTTAGAATCTATAATAGAAATAGGAAGTAGAGAAGTTAATGATTTATTTGGCAATTCAGAATTAGATATAGATTAAGAAGAGTATTATAAATATATTATTATTTAATATTAGTTCCTTAATATTAGATAGTACTGTACACAGTAGATATAAAATTAAAGGTGGATTATAAAAAATAAGATAAATGGTAGCTGCTTTATTTAATAATTATTAAAAGTATGTATCTAAATATATTTATTTAGATGGAAATTCTTTACTTTTACACTTTTCAAAATAAAAAGCAATGAACTTGATTTTAAGAATATTAGTATTAAAGTATTAATAACTGAAGTGAAATCAAAACTTTATACATTATTTATGTTTGAAGCAATATAAAAAGTGTCTTCAAAAAGAGTATTAGATGAACCGCTTTAATTTTAAAACGTTTTCTAAACTTTTCTTTCTGAATCCAACAATTATATTAATGCTATTCATTTATTACTTCTTCTATGTTCTCATGATCATGAAAAAAACTCAGGTAAAATATAAAAAGAATATTTAAAACAAATGAAAATGAGCACATAAAAGTTTATGATATTTTTGGGAACTATGAAAGACTTATCTCTATAACTAACAAATCAATTAACTTTTAGAAACTCAACCTTCAAACTTTCTGATATATTAGATGAACTATAACTCATTTATGAAGATTGTTTAAAAATTAAGGAAATCTCAATAGTTTAAATAATAGATAATGATATGATTGTTTATAATGATTCAGATCGAGTACATTTATATATTTATTATTTAGACTAAACAAGTTTTAAAATGTCTATTTGAAATAGCTATTAAATTTACTGTAACTTCTAAAATTAGAATTGATATTCATTAGGTATCACCAAATAATTATCAATTTTAAATCAAAGATATACCTTTTAGAGAAGAAAACTAAAAGATTTAATATCAAACTATACTTAAAAATATAACATAATTAATGAAAACTAATTGTAAAGATTTTGATATGAGTAATTTATTGGAATTGTAAATATCTGCAATTCTAGCATTCTAACTTTCTGGTTCTCTACGAAAACCTTTAGAATTAAGTTTTGATAATCATTTTTAAGGCACTTTCACTTTTACTGTAGAATCACTTCAAATCAATGGTAAACATGGTAATCATAATTAATAAATCAAACCTAAACGTGCATTTGAAACATCATTATCTATGTTATTAGCATAAGCATAAGATAGTTCTCATTATAAATATGAAGAATCAAAATATATGTCCTTTACATAGATTTCAAAATAGTACTCACTAAAACCAGATATTCCATTTGATTTATAGAGTGCTCATTTTTCATAAATATCAAAAATCAAATAAGAATCTCCAAAAATTAAACCTATAGGTTCATAAGCTCAAATTAATTCAGGTGGAACTAATAAAATATAAGAATCTATATTTCCTAAAAGTTTAAATAATAATAATCCTTCAAAAGCGATAAAAAGTGACTCAGCTATTAATGAATCTTCTAAACCTATGACTAGTGCTTTAGATTTTGGAGAAAGTACTAATCCCAATATTGATTTCCAGGAATTAAGTCCAAAACTTTTACATTCTGTTATTAAGTTCAAATTAACTAATTAATGTTGTTCTAAAGTGATTATTGCAGATAATGATTATTTGAATGTTTCAGTTCTTTAAATTCTACTCAATAAATATGAAGTTAAAGCTGATAAAGCATTTACATAGTAATAAACTCTTTAGTTGATTAGAAATAAGTCTCTAAATCCTTGTAGATGCAAAAATGGAGCTTATTTACTATACTTCATTGATGCCTCCTTACCTGTATACATTTATATATATATAGTAATCAGCAGTAGATTTGATCAAAGAAATCAAACAACTATTTAAATCTTTGTAAGTAGATAAAGGCTTCATTATTGCCATGGCTAGTTATTGTGATATGGATTTGAAGTTGATTTGCTTTAATTCTGGAATCGATTATTTCATTACAAAACCATTTGATTTGTTTGAATTAACTGCTATTCTTTAATATATATAGTTTTGATAAAACATAATTTTATTTTAAGTATTATATTATTTAATTTTCAATCAATATATTCTCTTATAAAATTATAAATGTACAAGTACTTAAATATCAATTGAAAAAGTGGGAGGTAATGCTATCTCTTAGATAAGATACTACTAATATGAAGGGGAGTCATAGATTATCTATTCAGAGGAACGTTTTGGGTAATCCAATTAGGATATATTGGAAGAAGAATTAAATAGAAAACTGTTGGTTTATTAACATGAGAGGAATTTAAAAGGAAAAGAGAAAATATAGATAGAATTTATGTTTAAGATCTTTAAAAGAAATAAGAAGAAGAAATAGGAATTAAAATAAAAAGAAAATAAGAATATAAATTGAAAACTGTGTAATTGAGCTTTGATTAAGTATAATAAGATTTTTATGATAAGAAAAATTATAATTATAGGTAAGATATCAAATTTTGATACATTAGATCTTTCAGACATGAATTGAGAAAAAAGATTGAAGAGCTTACTAAAAAATCACTGGTATAATTCTTAAATCTTATAAGTGAATATTAAAAAAATATGGAATTGTAAAAAGATTAATTAATTGATATAAAATTATAATATTGGGATGCATAAACTTGTACAAGAACTTTAAGAATTAGAAAAATGACTTTAATTAATAAATTTTTGAAATTAGTTAGAAGAGATATTATAAGAGATTTTGGATTTGTATGATTTATGAAATAGATTATTTAGTTAACTGAGTTATAGTCCTTATGATTTACTTTTTATAGCCAATACAATGATTTTACCTCAGAAACTAAGTCTTCATGATATAATTGCTTATAAAGTTAAATATAGATCTGGATAGACTATATTTTCATTTGAGTAGAGAAAGGTATATAAAAATATGATTTATTTGATATTTATAGGTTTAAGGTAAAGGTTAAGAATATGAAGTTGAAGTTGAAAATTCAACTACTTATAGGATAATTGATAAATTTAGATATGAAAAAATCAAACATATCTATCCATGTTCTTAATTGGAAATTGTTGATATTAATAAGTACTAATGAAAACTTTTGATGAGTTATTATTAAATTTAACGAATAAATTTTTAATAATGTCTACTGAGCAATAGCAAACAAAATTACATAGATTACAAAACTATTATCATTAGTTTGAAAAGGGTGAAATCACAGGAACTTAATTGAAATCTCAATTACAAACTAATTTAAAAATCAGATGGAATCCCAATTTAGAAAATATGATCCATCAAGTTGATCCATCATATACAGATTTTGTTAGATCAATTAATAAAACAAATAAATATGTACCAAAATAAACAACTCCTTAATTGACAGAATAAATCAATTACCCAAAGAAAATAAGAACAGAACATATGTAAATTTATATATTAATTAATAATAGAGGTCATGCAGATTTGCTTAAATGGGATTGATAAATCATTACATATATATAAATATATACTTAAAAATAAATATTTTATATTACTTTATAGATAATAATTTATAATTATAATTAATATTCTTAAGGATTATTTTTTTTTATTTCAACTTATAAAAGAATACATGAAAAATCATAACATTCCAAAAAGTTCAGAAAGATATGGTAAACTCATTTTACCAATACGTCATTCACTTCCAGTTGGATTATTCTCTAGTTAGAATTCTCTATTTGCTTCTATTATTTCTGTAAAGAACAGAGAGTCAAATAGCAAAAGTCAAAAACAGAAGAATTCATAAACACATTTTGAAGCAGCAACACAAAGAGCTGTAACACCAAATAATTAAAATCCATCTATACCATTTACAACTAAATATCATTTAAGTAGTCAAACATAAAAACCTAAAAAGAAATCTAATTTAATTAATAAGGAATCATTTTAATCAAAAATTTCCAATCTTATCTGTTAAAATAAAAGTGCAGATTTTGATAATATCAGTTCTTAAATTAAGGATAGAGATGATTAAGAATTAAATAAAGTTTTTAATAATCTAAAATGGATTAGTCAATAAATCAATACCATAAAGGTTAATTAATTATCTCAATAGATATTATCTTAATGGTAAAAAGTATTAACATCTAATTGTGAAAAAGTTGTAGAAATAAATAAATAAAAAAAGAAATCAGAAATGGAATATCCATAATTAATAAAAAGCAATAGTTCATCATCTTAAATATTTGATGCATCTGGTCTCAATCTTGAAAAGCTTTTAGCAGAAGAAAGAAGAAATAGACTATTAGTAGAAGAATAGACTAGCAAAATAATATCAAGTCAAGAATCTCAAATTAAATCATATGTAAATATTTATCTATATTATAAGATTGAGAAAATTAAATAATTAGAATAGAGATTAATAGAAAAGAATTCTTGGCAAAAATGATTATAAGAAAACATGTGTATTATTATTTATTCCTCAATTTTATTTTATTTCAAATATCTATAGTTATTCAAAAATTTAAAACTAAATTTTTCTCAAATTACATATCAATTAGATTACAGATAATAAACAATCCCTTTAGTTAGGCTAAAAATTATACCTAAAAATCCATAAATACCAAGAGTTAAATTACAAAATAACAAATAATAAGAATTCTAATGTAATTAAGGAGAACTACAAAATATAGTAATCTATTATTTATATAGATTTAAAGAGAAATTAAAGAATAAATTGATATAAATATCAAGTATCATTTTGTTTATTTTAAATTGAAGGCATTGAAAAAAATTAAAAATAATTTGAATCAAAAAATCATTAATTACGTTTAATTATAATTAATTTATCGCATGCAAAATACTATCATTTAGATCAATTTAAATTATTTTCAAAGTATGAATGGGTTGAAAAATTATAAATTCAATAATATAGTTTATATTCATCAAAAGTAAAAGAAATAAATATATTTAAAGTTTGATTAAGGTTTGTACTATATATATATTAGAATTTAAAACTCTTTAAACTTTAAACTTGAATAATTTTCATAATATTTATAAAGAAACATTGAATGATTATATATGTAATAAAATTAACTTTGTCAACATAATGATAAATTTTATTTGATAAAATAAGTCTCAAAAATATGAATAAACTCGAATAAAAAGCTGTTAGCTCTTTACTTAAACTAGCAAGAGAAGAAGACACAATAACTTAAAGAGATTGGGAACCTTAGTCTCCAAAGCAAGTTGATTTTATCTCACCTCAACCCAAAAGTCTTAATTAACATAGAAAAAATGTTAAAGTGATTTAAAATCATAAAGCCAGACAAAAATCTTCAATAGAGATAAATTAAAATGATGATTAATAAGTGTTAGGATTTTCATAAAAAGAAAATTCACTATAATAATTAATAGAAGTGTATATGAAATAAATTCGGCATACACAAAGATAAATGGAATCAATACACTAATAAAAATTTGATTTAAAATCAGGTTGGGTTAATTTTAGTTCAATAATTCTCGAAAGCAAAGAGAAATTACCTAAGAAACACAAAAGGTCTTCATTAGAATTATAAGTAAAAGAAAATAATCAACAAAAAGTATAGTAACAACAATCATTCAAAAAGACACCGCTTCGAAAAGTATTAAATAATGATTCTTTTTTTTTACCAAAATTGAAGTCAACATATCTAAAATGATTCATTTAATATTTCAAGTTTGCTCAATTTGCTTTTTTTTCCTCTTCCCATTATTTATTATCTAAAGGACAAGTATTTTTTGTTTTAAGCCATTATCTTATGCAATGTTCATGATAAGCATGTCCACATTTTCCTTATTATGTATTGCATATCTCTTTTTAATCTTTTCCTTCACATTCAATACATTTTTCCATTATGTGATTTTTACAAATAGCACAATGTTCTACTTTCAAACTCCAAGCTAATATTATAATATTTATATACACCAAAATGCCACAGGATACCATTTCTTAATTTCAAATCTTCCTTTTTCTTCTTATTACATAAGTATTTATTATTAATAATATATAGTAAAATATTGACTATAATTAACACTTGAATTATTATTACTCTTTTTAAACTCTTTAATAATATTATTTATTTCATTTATATACTCATTACTCATAATGACTATAATACTTTCTCTATTGTATCAAAAGCTGAATTAAGTTCTGCTTCATTAATTATCAAAGGTGGAGTTAATCTAAGTGATTATATATAATATATATATACCTCATGATAGTTTTATGTGTAGGTTTGCAAAGAAGTCCTTCTTTTGCTAATTTAAGACAGAAATCCCAAGCAACATCTCCTTTACCATCTTAGAATTGTATGGCTCCCATTAATCCTCTACTTCTAATTTGAGTTACATTATTGTATTTCTTTAATTGAACTAATCTTTTTTCCATAACTTTCCCTAGACTATAAGCATTTTCAATCATTTTTTCTTCTTATAAAACTTCTAAGGCTTTAATGCATAGACTAGCTGCCAATGGATTACCACCATAAGTAGATCCATGCTCACCTGGTTTAATTTACAACATAATCTAATCATCAGCTAGAACTGCAGAAATAGGATAAAATCCTCCTGATAATGCTTTACCCAATAATACCATATCTGGTCTGACATTATCCTATTTAATTATTAAATTTATTTGATACATGTTCTACTGCTAACATTTTTCCAGTTCTACCTAAACCTGTTTAGATTTCATCCACAATCATTAAAACATTATATTTATTGCATAATGATCTTACTTATTTTAAATAATTTTAATCAGGAATTATAACTCCATTTTCACCTTATATAGCTTCAAAGAAAATGGCAGCATAATTTGGATTAGCTTTAAATTTAGATTCAATAGCATCAACACTATATATAAAAATTTTGATTACTTGTTATAATCTACAAGATCAAAATTTAATCCACCAAAAGGTCCAAATTTATTATATCTTTCTGGATCATCACTACTACCACATGCTGCTATAGTTCTACCCCAAAAATTGCCATTTGCAAATAGAACTCTAGCTTCATTTTCAGGAACCTTTTTTATATTGTATGCCCATCTTCTAGCAAATTTAATTGCTGATTCTCCTGCCTCAACTCCAGAATTCATAAATAACACTTTATCATATTTAAATAATTAGGTAATATATTTCTCAGCCTCTCCTAATTTATTGTTATAAAATCTAATATGATATATATTATCTTACGCTCTTGATGTTAAAGTTAATTAAGAAGCTTATTGTATTAATTCTTAATAGATCTTCTCATGACAATGACCTTGATTAACTGCTGAATATGCTGCTAAAAAGTCCATATATTTCTTTCCTTCTTGATCCCATACATAAATTCCTTTCCCTTTTGAAATTACAATAGGTAATGGATGATAATTATGACATCCATATTAATTTTCTAATTGTACAAAGTATTAACTATTTTTAACTTATGAGAACTTCCCAATCGATTTGAAAATAAGATTTTTCATTTAATAAATTAATACGTAATATTTTGATAATGAAAATTTCACAAATTAATTTTTAAAAGTCATAACACATGATCTTAATTGGAACTGATAAATTTTTTCTTATCTTCAATATACAGAGCTAATATTTCTAATCCTTATATTGGCATGATAGTATTTGTAATTTCATTTGGTGGTAACAAATATAAAAGACTGTTTCCAATGTATGCAACCCCAATCTTGTTTTTTTCTGAAAAATAATCTATATATTCTTAGAATGCACTATTCTAAACATATTGTTATAATTAAAACCTAAGTGAAATCTGAAGGACAGAGAATGAATTTGAAAGCATCATTTGCAGACTTTTTGGCATCAGTAAAGTTTCCCTTATAATTAACTTATATTTGTGGTGACATCACAATAGGAGCCTTAAATTAATACTAAGAAATTCAATACATCAGATTCTTAACATTTGGCATCTACTCCAACCTTATGACTCTTGCTTCTAAACATAAATCCACTCCAAAATGTATCCCAATCTTATCGCTATTATTATTGTTGATTAGTATCAAAATTTAAAAATCCATCAAGAATCTCTTGGTTCCCATTTTGATTGGGATTTAGTTTAATTTTCATATCTTATTCTTGAGGTTGAATTTATTAAGGAAGATTAAACTATTATGGATCTACATATTGATGATACATTCTTTAATCTTATTTAGGAATCATGAATTGTTATTTTGGTTATTGGAACATAACTTTTTATGGAATGAAAAGTGGTTAATAATTACATTAAAAAGGTTATGCAACTGATGGCATCATCATCATTTTATTAGGTAATGGTTATTATTATGGAATCATTTAGATTTATTAATATTATGGAGGTTATTATTATTATTATTATATGAGTTTTGTTGGTAATGATACTATACCTACTTCACATTTGGAATCACCTAGAAGATCTACTAAATGTTATTAAAGATAGTTTCTTATTTAGATAGCTTATTTTGTATCTCTAAATTGTAGAAGTGTGTATGATTTATAATTTGGATCTTGTTGAATATAATTCCATAAGAGAGGTGGGCATGAATGATTCTAACATATCTTTTAGTTATATGATTAAAAAAATTACTTCAAACAAAAACGCATGATCAACTTTTTTATTTAAATTAGGAGGAAAGAATATAAATAATACTGATGAAAGTTTAGAATGTTACTCATTTGATAAACTAAAAAAAATCTAATAAAATTTACTTATTGCCAACAATATTGTGTCTTTTTATAGGGTCAGAAAAATAAATTTTTATTTAAGTAGAAAATTATTATTAAATACTATCCATTTCTTCATAGGCAGAAATAGCTTAATCTATCTAAATTCAAATAAAAAAAAAGTTTATACAGTAAAAAATTTTATATAACTGTTAAATATATTATGCTTATTAGGATACAGATCAACCCTCTCTATAGGGCCAAATTATTAAAAAATCTATAATTTTCACATTCTATTACCTAGCGAATCTTCAATTCATCATAATTTTTGGATATCCCACTAACAAACAATTCTCTAACAAAAAGTTGAATTTATATTTTTGGAGATGGCTCCAAAGGAGTAATGGGTCCATTAGTTAATACTTGTTTGTTTTTTTCTTAAGATCTGGATCGAGATCTAGATTTGCATTTAGTAATAGCTTATTTATCAATTTAAGGTTTCACAGTCCAATCTCCGATTATACCATCTTGAATTGCCTTATCAGCTGCATCATTATCAGCAAAAGCAATAAAAGCATAACATGAAATATGTAAAGGTAATCCTTTTGTGAATTAATTCCTATACCTGTAGGTGTTTTTCTGATGATCCTGATATCAATAATATTTCCATAAGTTTAAAAGGTTTATTACAATTATTAAGTTGTGACATGTAAAGGTAAATTGGAGACATGAATTTTTTATCTAGCAGAAATAGGTTGGGCAGGTGTTGGAATAGGTAAAGGATACTAAATGGGTGAATTTTGAAATTGATGAGAAACTAAAGAATTATTGAGCATAGAAATTTAAAAATATTAATATCATTTTGATGTTTTATACTTCCTCTTAAATTTGAGAATAATCTACTATCAATTCAAGTGTTTGAATAGATTACATATACATCATCGGCTCAATTGTTTTTAATGAAATAATATTCCCTTCATTTATATATATTAAAATAAATTAAATGAATAACAACGATGAAATTATATAGAAGTTGGATGTGATAGTTGCAAATTACTTAAATTAAAAGGATCATAATGGTTAACTGTTGACTGAAAAATATTCAGAGACATACATATATTCTTTAGTTCAGAAACATTTATTTGATTATGAAGCAATTTTTACAGCATCTTAAAAATCTGTAATTGATGTATTTGATTTTATAACTTCCCTATTGAAAGTAAATTTACAACCATTCAAAATAGTTTACTTCAGAACCCATAGAAGATACTTTATTCATTATTGTATAAGCCATAGATTTCTTCAAAGCTATCTGCGAAGAATATCAAACTTACACTATCAAATTTTCAGACCTTTCAAGTTATCTTTGCAAATATAATCCAAATTTAGATGATGTAAATATACCATTTGATTTTGATAGAAGGATGTCCCTTTACAAAATAGAACCATAACTTATCATAAATATCCTCCTTTGAAATAATTTAATAAACCATAAAGTAGATAAGTAAGAAGTATTGATTTGGAGGCACCAACAATTCTTGGAACTTTGGGTCATTACATAAAAAGAATCAACAAAGAGAAAATTTACATAGATTCTCAAAAAAATTAAAATAGTTCTATTTTAAGAATGCAATATTAGGAATCAGAATTAAAGATTCTAATACTCCATTAATATAGTGATTTTATTAGTATCTACAATCCTGATTGTACATTGTAAAGTAGATTAAGACCTAAAGCATAACAATTAAGAAATATCATTCATGATTTTTATTGGTCTGAAGAATAATAAAGAATTGGTATAGTATTTAAAGATGCATGGATTTGTTTTATGGATTAGAGTGATTAATTTGAATTGGAAAAGTATTTTACAACAAAAGTAGATCAACATAGAATTTACTATGTTCAAAATAAATGGATGACTATAGGTGCTGATTCAAAGATATCAATATGGAATTTAGAAACTGAAAAAAGTAGTGTTATATCTCATGATCAAATTAAGAATGTTG